GCCATGTAACTTGCATGTATATCAACACATATATAACAAAACACAAATTCTGTCAAAGCTTGTCACAGATAACAGGTCATAAACTGCCAGGACAGGAAATGGAAGTCTGATTATCTCCCTTGAACAGCTTGGGCAGAACACACCCACACAACATTGGTGGTTGCTGGTTGTACGTCTCAACATAATACAGATCTATACATGCTTCAGGCAGTGGCAGAAACAAAAAACTAAATGATTAAAAATGAATGGAGCAATTTAATTAAGCATCATGTCATGAAATCATTATGTTAAGGGAACATTTGTAATTTATGGCTAGGGTGTGTGATGATTATATGGAGAAGCATGTACAATGTTAATGATCTCCCTAACATTTACCGGTATATACAAAGTAACTGACAACCCCCCACCCCCCTGCATGTCATGTACAAAATCAATGACATCTCCCTAGTACATGTGTGCAAAAATTTATGACACCCCTTCCCCGAACAAAATGGGTGACCTCCCCTTAAAATCATCATCATCCCCTAGCCATAAATTATGAACGGTCCCTAAGCCTTCACATATAATATGTTCCCATTCATATCAGACTTTCTAAAGCTTTAGGTTCTTAGAATGACAGCTTAAATACATCTTTACCTTGAAGCATATGACTTGACTGAAGCAAATACGTGGATAGACAGACTCTTGACAGTCAGTGTGCCAATTACCACATTTCTATATAAATTGATTGGTATTGTCCAACTGTAGTACTTTGAGCATGTATTCAGTGAATGAATTAAGTACACATTATTATCATTGTTGCACAGATCTAATATTTAGGTGATGCTAAAAACTGAAATTGACTTTACAAAGCATGTCCGATGCATTCGAACATGTTAAAGCTGCAGATAAAATGGATAATTGCATACTGGAAGTAAATCTGTTCCATGTTTGACGCTATGAAACAACCTGACAGTCATTATTATCTCACTGACATTTTTGCTTGTGTGTTGCCCAGATGAGAATGTTTACTTTGATGATAAGCTGACTGCAATCTACGGTACAAATAAACACTCTCACACACCTGGACCCGATTTCTTGAAACAAACTTAAGTCTGAGTTTTGACTTAAGTCAGAGTTTTTACTCAAATTTGACAAAACTCATTTCCCAGAATGAACTGAAATCGATATTAAACTCAAACATAGTAGACAATTTGTCTTTGGTGAATAGAATACTTAAGTTTTTTTGGCTTTTTTATTTTCAAAATGCAGCGGAGTTAAAAATTCAGCTCTTTCAAATTGTCAAACTCAGTTTGAAATTTGAGTAAAAACTTAATTTTGTTTCGACTGACTGACTGACTGAGTTTAGTTTTACGCCGCTTCTAGCAATATTCCAGCAATATCACGGCGGGGGACACCAGAAATGGGCTTCACACATTGTGCCCATGTGGGGAATCGAACCCGGGTCTTCGGCGTGACGAGCCAACGCTTTAACCATTAGGCTACCCCACCGCCCCCAATTTTGTTTCGAGAAATCAGGGCCTGGATTCTGACATATACTCAATATTTGAAAGAGACACTCTGAGAGTAACATGGGGGATAAATCAGAGGAGTTATTTGGAGATATCTTACAGTCTTTTACCCAACAGAAATTACAGCTTGTATGTCGCCCAGATGAAAATATTTACTTTAATGATAAGCAAAAGCCAACTGATGATAGTCAACCACTCACATACACCTAGATTATGATATATACTCAAAGTTTCATTCTGAGAGTGACAAGGTTTTCAGGAGGAAGACGGTCAAACAGTATGCCACTAGGGCTGGTCCTGATGCTTGTTAGGCTTCATTTTATACTACTTGAGTAGTGTAGCTCAGTCATAGCTTTCTCCCTTTAGTCTCTACAGATACACATGCTGCTTAAACTCTGCCATACCCTTTGGTGAAATCTTCTAAATCCTTTGACAATAACCCATACATTTATAAGACTGACTGACTGAGTTTGGTTTTACGCCGCTTTTAGCAATATTCCAGCAACATCACGGCGGGGGACACCAGAAATGGGCTTCACACATTGTACCCATGTGGGGATTCGAACCCGGGTCTTCGGTGTGACGAGCCAACGCTTTAACCATTAGGCTACCCCACCGCCACAATGATGAAGGGGCAAGGAATAGCCCAGAAACATTGTGTATACAATAAAGAAGAAGTTGACATCCATAATATTTTGTCTTTTACTTGAATACCAACCTCTATATGCCTCTGAAGAACCTCGACCCATACATTACTTGACACTACCAGGGATAGTAACTGGTAGGATAGATGTCATGTGATAATATCTCGTAATGCCAGCATTAAGAATTGAAGCTGATATGTTATATCACTGTTAACCTAACTCATCTTCGTCAACCTATTAAATTATATTTAAACCTATACGTGTTTAAATACGAACTCCCTGATGGCTGCCATTGGAAACTACAGACTACAAGACTGAACACGATATCTAGGAGTTGCCATAGCTGGCTTAATGGTATTTATAGTGATGGTGAAATACTTTATTCAGTGTATTGTAAGCTATGATGGGTCCCTTGTTTGTGTATCCCTTCTCTTCAATCTCCTTGATTGACCTTTCCTGAGTGGTCTGACGGTTGACCTAGGTATTAGCTGACTCTTCTGGACACCTTAAATGTCCTGGGACTACCCAACTGTCATGTGATGATCTGAATGTCCAGGGCCCACTTGCACAGAACGATCTTAGCGCTACAATTATTGTAAATCCATAAGATCGCGATCTTAGGCTTCGGCTACAATCGCCATCGACTTGCACAAAGCGATTGTAGGCTAAGATCGTTGTAAGTTACAATCGAAACTTACAATTGGTCCGGACCAATTGTAAGGAGCTAAGATCATTGTAGTCTGTGACAAAATGGTGTTCAAGTTTCACGCAAATAATCAGCTTTACGTTTGGAGATTGCTTTTATATTGCATAAAACTGTACTGTATGATTCGCCTCGACACTTCAACAACACGGATAATGCACAACCGATTAACGCCGGATACATTGTTATTTGCTGTAGTGAACCACAGAACTATTGAGTCGATATCACAAAGCACTATTCCCACCCGATTCAATGTTGGAATAAGTGTGAAACAACATACCTTTTTGATAATCAAGGAAGGATACTAGCAAATGGTGTCCGCGTGCGATTAACAATGGCCGTGACCTTTTCATTAACTCAAGAGCAGATAATTTTAGTTTATGGGCAAGATGGGAGTGGTTTCCCCTGGCCTATGCCGTTGCCGTAGAGTCTGTCATGCCCAATCACAGAGTTCAAGATATTTTCTTTTCGGTGATGGAGTGATTTTGTCTTAGTTAATCATTAAAGTAATCAAAAATTAGATACAAGTTAACGTGCAAAATCAAGATTCAATTTTAATTTCACTTTTAGAAAAATATTTATCAACACAATAGGGTCATATCATTAATATACTGTGAATGAGTATTTAACAACTGCTCTCTCAATATATTATTTGATATTCGTATTTCCCCGTCATGAATTCTTTACAACACTTCTGTAGCCATATTACATTTTCTTGTTATATTGTGAGAAAACCAATACTTCTAGGGTATATTTAGGATTTTACACACACAAAAAAACAAAAAGGGAAAAAAACAGCTGTGCATTAAACAATGTCTCATTGACAACCAGTGGCAAATCATGCATTTAGGTGTTATATCATAAGTAAATATTGTCGATATTTGATATATTATTATAATTTTCATAATTATTAAGTCACTAAATCTAGACCCAAATTTATGAATGTATATTTTTGCAGTTCAATATTTTCATAAAACATGGGTAGGTATTTCCGTGGTTGAAATATCACATTCTCAGTTCATAAATCAAGACAGTTAAAATGTAGAAAAATATATGCTATCATCCACTTTAATCGTTCTTCAAGATTTCTTGGAATGTTTTTCATGAAAATTCTGCAAAGTGCGGGGACCGATTGAGGGAGGTATGTATTATTGTGCAGGGACCAGTATCAGCTCTCTATTTAGATCAGTATGCTATGCTGACTTGACTTGCAGAGAACTGTAGACAGGAGTCGAGTTTAAGAAATTCGCACCTCCACCGTTGAAGAGTGCGATCTTAGCTAAGATCGCGATCTTAAATCCATGCGGTCTTACAATCGCGCTAAGATCGGCTTCGTGCAAGTGGATTAGGGCAATTGTATGGTGATTGTAAAGTTGATTGTAAGGCCCTAAGATTGATTGTAACTAAGATTGCTCTGTGCAAGTGGGCCCAGATCAGCTGATTGTCCCTTGACTTGACTGTCCTGGAAAACAGCTGACCATACTGGGACCACCCAATTGTCATGTGATGAGCTGATTGGCCAGATCAACTGATTGTCCCTGGACTTGACTGTCCTGGAAAACAGCTGACCATTCGTGGTTTCACATTAATTTTCGACTCGTCGTGGCATGTGAGCTGATTGGCCACATATGCTGGAGAGCGTGTAAAAAATATATCCACGGGCCAACTTCCGGTTTGGTCGTAAGCTTTACCGATAGTGTAAACACACTCTATAGAAAGCAAAAATCAAAACAAATATATGGTTTTATGTCGAATTTAACCTATCTCAATTCATTTATGAATGGAAGGGACCGGAATTAGTTAAATAGATAGCTTAACGTTTGTTAACAAGCTCTTGTATAAACACATCTCACCACCACCCATCCACCGTCCTTCCTGCACATTCCCTTCTCACAGGTAAAAACACATCTCTGATGCAATGCCACCAAAATAGGACATCAATTATTGAAAAGCATAGGCAAATGGATGTATGTACTCAACTATGAACAGTTGTCACGCGTAAATAATATTCATACAGCATTTATTTGAGTGTGTTTACAATATCGCTAATACGACCAAACAGGAAGTTGACCAGTGGATATTTTACACGCTCTACGCATGCACACAGCGAGTCAAAAATTAATGTGAAACCAACGAATACTGGGACCACCCAATTGTCATGTGATGAGCTGATTGGCCAGATCAACTGATTGTCCCTGCACTTGACTGTCCTGGAAAACGGCTGACCATACTGGGACCAGTCAACTGTCCAGCAATCAGCTCTTCTGGAGATCAGCCATTTGTCCTCAGACCTGACAATCGTCCTGTGGTTCGACTGGGGACTGAGTAATATCTGAGAGCAGGACACAAATTATAAAACTCTTCGCATAACCTACATGTCTAGTATGATGATAGAACAGGGCGATGAAATAAATGTGACATACATACTAGAACATGTGGAAGTAACATGGTATTCTGGCTGGCAACATCCTGAATCAGCACTTTCTGTTCCTTCCTGAAAGTTTCACGGGTTTACGTATTTTGAATATTGCCTCTTGTACATATGACAAAATAACACAGTAACTTTTCAGTACAATTTGTAGTTCCAACTTGGAACCCTCCCACTATTGAATAGAGTCATTACTTAGTTGATTTGACTGAAGATCTAGCACAAAATGTCCCAAAGATCCAAACTCTGTGAAGCGAAGGTATTCCTTGATTGTGGAGGGCAGTGGAATGGACTCAAGGGTTTTCTTGTTGAATTTCCCGTATGAAGCCAATTCTAGAACTATTTTCCGCCGGCAAATGTGAGCAAGGCTTTTTGTGGAAGCTGAAACAGAAACCATCTTAATCTTCATCTACATCAAATATCACTGAGATGATGAACCAAAATATCAGACAGCATTGTATATATCAATGTCAAAATCAATGTCATAAAGATCAGATTTTAGTGCAAACCAATGAGCTGAGGTCATAATGACCTTTCACGAACTTTGACCGTCCAATGAAATGACTAACAGGAAGTTGATATTCACATGCATGAACTCCACACATCCATAAAATTCATACTGTGTCAAAGAGACAAAGTGGTGCTTCGGGTTCAGAAGTAATATTGGTGTACATGCAATGTTTCCTGTCAACATCTTCATAGATCGACCGCCTCCGTGGTGTAGTGGTTAGAGCGTCCGCCCGGAGAGCGGAAGGTCGCGGGTTCGATCCCCGACCGCGTCATACCAAAATACGTTAAAATATGGTACTTGTTGGTCCCTGACTGGCGCTCGGCATTAATGGGTACAACAAGGACTGGTCGGCTCGGAGTCAGTATAATGTGTCTGAGTGGGGTATTCATGCTTCACTGCGGCATGGTATCTCAGTGGGCTAGCACTATAAAACCAGCTTCAGTCTGGGGTAGTACAAGCAGCCGCACATACACGTACACACGCATGCACGTCGTCATATGAGCGAAATATTCTCAAGTACGACGTTAAACCCAATTTCACCTCACCTCACCTCTTCATAGATCAATAAAATCACTAGAGTGTGCTTTAACATAACAACCAATCAGCGACCTCGTAACGGATAATTTAACAATAATAACTTTATGTAAATTGAAAGAATGACTCTCATTGGTCAGTATCTTCTTGCTGTGTATGTCAACATTATCAGCAGTCCATGACATTTTATGCATCTAAACAACAGTAAATAACACATGAAAACAATTGTCATAGCTTAGTCTCAAAATACTAACTTTTACAAAATATCATAATGGCTGGCATCCCTTTAGCTTTAAACATCCTAACCAATGTACCAGGACTACTCAAGAAACCTGAAGTGTTTGAATATTCATAAAGACATCTCTCTAGAAGTCCTGATGAATATTGATAGCTACCCAGAGTAGCATAATGACGTCTACACCTCAGTAACATTATAAGCTCACAGCTATCTACCTGATATCCTCTGCAACGTTTTGGCATCCTCAGGATCAAACAAATCACACACATCACTGGAAACATCCACAAAATGGCAGAAGAAGAGCAGGAAGCCAACAATTGGCAAGGAGCTTTTTCTGTCCTGTGTCTTGAGTAGATGGAGAAGACTAATCCTGTCCCCCGTCTCCATGTCACTGTCTATAGAGGGGGAGGTGAACAGGGACACTGCCTCCCCACCTGCTACCAGCAGCGGCCACAGGTACTGCAGGTGGGTGGGGCACTCATACGAACACTTGTCTGTCTCCGCCTTGTGGATATCATTTCTCAAGGCCAACAGCATTGCAATATTGCCTACTATATTATCATGGTAGATACTGGGGTTGGCGCCGTGCTCTAGCAGAAGTCTGTAAAACTGGAAGTTCTTGTTCCACAACATGACTAGTAACGGAGGCAGGTCTCTTTTAGTTTGTGAATTAGGAGTCAGTCCTGCTTTTAACAACAAGCTGACTCCATCAAGTGGCCAGTCATCCTTTACATGACACAGAACGGATGCATGTGTGGCGGACGCTATGTCTGTTGCCAATGGCGACAGCTCGGCAAGTTGGTCTGCATCAAGGGGAAGGGACAGTGACGGATCAAACCCCGAGGTGAGGAGTGTCTTCAGGATGAATGTATTACTCAACTTGAGAGCAAGGAGGAGAGGGTGCATGTCAGAGTAGGTCTCTCCGGAACACATGTAGCTGTGTCACTGGCAACAACCTCTTCACACATCTGAAACATGACATATGGTCATACAGACAAATGTTTTGGGGATTTCAAGTGATCTTTACTTCTGCTTTGAAAAATGATTAAATCCTCTCAAAAAGAGATTTTATGTTGGTGTTACAGAGATTAGTTTCAAACAGAGCTCCAATGATACCACATCGTACAAGATGTTATTATGGGTATGAGATCAGTATTTCTATAAATCATCATTTTACCCAATGTGTCCTTTATACACGGCATACTGCAGGGGACAGCATTGATGTCTCGGACAGACATGTTGGCATTGGCCCCCGCCTCGAGCAGCAGCTGCACACACTCCTCATGCCCCTCCTGTGCCGCTATTAGCAGAGGGGAGGCGTTGTCCTCCGCACCTTCATTCACCAAGTCTAGCAGGCCTGGGTATAACATAGTCAACAGTATACATATAGATGGAACATTCTTCAAACAATCAGCATGATGAAAACTTCCAGAAACTAGCCTTCTATTACTGAACAATGTGGTTCCGTGGCACCATATCTATATGTCCCAGTTATAGTTGATTTGTATCATAAATATTCAAATTAAAGAATACATATGAAGTGGGACTTTGATTTTCAGCATGCTCTATAAGTCCAAATTTATGTCATTCAACTGCAAATACACAGAATATATTTGATGCATAAAATTGCATACCTGCTTTTTAAACTTACTCAATGACACCATCTTAGGTGAGTAAAATGACTATCATTTGAAAAGTGGGTGAAAATGCATGCAGTACCCACATGAGCTAAATCTTATCTGAGCTCTGCTAATGGCCAAAATGCACATGAAATAATGGCAGCCATGTTTAATGTAGGACTGAAATTCTGCAAGTATGTTCTAAAGACATCATAGCTGAATCGGGGCAGTGGGGTAGCTTAGTGGTTAAGTGTTTGCTCGTCATGCCGAAGACCTGGGTTCGATTCCCCAGATGGGTACAATGTGTGAAGCCCATTTCTGGTGTCCCTTCATGATAGTGCTGGAATATTGCTAAAAGCAGTGTACAGCCTCACTCACTCACTCACTCATGGCTGGAATCTTTCACACAATGGACATAGGTTTCAGCTAAATGGGCCTATTAGTTTCAGATGAGATATTGAAAATGTAAATTTTACTGACAGATAACACACCCCAATATAAGCTCAGTTGACTTTCACACAGATCAGTTAAAATTTGTGAGTTTCAGTTTTGGTCATCGGTTACTTGTTACTATTTGGAATCTGAAAACCAAGTTAAGGAAACAGTCTCCCTACTAGTACTAGCCTGAAAATGACAACACAGGATATCACTTGTCTACAAGCCCCCAGAAGACTTTCATCATGAGACAAACGGACTCGGACTAATTGTAATTTCCTTACTTTTGCTCTTGGCTGCCTTGAGGAGGCATCTGAGACTACCAGTGCGACCAAACTGAGCTGCCAGGAATATGGGTGTGAGATGATGGTCTGCTAGGACATCCAGCTTGGCCCCATGATTGAGGAGATATTCCACCAGGTTGTCCAGCCCCTTCTCTACAGCTAGGTGAAGTGGGGTGTAGTTGGTGAACATCTTGGTGTTGGTGTCAGCTCCTCTACGTATCAATAATCTACAGCACTCATAACATTCCATTTTTGTTGCTGGAAAAACAAACATAGACTATATTTTTATGGGACAACGAAGATGTATGAATAAAGATTCACTCAACTTACACGAGTGACTGACTCTACAACATCTACAACATCACATGTAGAAATAACCAAGATGGTGCCAACCACATGTGATTGAAAAAACACCTTTATTTTTTATCAGTTAGTTTCAATGTAGGTGGTTGTACAAAATGAGTGAGAGAGTGAAGTGAGTTGGGTTTTACGCCGCTTTTAGCAATATTTCAGCAACATCACGGCGGGGGACACCAGAAATGGGATTCACACATTGTACCTATGTAGGAAATAACCGGGCCTACATCGCAGGTGAGTTCAAAAGGTAGACGAGCGAACACCTTAACCACTAGGCTACCCCACCGCCCCATTTACAAAATGAGTTTAGTTTTATGCCGTTTACAGCAGGGGGACACAAGAAATGGGCTTCACACATTGTACCCATGTGGGGAATCGACCCCCGCGAGACAACACCTGAACCACTAGGCTTCCCCATCTCCCCTGTACAAAAGTTATTAAAAATGTCAACTTCCAGATTAATTTTGTTGCATATCATTTTAGAATCAAAACAACAACTGTTGACATTAGATGCTTGATTAGAATATGCTATTTGATGAACATAAAGAATTTTCTGGTTTTCATCTTTTCGTTCTTTGATACAACATTTCAGGGCCTATTCCAGCCCCATCGTCAGGTCAACTGTTCACATGGCAAGACAAAGGAAGATTGTTTTACATGTTAGCTACCTTTTCTGGCTGAGATGAAACTTTGTGCTTTAATATTTCATCCCATTGTAAAACAGTCAGACAAAAAAGTCATTTATTTCTTCTTTTCTTTCTAATTCAGTTGTTTTTTCGTTGGTCAGTTTCACATACCAAATTTTAAAATTATAAGGCCTAATATTAGAATAACATATGGGTTTAACATGACACACAATCAGTCACACCTGCCTTTAAATGAGTTATTAAAAAACAAGCATGGTGGATCTGGGGCATAATCAGCCCTATAATCTGAGAGTATGTAACCTGCCACAAAACAACATTCCAGTTCCTGTTGCTCTGTTGCAGACATTTCTTTCTGTGATCATCTGCATGATTACTGTTTTGGCACAAAACAACAAATACTCAATCTTTGCTTTAGTAGCCACTTGAGTCTTTTGTCTTAGGAGGTGGGGTAGCCTAGTGGTTAAAGTGTTCACGCGCCATGCCATGCCACGTTCGATTCCCCACAAGGCTACAATGTGTGAAGCCAGGAATATTGCTAAACGTGGCATAAAACTTAACTCACTCACTCATCTAAATTAGCTTATCTTAAACTAACATTGAAATTCTTTTGAGGCAGTAACATTGTAGCAACAATCTAAATGTTTAACAACCTTCCCAAAGAGGTGTGAAGCCTTCATTTGTAGCGATGTTTGGGTCTGCCTGGAAAGACAGCAACACACGCACACAATCCAGATGGCAATGGCGGGCTGCCAGCAACAGTGCTGTCTCCTCAGCAAATGACACCCAGTCAGGATCAGTCTCATCTAAAGAAAAGAAATAATTCCATGAAAAGAAGAAACAAGACTCACGGGACTGTAGCTCAACTAATCATTTTGTATTAGCAAAGGATAAAAATTGTAAACAATTTGAAATTATTACTTTAAATATGCTGACATCCACCTTTTCATGATGTCACCGTCTAGCCCTCAGGCTTTAAATATTTAATCAATCTTTTGTAGAATCAAACTTATAATGTGTCCCATACACATTAACCGGGCATCATATAACTCATTCATTTAGACATGGCCAGATGTTACAATGACATAAAACACTCCAAATAGAGCCTTTTCTCAAGGTTAAGGACACTGATAACAGTCAACTAAACACACAGGAGTCTTTAGTTCATGTGAGCTACAATTGTTAAAAATACAACATAAGATATTCATGATAGGTTCAAAGCTAGGACTGGTACAACCTTGTCTCAGAAGAAACTCCAGGCATCCAGGGTGGCCATAGGAAGCAGCCTCGTGGATAGGTCGCCATCCTCGGTTGTCACGCACATCAACAGGTCCACCTACAAACAAGTGATGAAATAATTGACCATGATTACATAGAAATATTTCACTTCCAAATATATTCTGTATACTCTCTCAGGCCTACAACAACCAGTCAACAAACAGTATCATTTTCAATGGTTTGACAGACTTTTATTGTTCTACAGAAGTGGTAAGGTTGTAATAATTTGTGCACAAACAGTCCAAGTTTGATAACCTTTTTGTTCAATACAAAAGGACTGTTTAGAATGTGAAAGTTACCTTAGCATTTAAATGGAAGAAAGCCACACACCACTTAAAAGTATCAACAGTGTGGTTGTGGCTGCAGATTAACATGCTGAGGCCTTTAGCAAATATTTACAGTTCATGGACCTGATATCACATGTTCAAGTTAAGGATGGAAACAATAAGTGATTAATTGTTTACTCGTGTATGCCAGTCCTAGCAGTAACAACAAAAAGATGAACAAATACTTTCCACATTTTAAGGGCTAATGATGCAATAAACCATCAACAAAAACTATAATGTCTTTTCTAAATATGGACACTGGTAATTTCATCCTAACTCATGGACAATGATATTACACGACCATATATACTGTATAAGTAACTTCCTACCATGATATTTTACTACCATGATATTACACGACCATATATACTGTATAAGTAACTTCCTACCATGATATTACACGACCATATATACTTTATAAGTAACTGAAGTGGCTAGCCTAGTCTCTTCCTACCATTCCAGACCAGTTGCTGAAGTGCCATGAGATCTCCTGCCCTGGCTGCGGCACCCACAGTGGAGCAGGTGTGAGCGTAAGCCTCACTGAAGTTCATTGCTCACATGCATTCTACAGAGAAAACACAAACATTACAGATAAATTGACTCAACATGTACATATGAATAAAATAATTATGTAAAATATACTTTTCTTGTTTTTTTCAGGCACCTATATGTTAACACTTTTAGCAGAATTTCATACATAAAAGGGATATCGCAGTAACCTAATTGCATCAAAATGGCATCGGAATGGTATCTGACTTTACACTCAACCTGGCAAAATAACACCATGTTAACTGATGAAAACAGGGAGCATTTTCATATTATTGTTATTCTATTTACCAGAATCAGTAAAAATTAAACATAAGGTAAGTACATGTACGTCATCCTTTAATGTTATATTCATGGATCATTTATTCGAAAAAATATATTGAATTCAGATACTACAGACACAATAGTAACTCATTAACACAACATTTTTATTTTCACCAATACATATCGTAATCACACTGCCCTAAAGAGCCTTATGCTTTGGATTTTGATATAAGTAATATCGTGGTGTTCCAGCTTAAAGTAGGAAGAAAGTCAGAAATGATGCAGGTCACAGACCTATGAGTATATTAACAATGCTGACAAACTTATCAGCATTATCAGAGTGAACCAGGACTCGTTTCCACAATCAAAGGTTTATGGCAAGCCGAGGCACACAGCTCTGCGTGACAAATTATGGTGCCTTAGAAAATTGGGCCAGCTGTCACCCTGAAGATGCTGGAAAGAATTATGGACCTCTTCCTGGCATGACTAATTTCACATTTTCAGATGGAACCAACATAAATGCATCAGATAAATTAATTATTAATGACTGATTTAATAAATGAATATTGCACTAAATTGGGGAGTTATATTTGCTGGTGGTTGTTAATGATTCAAATATGAAAGTAAGGACTTGGAAATGTATCATTGAAGTGAGTGAGTGAGTTTAGTTTTACACCACCCTCAGCAATGTTCCAGCTATATGGCGGCAGTCTGTAAATAATCGAGTCTGTACCAGACAATTCAGTGATCAACAACATGAGCATCGATCTACGCAATTGGGATATCATGACATGTGTCAACCAAGTCAGCGAGCCTGACCACCTGATCCCATTAGTCGCCTTTTACGACAAGCATGGGCTACTGAAGATCAATTCTAACCCGGATCTTCACGGGTTGTATCATTGAATAGTGTGTATTGAATGAATATTTAATAAAAGTGAAAATGTCAAAATGCATAGGGAATGAAAGAATTGAAAGAAATGGTTTAAATGTTGTGAAATCAGATATATTGCAAACAGTAAAATAATGTTCGTTTCTTTACATATACCAAATAATATAATTTGTGCCGCTTCTGTCAGCCAAATATGGCACAGTCATAGCCGATTCCTTCCTGCTGTTTCGGCATGGCACTTTTGGTGGCGCTTTTGTCTGCAAACCTACAGAACCTGACTGTGACATGTCTGAATCTACATTAAAAGCAGTTACCTGTAAAATTAATGACTCAGTCTTAAAGAATGAATAAATTATTACCGAGGAAGACTGGTTTCGACCTGAGCTATTTTTATCTAGATTCGAACAAGTCGCAAATACTGTAGGCTTATTCGTTTCCTGCAAATGAGACGAAAGAAGAATCATCCGAACTTTTCCTGAAAACGGGTGACAGCTATTCAAACATCTAGTTCATGGCAGTGTCCATAACACATCATTGTATGAAACCAGAAGATTTTGTTGATGATGTGTTTCTCTATACGCACTACTCTCCCGCGACCTTAAGACAACCTCATATTTATATACCTTCTCTTTATGTCCTGATAGATGAAATTACAAGCCACCAAGTCGCTTATGTTTTGGATTACCTCCCTTGAAAGCAACGGTACCGCACTTACTGTTATGCTAAAAGCGATTGGCTAAAATTATCATTCACTTCGAATCTACTACTTCCGATTTATCGGAACGTGCACTTGTCGCAGTAAACAATCGTATGGTGTGTACGTTTCGGAGACACTTCTGACTTATTGTAGGTGTATTTCTATCAACACCTGTATCCTAAAAGACACCTTTATCATGGGGTCGTCGAAAAAACACAAGGAAAAGGATAAGGAAAGGGAACACAAGCATAAACGAAAGCGTCGATCTCGGTCACGATCGAAGGAAAGGCGCAGCAGACGAAAGGACAGAGAAGAAAGACGAGGAAAAGAGGAACCCCAGGATAAACCCCGCATAGCTGAACCAGTTGAACCAGAAGGTATGTGTCCTAACTTACCCGAGAGCAGTAATGGGGTCCTACATTCATGTCTTGACTACAGGGCCCCAGCGTGTCGTGATTGCCGACGGGTAGATCTAGTCAATCATAAAAAGATCTAGTTATCAATGTAAAGCAGCTTAGCTCCACAAAGGGATAAACTTAGTTGTGCTGGAAAATTTTAGTTTTTGAAATTACTTTTGGGAATTCTCTGTGAACTTGGGAGTGCAGGGTGTGTCAAGCACCAGTTTCTGAGCAGGTCTAGTTAGTCCTCGTTTGAACAAGGTTTAGCCTGGCAAAAAGAGGAAATGAAATAAATGATTCTAAACAATCTGTAGCCCCCTGTAGTGAGTCACAACATACATCTTTCTGATAGTTAAGGATGAAGTTAAGAGAGGTCACAACATCAGCAACACAGCTAATAATGGTCTGTGACTAATACTTGGTCTGTGAATCCTGACTTCATTGTTCATGATTTATTCTAATGGCAGAATGATACAATTATACTGGCTAGCGAACAGTTATCGCCGCGTAACAGTTATCGCCAATACATCAGTATCACACGTGCACATTTACGGTCAATTACAATTCCGATATTTTTCCCCATGGTATTTGACAACAATATAGCACAGCAAAAGAAAAGTCTTCACGGTAAGTAACCTAAGAGAAAAATTAAAGATAAAGTAATGAACCCTATAACAAAATTTTAACTTAGTCGGGGGTATGTCCCACGACCTATATAATAGCAAGGTCAGGTTCACAAGTCATTAATTGTTTCATTCCCTATCAATCTACTGCAAAAGAAACACTCATATAGTCACACAATCAATTATTCGAGGTTACTGTATGATATGAATATATATATTATTTCACAAATGGCATGAGAAATTCTTAATGGCGATAACTGTTACAGTTAGTTGTGAGAAAACATCTATTTATACCGCCATGATTCCCTTCCGCCGCGTTATATAAAAACATGATCGGTGGCAGTAAAGTGCTGGACACATCGCTGAATAGCTAATTAAGTATCATGATTAATTTTGTTTCATTAATTTAACGAACTGTGGAGTAATTTTGTAAATACCGCTAAAATATGGCGATAACTGTTGGTAGCCAGTATATGTTTCTATTTACTTCATTTCAGGTCAACATGCATCAGCCTCTGGTGGTGGTGAAACATCACTCAGTATTGACGAAACGAAGTAAGTTTGAAGTGTTGCTTAAATGCAGTAGAACCTTTAAGGGTGCAGAGAGAATAGTGGTCCAAAGGAGGAAGGACCAATTTTATAAAGGAAAAGTATTGGGTACTGGCTGGTATAGCCATAAAAGCTTCTGAATAGTGAAAAGATAGTAGACCAGCATAAAACACCAAATTTGAGCAGCGATTTGGAATATTTTGAGGCAACTACGATATAAAAGAATATTGCTGACATAAAATAGCATTCATTTTTTTGTAATATCTGACAACAGACCTGAAAATTATTTTGTTTTCTAAACGTTTTTTGACCATGCATACAATGTGAATAATCATGGATTGTACTTGCTACTTATACAATCATATGTAGACCTGAAATATATTGAAGAAAAATACAACTGTGCCTTTGACAGACAAACAAGACTCACACTCATTGATGAATTAATTACTTGGTGTCAAAAGAAACTGCATATGATGAATACCATGAGGATAGCTTATTGTTTTCTTTTTCAGCCGAATTCGTGCCAAGTTGGGGTTGAAGCCATTAGATGTTCCAGGATCCAGTAATAATGGTATGTCAGTTAACGTTGATCAGTACAGATTCAGTTTCAAGGACGATCGCAAACTGACGTAAGCTGTATAGAAATAACACTCCTTCTATCTGGTATTGGTTATAGTAATACGAGGGGCGGTGGGGTAGCCTAATGGTTAAAGCGTTGCTAATTCGCCCGAAGACCCGGTTCGATTCCCACATGGGCACAATGTGTTAAGCCCATTTCTGGTGTCCCCCGCCGTGATATTGCTGGAATATTGCTGAAAGCGGCGTAAAACCAAACTCAGTCAGTCAATATAGTAATACAGGTATGTACAGACTACCGGTACTCATCTTTATTCAACTGTCTAACATTCATTGTATACTTTGGTTTGTTTAGCAGAGGCAGGTGGAGAGGAGGGTGAAAAGCCGAAGGAGAAGGAAGACGTTCATGCTCCACCTGTTAATTGGGGGGAGCAGAAGAAGACAGAAGCTCTGCGAGAGAAAATGGCAATACTTAAGCAAAAACGACTCATGAACAAGAAGCTTCGGTAATTGTAATAGAGACCCTGTGAAGATCTGGGTCAGAATTGGTTCTTCAGTGACTCATTCTTGTCATAACGGGTGCTCAGGCTTGCTGACTCCATTGATGCATGTCAGTTAGTGAAAGGCCCAGTGTCGGCAATGTTTATTATGAGTGTAAACAAAAATGGTTTCAACTCATTCACACCAAACACATTTATACAACTACACAAATGGAAACAGCAGTAAACCGAATGATACCCTACTCTGAGCAGTTTATGCTGTTGACATAGATAATTTTTCCTTATCCTGACTCATGATATTTTGCTTATCTCCTTCCTCTATGCGAATGGTAGTGGGACACTTGAATCCCTTGTAGTTCCCTGAAGCAGACGTAAAAGTTCACTCACCCATGAGTTGCCTCCCTTTTCCTGCGCAAACAGTCATGTGACCTGCCTTACTTGTCACTCTCTCCTTCATCACCCAAGCGGATGGTTGGGCGAGCACTGGAGTCCTGTATACAGCAATATATCCTTTATATTTTGGCCCTTTTCATCCAAATTATTCTGTGTATGGCTTTAGGCTATATTTGACTTGTATTATATGTAAAAAGTTTGAAAAAATTATTTGTATTTTGTGACATATTTCATCATAATGTAGATTGTTTACGTTTGATGAAATCTTGCAGTGTTTGCAGGTACCGGCTATCAGTGGCTGATCCTCACCCCCAATGCCCATCATGCATTTATCCATGTTCTTCCAACTTGCGTTGCAGTTTTTGTGTCAATTTATCAGATTTTGCAATTTAATGAATATTTATCTTACATCTATATACATGCCATGGATCAGGTGAGGAAGTCATCTCAAGTCACTGTTGATAAACCCGGAGATAATGCCGGTAACCGTGTGTTGTTTTCTACTGCAGAAATACATAATACTAGTGATTTGCCGAGTACGTTGCAGGGGCAGTCGTCTGCTGTTGTTTGTGATTTAGCTGCTGCTAAAAAGAGGTCTAACTCGTCTGAAACGTCGTCATCGCAGTCTAAGAAGAAGATGTCTTCATTCACCTCGACTCAGAAGTCATCTGCATCCAGACCCTCATCGAGATCGTCTCGTTCCGGTAAAACATCTCACCAGAGATCGTTTAATGAAGACATTGTGCCGCTTGCCGAAGCAGACGTTTTTGCTGACCCAGCTGTCAGATGACCAGCCTCCAACAACGCAGACATAAGTCATCAGCGAAGTAGACATAGACAACACATCAGTGTTCGCGAACGCATTGTCCACGCCGCAGCAGTTCCAGCCTACAACGCAGAACTTCGACCTGGGCGACTATATGAGGCAATTTACAACGCAGATGATGGGCCTTGATGGAGCGTTGGTTCGCCGAAGAAGCAGCAGCTCGGCAGAACCCTACGACAGCAGTCAACATTCACAAACCCTCCGACCTGCGCAAACCTGAAGCAACTACACCCCGGTGTCTACAACTGCAGATGAGGTTCGCGAACAGTCACGTTCGCGAAGATCGTCATACTCAGAAGACTCTATTATCATGGAAGATGATGGTTCCACGAACCTCCCAGATGAGTCTGAGAACGTCAAGAAGATCCTCTACGAGATCCTGTCGATCATCATCTAGATCACGCAGCCCACGCAGACGTTCGGGAGAATATTCGTGAAAGGAAGGTTCGAGGAGGCAAGGTTCACGAAGGGAAGGTTCGCGAAAGGAAGATTCGCGAAGATACAGTTCAACGGACTCAGAACTATCTGTTGAGACAGATTACGTGTTCTCCGAAGCAGAAGTTACATCCTGGATTGCAAATGGATTGGACTTTCATCATAGCGTTCCCCTCCAAGGAATCGGATGAAGCATTTACTTATAAGATGTGGAAGGATGACTTCGACACTCTCACCATTCCATTGAACCGATCTCCAGGGTATCTGCGAATCTCAGCGCAGCTGTTGAGAAAGCTACTAGATATCAAGGTCAACACTTACCATCGTTCAACGCGAAGAGATTTCCCTTACATCATATTGAACCCTTCATGAGAGCGTTGGACTTAAATGACAATATGAAGTTGATTAACGACTCCCATATCAAGACTTATAAGGTGGAGGATAAGAAGTTGGCTCAACTTGACACCACTACCAAAGGAACATTCTTTGGATTGGCAAGATCTAGGGCCATCAATGAGGCATTGATATCCAGATTCCAGAATTCCAAGTCCGAAGAGGATAGGATGATTTTATCAGCACTACTAACTCAGAAGAAAGACCAACACTTTATGTCGGATCATCTGGCCTCAACATCGGCGGGTATCACCTTATTACGCAGACATGGTCTACTAGCATCTTGTTCCTGGAGTGACCTATTTACTCAACTACTACTTAGAGCTCCTTGGGAGGCGTCTACCATCTTTGGCGGGGAGATTGATGCTGCTGCTAAAGAAGCCTCTCATGATTCCAGGGAAGTTATGATGATCAAATCCATTGACACATTGGATAATGCGATTCGTCAAACCTCGCACAGATACACCAACAAGTCGAAGTACTCTGGAGTACAGAAGGCTAAGGAGAAGAAATACTCCACCTTCAGAGGAGGAAGAGGCTCTTTTCATCGCCCATCCGGAAACAGTAGAGGAAACTCTGGAAGTGGACGCATTTCCAGAGGTTTCAGAGGATCTAGACGTTTAAGTTGGGGTTCGGAACGACTGAATACTTCCACCCCCGGCCGTTCCTGTACAACTGTCGACAGTGGGTAGATGTCTACAATGGTACTGGGAAAATTGGGGAATATTAGAGGACGATTACGTCTGACAGGTACTTCAAGAAGGTTACAGAGTGAAGCTGAAGGCCACACCACCACTGACCCTCGACCGGGTAGTCTTCAACTACGCAGACGGGCAAAGAACGCCGTAGAAGTGATAGACCAACACCGTCTCACACCCGGATTCTACTCCCCAATTTTCCTAGTACCCAAGAAAAGCTCCATAGAGAAGTTCAGGTTGATTTACAACATGAGGAAATTCAACCAAGAGTATCTACTCAAACCAGAGAGAGATTCAGGATGATACATTTACCGCAACTCAGACAACTCATCCGTCCAGCAGATTACTTGGCCAGCATAGACCTGCAGGATGCATATCTACACATTCCGATTCATCAGGAGTCAAGAAGATACCTAAGATTTCTCTTCAAAGGTCAACACTTCCAATGGAACGTCCTACCGTTTGGAATATCGTCGGCTCTGTGGTTATATACACGAGTAACCAAGCCCATCGTCACCTATCTACATCATCGAGGTCTACACAGTGCCTTTTACCTGGACGATGGGATACAGATTCATCAAGAAGCCAGACAACTCAGATGTCAGCTAGACTTCACCATCAGACTGCTCACACAACTGGGATGGCTAGTAAATTTGATGAAGTCAGAGTTGGAAGATCAAGATCTTCAATTTCACAGAATCGCAGTGTGGTCCCAGAAGATACAAGCCATGATTCCAGAAGCAGTCATCTCTCCGTTACCACTACAAACATGGCAGTGCCTACTTGGACTACTCACCTCAGCGCAGGACCTGACACGCACAGGGAGACTTCAACTACGTCCGTTACAGAGATTTCTGACAAAACATCTGAACAGTGTGGACCTGATCCCATTACCAGTCCCAAGAAATACCTATTATGATGGACTCACAGGTCGAATGTCTGCGGAGGAACCTTTTCACAAGAGCCTGTCTTTGACACTCACCTTTACGTAGATGCAGCACTTCAAGGATGGGGAGCACATCTTGACAACAAAGTAGCATCAGGAAAGTGGTTGGAACAGGAACAGCTTCTTCATATCAACCAGTTAGAAATGAAGTGGTGATCAACGCCTTACAACATTGGTCGAGCTCACTAATCAACAGGATACTGATGATTCACATGGACAACTCAACAGTAGCGTTCTCCATAAACCGACAAGGATCAACAAGATCACTAAGTCTTCTACAGCTCACCTTCCAACTGTTCAACATCACAGAGGAATCAAACATTTGGATAAAGGCGTGTCACATACAAGGAGCCAGGAACGTACTAGCAGAGGCTCTATCACGCCCACTTCATCCGTCACCTACGGAATGGATGCTCCACCCAGAAGCGTTTCGGCTCATCATAATGGAAGTAGGACCCCCTGCATAGACCTGTTTGCCACAAGGTTCAACAAGCAACTACAGACATTCGTCTCACCAGTACCGGACCCTCAGGCTTGGGCAACAAACGCACTGAGCATATCGTGGGAAGGACTAAACGCATACGCGTTTCCGCCTCGTTTCTGCTACCTCAAGTACTACTAAAGATCAAACAGACTCCAGCGTTACAACTGATTTTGGTCGCACCCTATTGGCCAGCGAGCGGCTGGTTCACAGATCTAGTACAAGGACTGGGAAGACCAACCCTGAAGTTACCAGAATGGCCAAACCTACTCATTCATCCGCACACCAAGCAAGTTCACGGGAACCCACTAATGTTCCAGTTACACGTATGGAACGTATCAAAACTTGCCTTAGGAAAAGAGGATACTCCACCAGAGCAGCCAAAGCTCTATGCAGATCAACTTGCAATTTGTATGACAACAAATGGCAGAGGTTTGAACAATATGCAATACGGAAAGGTTTCACAGCAATGAAAGCAAACTCATCCTCAAGTGGCGGAATATTTATGTCATCTTAGGGAGAGGAGATTGAAAGGTTCGACATTATCTACATATCTAGCAGACATCAGTACAGTTATTACGATGAAAACTGGTATCAAACTGACGAAACAACCGGAATTACTTGCTCTACTACGTTCTGGAAGACCAGCAAAAGAAATTCAGAGCACCAGCCTGGGATTTGAATGTAATTTTACGACATCTCATGACTGATGCCTATGAACCACTACAGCAAACTACCTTTGAGCTACTCACACAGAAGACTTTGTTCCTACTGGCCTTAGCAACGGCAGCTCGAGTTTCAGAAATACATGCGCTGGACTTTGGACGAACTAGATTTGACACGGGAAACCATGCTGCAGTACATCTAGGACTTAGATGGGATTTTATTGCAAAGAATCAGTTACCTGACTAACCAGATAGACAGTTTCACGTCCCAGCGTTATCTACAATCCTTGGTCCAGAGGATACCCATGATCTATCTTTGTGCTCTGTCAGAGCCCTTAGAATATATTTAGCAAGACTAAAACAAGGAGAAGAAAATTCAAGCGCCTATTCATCCTCTTGTCAACAGAAACATCTGTAGAGGTTTCAAGAACGACAATATCGTTTTGGATGAGAGCCGTTATACTAAGGGCCTATAAAGCAGCAGGATTAGAACCTCCAAGAGCCTCCAACCCACATGAAGTTAGAGCTTTAGCGTCTATTTTAGCCCTACACAGAAACTGCTCAATATCATTGATAATGGAGGGCTGCTTTTGGAAATCAGATACAGTGTTTGCCAATCACTACCTCAGAGACATTGCCACTGAAGACGTCTCCGGCATTCATCAATTTGGGCCACTTGTTGTAGCACAACAACTAACTGTTCCTCAAAGGCGCTGAGTTGGAAATCTCACCCTTTATCACATTGACTTGTTGATAACATTCTCTCTGGAGAGTTTGAATGAAGTCCATGCGCTCCGTCTAAGACTAGACTAGCATGAGTGATTAGACTCTGTATGGGTAATGATCTTACCTGTACGTTAAGGGGTCGCAACGCATTTATAATAAAGATCTTATTATAATCTATGAGTTGTTATAGATAACTAGTTAAAAGAAGATACTAGTATATCTTAAAATCTACATGAATCTGAAGATTCACTTGTCTAAGAGAAGTATGACAAGATTGTGGTCCCCCGAGTTGATAACGGAAGTTGGAAGAACAGGACCTAGGAAGTGCCGTTACGCAGCTCCCAGGTGGGGGATACAGGACATATCTTAGGACAGCCGATGAATCCACGAAGTGGCTTGACCCACCACCTATCTGTCGGAATCTATAAGCAAAATATCATGAGTCAGGATAAGGAAAAATATGTAATTTTTTAAGTAAAATTGATATTTTATACCTATCCTAACTCATGAGGTCAAGCCCTCCCAACCTCCCCGCTGAAGACACTTCGGGTTTTACAGTAAACTCAGGTGAATGGGCTAAATTCAGGAGAGAGTGACAAGTAAGGCAGGTCACATGACTTTTGCGCGGGGAAAAGGGAGGCAACTTGTGGGTGAGTGAACTTTTACGTCCGCTTCAGGGAACTACAAGGGATTCAAGTGTTCCACTACCATTCGCATAGAGGAAGGAGATAAGCAAAATATCATGAGTCAGGAAAAGTATAAAATATCAATTTTACTTAAAAAATTACATGTTTATATTTACAGGATGTTATCAGTATTAAAAAAGTGAATGATACATCAGCCGTTTTCTCAAGAAATCTGCTGATTTATTATGAATCTTGTTATTGAATCCTTATTTTGAATGTTCTATGGTATATTACAGATGAAGCTCTCTTTTCAAGTGTTCAAATCTTAAGGCGTTATCATGTACCTTGCATTTATAACTGAAACATTTGCAGAGTAGGTTGAGAAGGTACAAAATCAGATAAAATGATCAGTTTAAATCCTAATGGTTTAAACTGGGCACTGTGATTAAGAATACCTAATTGTTCTGATGTTTCAATTATACTTTCATTATTTAAAAATATCCTGTTTGTTATTTTTCCAGGAAAGTGAAAGGACTCGGTGACAGTGATACTGACACAGATGACATGTCCAAGTGGGTCAAGCGGTCCAGGAAAATGGAAAAGGAGAAAGTTTTGGCTGATAAAAGAGTATGTAACAATATTATTAAATATATCTACCATCAATAAGAGCTAAAGAGCTTGTTCCCATCACATCAGTGCTACTGATATACTGGACATTCTGATACTGTGTTCTTTAAGGAAAGTGCATGATAATTACTCATAACAGTACATGTCACAACAGTATCAAGAGGATGAAACAGTCCATGACAATGTTAGCTTTTGGCAACAGCTGTAGAGTCTCTCCATATTGTGGTGGGGTAGCCTAGTGGTTAAAGCGTTCACTCGTCACGCGGAAGACCCAGGTTTGATTCCCTACATGGGTACAATGTGTGAAGCCCATTTCTGGTGTCCGCTGCCGTGATATTCCTGGAATATTGCTAATACCATACTCACTCACCCATATTGAGGATCAGGAAAAATTGAAATTGGCTTTATCCTCAGATAGCCATGCAGAAGTAATGTGTACCATAATTTATACAGGTATGTTTAATTTGGAAACTTACATGCCTATTAAAATCTTTGCTAGTGGGTAGTAATGGACATTTTAAAGAGTGGTCTAATTGCTATTCAGTTATGACAAGACATGTTCACTATGGCTGGTAGCCTAGTGGTGCAGGTGTTCGCCGAGACAATGACCCAGCTTTTAATTCCCTGTGGGTATGTATGTATGGTTGAGACTCATCGCTTGTACCCTGTTTATGATATTGGCTGAATATAGCCTATGCATATATAAACGAGAGTCTCTGATCAGGCTGACTTACCTCATGTCATTGTGTGTTCAGGCCAAGCTTCTGGAAGAGATGGATGAGGAGTTCGGCATCAGTGACCTTATGGACCAGGAGTTCAAGGACAAGAAGAAGGTAGGACCTTCAACCCTCTCTTGACACTGTGGTTCTCCATGGTTGAGTTTATTGCAGTTTATTGAATGTTCGGAGAATTACGTGAATCATTTTCTCTTCTAGTAGTACTTGGTTGACTCGTTTCATCGTATCCATATTGTGTAGATCGATGCTCATGCTATTGATCGCTAAATTGTATGGTGACTCTTGTCCTGACTCGATTACTTACTGACCGCCGCCATATAGCTTGAATATTGCTGAGTGCGACATAAAACTAAACTCACACTTCTAGTAGTTTAAAAGGAATCTGGAAAAAAGTCTTAAGCCACAAATTTCAGCTGGTTTTCCAGGAATTGTACAGCATTATAAGATGATAAGTTTCTCATAAAATAAGCAAGCTGATTCCTATTGTCAAATGATAACTTTTGCATGACAGTCTTTCATATTATCCACTAATCTGAAGTTTTGGGTTGATGAAATGTATTTCTGTGCAGATCTTCAGCTGATTATGTCCCAATATTTTCCATAAAATCTCCTGAAAAGGAAAGCTCTTGGTTAGCAGACTCAATTACCTGTTGTCAGTGGTGCCATTCCCATTGCAGGATTACTCAGCCCGAGACCTGCAGGGGTTGACGGTCCAACATGAGATTGATAAATTCAGTGATGGTCGTGGAGTTATTCTCACACTTAAGGATAAAGGTAAGGCAGATTTTAAACAGTACCACTGTTTTATTGTGTTTACAGATCTCTTTGGTTTGTTATGAATGTTTTCAGTCAGGTATTCCAACGTACTAAATCGCATTTCGTTACATCATAACATTTCACACTTTAGCTGGGAGTGAGAAATTGAAACATTTTTACTTCATGATCCACTAAACTGTATTCTGATACATGTTGATTCCCGAATTGCGAAATAAGCCTCAGCAGAGTATAATGATCATCACTCACAATGCTGGTCTTCTGGTAACCTGATATCACGTGAGATGAGAGGCAATAGCCAGCTACCCTTATATACACAGGAAAAATTCTAGAATATCTACAATCGTCTTTGAGTTAGGAGACCCTGGGAACATCACCCTGCAGTACCTTCCAGATCTTTCTGTCTAAATCTAGTACAAGTTTAATATAGCACACCATTACAGCTTACTGAATCTACATATACCATGTATTACACTTGTAATGTTTTACACAATGATTTACACTAATGCAAAACAACAGTGTGCGAAATAGCCATTGGCCCGCTAGCCCGTGGCTAGTAAAAATCCAGTCGGGCCAGTATATTTCCACAGTCACTGGCCTGACTGGCTTGTGAACTTCACGGTGTCATTTTGTAAATATATCACTCTCTCTGACTTGTTAAGTATTAATACACTTTTAAATCATGCAAGATTATGGCCTGATAAAGTTTTCATAATATTAGCAGCTTAATGATGAAACCTGTGTCTACATTCAAATATCGGGCTAGTGAATTATTATGTGGGCTGGTAGCTTCCAGGTATTGCTAGCCCGACTGGCTAGCAAAATTTGGAAACCATCTCGCACACTGCATAACAATTTATAATTGTGTTTATCTGATATATCATGTATTATTCTCTAAGAAGTCAGAGAACACCAGAATGTTTCATATGACTGTAGTTTATCAGTAATGATAAAACACTTAGTATACAGGAAACAAAGACATTGTGGTTCTAACAGTCTATGCTACACAAAGGGAACATTTAATTTTTTTTCATACGACAGTATTTTTATCAACCAGTGATTGCATGCTGTTTATTTGCTGCCACCTAGGTATTCTGGATAAGGATGAGGATGACGTGTTGATCAATGTGAACATGGTTGATGACGAGGTTGCTGAGAAGAATGTGGACAACAAGAAGAAGAAGCCGGAGTATAAGCCGTATGATGAGCCTGAGTACGACGAATATGGCATGGTATGTTCAACTAACACTTACACCGAGTCTCTGTGTGTTTATCGTCCATTAAACTGAACTGCAAAACATGTCAAGCTTGGTCGCTGTCCATAAGACACACACTGTTTGGTAATTTAGATTCACTGTCCTCATCCATAAACTTGATGTATTACATTTCATGTAAATATCACCTGGAAGACAAGGTTTTTTGGTATCTGGGGTTTGGATAAGCGTGATTCTGATGGATATGTTAATAGCAACATAGGAATTTCCTGAAATGTCCTCCATTATTTCATTGTCTTAAGTAAAAACGGTTCAGTTACTCATATCTTCTTGTGTTACAGCTGAAGCCCAATAGCATTCTTGACAAGTACGATGAAGATATTGATGGAAATAAAAAGGTTAAGAAGTCCTTCACACTTGGTATGTGTAGTTTGCTATACATTGTACACATTGGATATTTCATTATTGCTGTCCTCTTTCTATTTCTTGTGAGGAAGTATGAGCTATTTCTCTCATGTGAACGTATGCCAAGGCTGATTTAAATGACAGTGATGGGCAGGGCTGGCCTCATCCTCGATAATCTCCAGGGTATAACTTTGCGATAAATCTCCACTATACCCTGCATGCATCTACGGCTCGGCCCCTTGATTTTATTACCTCCCTTGGCTAGCTTTTTATCCGTTCAGGTGTCTATGCTGGGAAGTTGAGTGTACCAATCACAACTCACTTTCACTTCTTTTATCTAACCTATTAAACTTGGCAACATAATTGATGCGGAGGTACTCTGAAAGAGGTAGAAAGAGTTCTTGCATATATTTTTTAAGGTTTCAGATCTGTCAATTTGTCTGTATGATATTCCCCAAAATCTGAGTCGCACTGTGAACAAACCTTCGCTGCTGCGGCCGCTATCTTTGTTGACACTGGCAAGCTCGGTTGTAACGGCGGCTTGGGGCGGTGGGGTAGCCTAGTGGTTAAAGCGTTGGCTCGTCACGCCGAGGATCCGGGTTCGATTCCCCACATGGGCACAATGTGTTAAGCCCATTTCTGGTGTCCCCCGCCGTGATATTGCTGGAATATTGCTAAAAGCGGCGTAAAACTAAACTCAGTCAGTCAGTCTGTAACGGCGGCTTACCTGATTGGCTACTGTGAGAATGCGGAGCCAGCAAAGGGAGGTAATAAAATTATCGGGCCGAGCCATAGATGTATCCGGGGTACTAGTGGAGATTTTATCAGAATGTATACCCTGGAGATTATCGAGGATGGGCTAGCCTAGACATGTAACGAACTGCAGCCTGAAGTGCAGAGTTGCATCTGTTGGGTTGTTGGATGCACAGCTGAGGCACCAGTATAAGATGCATAGAGTTATGTCCCTTAGATCAGAGAGTTATGTCCCTTAGGTGTGGCAGGATCCCATGATCATTAGTTGGAATCCTCAACTCACTTTGATTATTGTCTTCTGTTTCTCCTCACCATAGCCATGATGCCTGTGGTAGTAGAAATACTGTCCACAACAGTGTTAGGGTTGAGGGGATATTACTGGAGGTGAAGTAAGAGCTGCTTAAAAACATAGCCAATCACTTCTTCACTAACACACAGTGTAAATCCACACTCCCTCTGTGGCAGGTTCCGGAGGCAAGTATGACGCAGATGAAGATCGAGAAATGGAGAGGATTCGTACAGAGCTCAGACAGCAAGGGGTAAGTTTTAACTTTCATCATGGCTTATAAAAGTCTTTTGTGATTACTCTGTTTGAAGAACTCAGATTTGGTTTCTGAACTTACATGGTTTTAACATGTTTAACTAAATGTTCCTATTACTGAACTTGAAATTTGATAAGAGTGTAATTTGGTAAGACAGCAACAAAGAGTAGGTTATAATAGGCTTTTGTCTCTTTCAGCAAACATTAGCAATGCCAGCCCTTACACTAGCCAGTGAATACTACACTGCAGAGGAAGCGGTGAGTATAAACACACATTCTTTTTCAGAAGAAGTCCTCCTTGGGGTACATATAAGCATTAAAATGTCCATTTTAAAACCTACGACAGTTCTAACTATATTTAATACACATATTTACTTGTCTTGTGAGACCACTCCTACAGGTCTCTTTTGTTAAGTAATTAAATTCCAGGGACCGTGAGAAGACGTTTAGTTAAGCGGTATTGTTTACTTATCCGAGTTTAGTTAACCGAACTCTAATAGTGATAATTAATGAAGAAATTTGCCGCGACCAAAGAATAGTGTTTTCTTATCCGGTCTGTTTAGTTAAGCGGTCTTTACTTAGGCGGTTTCCACTGTATATAGGTTGATTTTTTCATTCATAAATTGTTGTAACTTTGCCATTTGGGTCCCAATTTCCAGCCATGTGGCAGGCAAGATGGCGGACAGGGTGGCTTACATTCGTTCCTTGTTGTGTGGCGCTTGGCGTTCACAAAACTTGGACAGAACATATGGGCTAAGGACCCACCCTCCAAAACCTTTATTCCTTCACCCTTTTTATCGGTGATGGTATCTGGTGGTGGTTTTTATTCCCACTCTACTTTGGTTTCTAAGATGCCTAGCGGTTAGAACAATCAGAAAAAAATACATTATCAGACAATAAAGGTATAGTTTTTTGATGACGTAACAATTGAATGACGTTATCCCGTCACTGCGCCATTCTAGTGTGCCCCCTCGTAATCGAACCATTTTACATTACGTCACAATGTAAACGACGTCACGATGCATGTCAGTTGTCATCGCCTCGTACGGCCTCCTACAGTAAACTACACCTTTGCATCCAGTTTCTTGGTTTGCTGTTGCTTCACGCAGCTAACATCACTGGTGGAAACATTACGTTTATGTTTTACGACGGTTAAAATGTGTCATTTCGACTCACAAGTTTTCAGCGACACGGTAACGCGTTCAGTAATGTTTACATTCCCACAATGCAATTGTGGAATGTCGCTTGACTACTCAACTTCCTCTGGATGTACTGATCTAAACTTACGCTGGTAGTAGAAATGCAACGTTCATATTGCCCCATATGGTTTTACGTTAATGACAGATGTAATTAAAATAATTCAGAGAAGATATTTAACCCGAACGTAAGCCGTCATCAAACTGTTATCATTTGTTTTTTTCTGGTAACGTTCGTCTTAACGTAGGGGGCAGACACATCAATAGAACAGCCGCGCCAGTTAGCCCTGTGCGAGGATTCTTAATTTAGGTCACCGACACCGTCGTTTGTTTTCTGCCTTAAATTAATCGTAATTATCTTTAGAAAGTATTAAATTTGGCATCTTAGAAAAGAAATACAGTTAAGCCTACCACCATGTATAGTGTAATAAAACACACTTTAAGCCCTGAACTATTATAGCGTTAAAAGCACTTTCGGACGCAAGCGTCCTCGTGCTTTAAGTATAATAGTTCAGGGCAAAAGTGTGTTTTATTACACTATACATGGTGGTAGAGCGAAGTGTATTTCTTAAATATCAGTGCCTTACTTTTACTCTCCATTTTCCCATGCTTGGCTAGCTGTGTGCTATGGACAGTAGTTTGTTTTGGCGAGTCCCCCGTATTTACACACCTCCAACCCTTGGGTTGGGGGGTGGGGTTTGTTTACTGTGGGTGTGACACCGATAAGCCAAGCGGCATATAGGCTTTGACAATCCGGGTCCTCGCCTTAGACACACACCGCCTTGATTGACATCGGCGGTCAGGTGACTAGGTAAGTGTAATTTTCTATTTCCGTTGCGATTGTTACTTCGATTGGATCACTATGTCAGACAGAATACCACTCCCGGCTCAAATATCTTTGGGAGTCTGTTTTATGCTTATATGTACTCCAAGGAGGACTTCTTCTGAAAAAGAATTATACAAACCTGTAGAGGTTATGAATTCTTTGAAGAAAGTCCTCCTTGGGGTACGGCCACCCCCCTCCCCTCATTCTGTCTGATCCTTTCAGCATGAAAAGTGAGGTGCAAGGTTGACGGCTAGAGTTATCTGCTCTTGCCTGTAGCGGGCCCTGAGGGGCCCTGTAGGAGTGGTCTCACAAGACAAAAATGTGTTTTTTGTTTTGTAAATATTTTTATTAAAATATAGTTACAACTGTCGTAGATTTTTAAATTGACATTTTAATGCTTATATCTACCCCAAGGAGGACTTTCTTCAAAGAATTCATAACCTCTACAGGTTTGTATAAATTGTTTAATAATTCCATGACAAGCTGATGGCACATGAGGCTTTGATACAAAACCTTAAAATGAGAGCTTAAAACCAATTGGTTCAATAGGTTGAACCAGCCAATCAAAACGTGTGTTACATATTCATTGTGTATCTCTAACCTCAACACTTAATCCTGGTGCTCAATGGCAGCGGAAGACTTTCTAGGTTGTGATAATTGACTGATGTATTCCACTCGCTAAAGACCCATGAAGGTCCGGGTTAGAATGAACTTTCAGTAACCCATGCTTGTCGTAAGAGGCGACTAACGGGATCGGGTGGTCAGGCTCGCTGGTTTGGTTGACACATGTCAATTGGTTCCCAATTGCACAGATTGATGCTCATGCTGTTGATCATTGGACTGTCTGGTCCAGACTCGATTATTTACAGACCGCAGCCATATAGCTGGAATATTGCTGAGTGCAGCGTAAAACTAAAACTCACTCACTCACTCCACTCGCTAAATGTGTTTACTTCCAAGCTTGACTAGGATTGCTGAATTTCATGCTGAATTAGAGTTTGTAGCTGAAGGTACAATCGAAAGCGTACTTAAGTTTTAAGATTTTATGTTGTATACAGCTTTGGTCCTTTTGGTGACTGTTGACTCTGAGATTGGATGGTTTGGATTGGTACTCATTTTTTCGATCACTGGTTTTTTCTGATTTAGACTCAGTTATTTACAGTGACACAGCTGGAATAATGTTGACAGTGGTGTTAAACAACATTCGCAGGGCTCGATTTAGTGCTTTGTTACTTGCACTGGTGCAACCCAATATTACAAAGTGCAACCTAGTTATTATTCTAACTTGCACCAGGTGCAGGTCAATTTTGAGTGGGTCAACTTCTGAATAAAACATCTACATAATTCAATATCATATTTCTTTCATTACATATTGCAATAAAAGCAGTGCAACTGGATTTTGACTTGTGCAACTAGGTTGATATCTTAGGTTGCACCTGAGTAGGTTAACATCTCTTAACTCGAGCCCTGATTCGTTCTCACTGAATCCCAAAATTGTATTCCTTTAGGACAAGTGTACATGACTAGGACAAAAACACATTTCTGATTGACTGCCTCCATAGTGTGGATGCACACACCATCCCAGTGTATGTTGTTGTGGAAATGTGGACCACAAAGTCCTGAGGTAACAGTGATCTTCACTATGTATTCAGGCTGCCAAGTTCAAGAAGGTCAAGAAGAAGGTGAGGAAGATCAGGAAGAAAACATCCCTGAAGGCGGATGACTTGCTCAACATAGCCGCAGACCAGGTTACCAGAGAAGACTACGGGTCAAGGTAAGTCCCTTTATCACTGTCACCTCCACGTGGAGTGAGTGAGTATGGTTTTATGCCACTTTTAGCAATTCGATTTAGTGCTTTGTTACTTGCACTGGTGCAACCCAATATTACAAAGTGCAACCTAGTTATTATTCTAATTTGCACCAGGTACAGGTCAATTTTTGAGTGGGTAAACTTCTGAATAAAACAGTGGTTGACACCAGAAATGGTTTTCACATATTGAACCCATATGCAGAGAAGAACCCGGGTCTTCAGCATGACCAGCAAATGCTTTAACCACTAGGCTACCCCACCGCACCTCCTCTACATGGAGATAACAACCATTAAAATGTTGGCGTAACAGTTCAGATTTTTAAGTTTGTAAGTTAAATTATGCTGTTTCTCTTGGCCTCCTATTTGATATTTAGTCCCTGAATTAATCATACACATAAAATATCATTTACAGGACATTAACCCAGCGCTAAGCATTGTACAGCCGGACTATGTTGGCCAATAAGAGCCATGCTTTCTATTCCATTACAGAGTTATGAAGGTGTAGAGTTATTACGGTTATACACACAGAAGTTGGTTTATCAATCTTTGTAGTACTGACTGTTTGCCTGTTTAACCAAACTGGCACCCATGAATATCCCAGTTAGATTTAGTCTCCAGCAGCTTATGCTTGTTATCAGATGTTACTATTCTTGTCATGGGAGGCACTGTGTGTGGGACCGCCTCCGTGGTGTAGTGGTTAGAGCCTCCACCCGGGGAGCCGAAGGTCGCGTGTTCGATCCCCGACCGCGTCATACCAAAAGACGTTAAAATATGGTACTTGTTGGTCCCTGCCTGGCGCTCAGCATTAATGGGTACAACAAGGACTGGTCAGGTTGGAGTCAGTATAATGTGTCTGAGTGGGGTATTCATGCTTCACTGCGGCATGGTATCTCAGTGAGCTAGCACTATAAAACCAAGCTAGTGCAAGCAGCCGCACATACACATACGCACGCATGCACGTCGTCATATGAGCGAAATATTCTCAAGCACGACGTTAGACCCAATTTCACCTCACCTCACTGTGTGTGGGATATGATGGTCAGACTCACTGTCACCCAAGATGCACACATTGATGCTCATGGTCATATTCAGTAACTGGACTGTTCCAAGCTGGATATTATACTGGCTGCCTTCATGCAGCTGGAATATTACTGAGTCTGGTATCAAACAACAAACAAAGCAAGCAGATTGTCCTATAGTACCACAGATTGACCTATAGTACCACAGATTGTCCTAGTCATTCCTCAGAACATTAACCTTTGAAGATTCAGGTTAGAATTGATCTTCAGTAACCCATGCTTATCGTAAGAGGCGACTAGGGCGGTGGGCTAGCCTAGTGGTTAAAGTGTTGGCTCATCACGCTGAAGACCCGGGTTCGAATCCCCACATGGGTACAATGTGTGAAGCCCATTTCTGGTGTCCCCCACTGTGATATTGCTGGAACATTGCTAAAAGCGGTGTGAAACCAAACTCAGTCAGTCAGTAAGAGGCGACTAACAGGATCGGGTGGTCAGGCTTGCTGACTTGGTTGACACGTGTCATCGTATCCCAATTGCGCAAGTCGATGCTCATACTGTTGATCACTGTATTGTCTGGCCCAGACTGTCAGGGTGCCTTTTGTGCTAAAACTACTTTAAGTCAATGTTAAGTTATAGGAGTTACGGTCACCTCAGCGCTAAGATCACTTTGTACAACGGCACCCTGGTCTCTTAATAATAATAATAATAATAAGAGTATTTATATAGCGCTGACTTCAACCACACAAAGGCAATGCTCAAAGCGCTCTTCACACATATTACTAAAACAAGTGCCAAACAAACTTGAAACTCAAGTTTTCATGTACACCACAGATTACAATGCCAGTATTGGGCTGGTATTCGGCTGAAGGTAGTGTGTCTTTGAATATTTATTTCTCGTGTACATTGTTTTCCAGTCCAATTTAACATGGGCATCAAATCCAAATGGAAAGGCAGCAAAAGTAAAATTTATGACAATGTGTTGCGGGGAGGGGATGATAATTGTTGTACAGTTGTCATGGTATCAGCTTTGTATGTGTTGTAGATCTCGAGGCCGGGGACATGTGGTAGCACCCCCTGAAGACATGGAGGAGGGCGAGAATATTGATCAGGTGCCAGAGGTCATTGATTATGGGCATGGTGACCCTAACATCATCGACTACGGTCACGGCATCAAGGCCGAACCTGAAGTGAAGACAGAGCCTGAAACTGAGCCTAGTGGAAGAATTACACTGGATCCTGGTGTACTGAGTTCTTTAAAAGTCAAGGTGGAGGAAGATATGGATGGTTAGTTATCATATCCTTCATAATTGTGTTGTGCATCTCCTGTGACATGGAGATGATTAGAAGCCAACCATCTTGGGGACTGTTTGAAATGGCTGAATCTACTCTAAGATTTTTTAATTTGAAGTTAATTCAAGAGATCACAATATTCACATCATCTGATGATCAGATTATCAGATAGTCATGCTAGTTATTTATAAAACAGGAGGGGGATATTTTGTCTGCTGTGTGACAGGTACAGATATACATCTGGATTATATTTTTTACAGTTATTGGCCCAGATGAGGATCTGACTGGTGTCCCTGTGGATGATGATGAGGTAGAGAATGAACTACACTCAGCTCTCAGTAAGGCCAGAAAACTGAAACTGAAGAAGGCTCCCCGTGTTTCAGAACAGGTACTGTGATAGCGTGGTACTTGTCATGTCCTTTTCATAAAATATTTTACATTTGAATTTTTTTTCTTGGGCATGCATAAGAATGGAAAAGTTTGAGAGAAGAATTCTGTGTTCGAGTTGATGATTTCATTTAAATTAGGCTTAACTGCTATGAATCACTGCAATTCACTTTCCAGAGTAGTGTCCCCTAGGTAACAGGATCTGATGATTTTGGGGGTTGAATTTTTGCTTTGCCATGATTATGGGTTTCACCGTGAAGTAACTTATTCTTTTTGGATTAATCTAAAGAATGAAGATGATATAGGTTGGGTTAGAAAATATGTGAATAAATTGGTTCTCAGGCAAAGCTTATAAAAATTTTTGTTGGATTAATGTGTTTTAGATGGGAGTGGGCAGGTTTGCAAACTTGTATGGAACCAAATAGTAACATAGATAGACTGATATTATTGATGCCTTTTATTTAACCTTATTCATTAGGGATACGATTTTTCCCTATAATTACATGAATAAGTCTTTTCAGCTTTGACAGGGTTTTGACTGAAGGATAAGGTAGAATGTGTGTACAGCTGTTTCCAGCTTAATTTACAAAGTACAAACGGTAATTAATTCCTACATATAAAACCATGCCTTGCATAATGCATTACACTGACAAGGTCTTGTGTGGATATACATTATATTACATCATAATTTACATGAAATCAAAATTAGGCCGATTCACAATGATGTATCAAGTCCTGAGAACCAAGTCTATTTTCATTCAGCCCCATAGCTTAACTCTTACATTTTCAAAAACATAGCAACCCACTCAAGCAATGGACGGCAGTCAAGGAATGGTCTTTGTTTCAGGTTGTGGAGAGAGTCATGTCTCTACAGAATCCAGAAACAGACGAGAATGCTAAGGGGTCACAGATAGTGCTGAATTCCATATCCGAGTTTTGTCGTAACCTGGGAGAGATACCGACTTATGGCTTGTCTGGGAACCGAGAGGAGGACAGAGAGGAGATCATGGTCAGTGTAGTATATTATCTGGATCAGTTCCTAGGCAACTGCTGCTTTCTTTGTTCCATATCACAAGAAAAGCTACTTATCTTTGTCTTATATTTCAAGTGTCATTGCCAAGAAAAAATTGTTGGATGTTTTTATGCATTATAAACAATTAATGTAGATGATTACACAATGCCATTTTGAATGTGGTCAGATGCAACATATGTTATATTTGGGATTACACTTTCTTAGTAAAGTAATTAATGTAGATGTTCTTTTGGGAATTGTTTTTTCTAGAACAAAAACAGTCCTGCTGGATCTTTTCTCAACAAGCTAACAAATGTTGGATAACTGACATGACTGATATCAACTAAGCAAACAGATTTGAGTCAAGTTGCCTGATCCTCCCTCTTAACGTCACTTTCTGTACATGTTAGTGTTAGCATATGGTCTATTATTACCTAGACTTAAAAGACTGATAGAGCTGCGGGGTAGCCTAGAGGTTAAAGCAATTGGTCGATCCACCACATGGGTACAATGTGTGATGCCCATTTCTGGTGTTCCAATCCATGATATTGCTGTAATATTGCTAAAGCAGCGTAAAACTAAACTCACTCACTCACTACAGGACTGATATGAATTTTACGGGTTTAGATGCATACTGTGATACACTTCCTCTGTATCCCTGGACATGTCATTCGATGATGCAAGAGGTCATGGTCATTGGTTATGAAAGTTTGTGATGATGGTAGTGTTTAGCTTTTCTGATTGGATGGATTTAAATGCTGTTTTGATGTGTTTAAGGATGTAGAACTTGAGCTGATGGAGCAGAAGCGTCGCCAGGAGGAGATCGAGGAAGCTGCCAGTGGTTGGAATGAAGTGGACATAGACACACAACCAGTGGATATTACTGTATGTACATTACACAGAGAAATATGTATGAAGCATTCAGAATCTTATATAGCATCTCATTTAATTATGGCCTCATGGTGATTCTGGGTTAGAATAGATTACTTCAGCCTATAGTGGTTGCAAGAGACATCTCGACGGATTAGGTGGTCAGACTTGATGACTTTGTTTATTTTGTGTTATTATAGAATATGTTGCTCATAATATTGATCACTAGATTGTTAGGTCCAGAATCGATTATTTGGAGCTGAAGTATTGTTTGGTGTCAAACAACAATCAAAATCATTTAGTTACTGCTTAGACTGATGTATGACTGTCTTGTAGTCTTGCAATGATCTGTTAATCCTCTTTGATACAGGGGAGAAGAACAGGCCGTCCTTGAAGAAGAACCTATTGTCACTGATGGAGTTGGTGCTGCCCTGGCTCTGGCCATGAAGAAAGGTTTGGATGGGGTTTTTTCTCATACATTTGTACATCTGAGACCTCTGAGAATTTGGTTTATGAGTTGTGATCAACGAAAAATAATGAATAGTGAAAGAAAGATATCTGAAAAGGTCAGACTACAAGACTGATGACATAAGTGTGTCTTACAGTGATCACACACAACATATTCAGATACCATTTACCTAGATACCAAGCTTCTTCACAAAATCCACATGCAACTCAGGTGTACGCATACAAAGTACAATAGAAAAACGGTCATGCATCACCGGACGATTTGAGCTTGTTACCAATCTATGCCTATTTAATTTGCCTCGATAATCCTGAAATTCGGTTTCCGCGGAAGCGGACAGTAAGTAGCTGTAACCAATCAGTAAAATAAAAAGTATGGGTTAATGTTATCCCACTGATGTCCTTGGTGTGTGTGTATGAATCTCTGCAGCATGTCGCTGCCCCAGCGTTTTTTAAGCATTCATTCTCATTGTCATAAGCGATCTTCACTGTTGTCAGTATGAACAGCCTAGAAGAAGAACCCCTCCTATTGTGTAAGTGTACTTGCCTACTGATTATGGGTTTGATCCAGGGCTTGTCAACATCATGCCCTGCCAGAGAAAATGTAAAACGTGTAGTACCTGTATCATTTTTGTTTTTCCTCAACAGATTACTGTGACAGCAAATACTGTTGTAATGTATGACATGACCCCCAACTCATCTGTTAAGATTGTCCACTCTGTTTCTACATTGTGTGTTTTGTGGACAGGTTACCTGGAGAAGGAGGTCATCAAAAACGTGAGCGCTCCGGAACACAGCAACCTGGGTGCCATGTACTACTCCATTGAAGACAAGCGATACGAGTAAGTACGAGCTTCATCTGTCTTAGGGAGGAAGATTCTTTTTCAGAAGAAGTCCTCCTTGGGGTACATATAAGCATTAAAATGTCCATTTTAAATCCTACGACAGTTGTAACTATATTTTTAATAAAATATTTACAAAACAAAAAACTTGTTTTGTGTTGTGAGACCACCCCTACAGGGCCCCACCGGACCAACACAGCCAAGAGCAGGTAACTCCCGCCGTCTACCTCATACCTCACTTTTCATGCTGTCGTTCTGTTGAATAGACGTGCGTGGTGTTCGATTCGAAGTTTGCTCTCCTACCGATAGGATGAGTGTAAAAGAGCTCAATCTGTATGTATGGTTCCTTTCTCTATGCGGCGTTAGATGGGCGTCATATGTTGATATTTTCATTCATCTTTTGTTGTAACTTTGCCGTGGGTTCTCTGTTTTCCAGCCATGTGGCAGGCAAAATGGCGGACCCGTAGCGATCGTGGGTTTCCTTGCTATATGTTCTTGGTAGCTTGTAGTAGGGAGTTCATATATTATGTTTGCATATTATATGGATAGGCTTGCCTACATTCTCTTTCTTTTCAGCGAATTTGTGGTAAGTCGTTGTTGAGTAATTTTGATAGTGTTCGTTTTCGTATCACTCCAACTTTACTCTATCACTAGTATGTACGCCAGGTTTGGCTAGCCTTTTTCTGCTTTGCATTGTATGTTTAGTATTTAAATGGCTGTAGCTTGTAGCATTTAAATATAAGCCCGTCGCGGGTTATTCTTGCTATTTACTTGTGTTTATGTGTTTGCTGCTTCACAGTTCCTGCTAGTAACACTGGCGTGGTTCTGTTTGTTGCAGTTTAAGCCCTGTGCGTTGTGCCGTGCACACTACCGCCACAGGATGGTCATAAAGTGTGCCTCCGGTGTTTAGCCGAGGATGCTCACGACGATCAAGGATGCTCATAATAAACGCCCTTGCGTCAATATTCCTGTTACATTATGTTGTGTTATGATACATATTTCATACGTTTACACACAACGTGGCTCATAGGCCGAGGTTGTGTTTTTTGTCTGGGTTTCTGCGCCTCATGCGCATTCTTTCCGACACGCAGATTTTATGTTTTTCACTAATCTGCTTCAGGCGGGGGATAATATTTGATGAAAGGTTTCTAAGGAAATCCCTTTATCGTTCCCCCGCATATTGACTCAATTGCTTCACTATTGCAGCAACATATTCTTCAACATAATGTCAAGTCGATGATTGATAGCACGATGTCAGCTCCGTTAGGAGCTCGGCTCGCAACCTGTTGATCTCGATGGTAAGTGAACCAGGTGTCTTCTGTGGTGAAATCCCTGATTGACACGGCGCTGTCTGGGTTCCGCAAGGAGCTCAGCACGCCTGTCGTCGGGGGTGGATCGGACGCATCTGGAGGGGGTTGGCTGCGGCCCGAGCTCTGGCTCGGAGAACGCGCCTCCTCCCAGGCAGCTTGATCCTGGCTTCGGCTCAGGTGATGGTGTGCCTTCGGCACCTTGTGGCGACCTAGCTTCGGGCTCAGGTTCGTCACAGGCGCCTGGCGCCGGCGATGCAGGTTTCACCCTGTCTTCGCCCGGTGCCCTGACTGGCGGTCGCCTAAGCGCCGACCAGCTCGGGGACACCTCGGCGCCAAGTGGTCAGTCGGGGTTGCCCGGGAAACCTGTATCGGCAGGTTCCTCTCGGCGCCCCAGTCTGGGTTCCACTGGGCTGCCAAAACCTCGGCGCTCCTAGGTCTACTTGTGTCCACCAGGGGAAACCTGTATTGCCAGGCTACTCCCTTGTGTCTCGGGACTTCAGATCGGACTAGCACCGACCTGGGCTTCGGTTACCGTATATGACCGACTATAAGTCGGGCCCCTTTCTCAACCCTCTAAATTCTTGCCAAAACCATGTAACTCAAGTATAAGTCGGACCCTTTCCCCGTACGAATCGGTATCGCCGCCTCAATCTTCACGCTCGGACACGATGTTTAATGCGAAAATATATGCATGAATCATTTTTGTCACAGGTCATAACCTAGCACGGTACGTCAAATAAATCCCATAATTTATGTATAGGTAGCGATTTCTTGCTTAATATGTTCAGAAAAGCATTATTTTACCCAAAACTTTCGTCTACATCCAAAGTTTTCGTTTACGAGGAAGGTATCCATTGCCGTAATATGATTGGCTGCCTTAGGTCACGTGTCTGGTTTTGACCAATCACGACCCTTATAGCAGACTGTGGCGAAAAAGCGTCATTAGAAACCAATTTTTATCCAATAAAATTGCTTCTTACAAGTGTGAAAAAATACTCGGCAAGGGTACAGTGATATTGTTGATGTTCAGAGCCTTCGAACGATGCCCGACATCAAACGATTCGCCTCGCATGTTATTCATACGAAGCTTCGAAAACGGAGGTATTTTTCGCTGTTGTGTCATGTTACCGAGCGAAAAGCCACTGATATCGGGAAATAGGCGACCATACATATTTTTTTAAGAAATCTTTTTATAATAATTTTCTGATCACGTGAAATGAAAATATAAAAGAAGAGGTTACGGGCATTTTATGACATGTCACAAATGGAAAAAAATCGCTATAGTTTTTGCTTCTTTCGTGGTTTATCTGGATATAAATGTAAACTTGCATTTTCATCATTAACAGTATTTTTCAAAACCACCACACAAAACTGCCACAGAATACAAATAAGTTGACTTTACGGGAAAAAAGTCGTGTCACGTGGCCCAACTTTATCGCGCGATAACAAAGTATCGGTAAGTGCATAGCTGTGATAAAAATATCTGATTAAATTTAATTTATTGTTTATACTATGAAATATATTTTACAAAAGACAAACAACAAAGTTTTATATTTTATGTTTTATTTGTCCCACGATGTCATTTACCTTTGGAAACGTTGCCAGTACGTATATGCGTCCTGCTTCCGGTGTAAACATTGCCAGTTGAGTTCGCAGATTCACACACCTGACCTCGGGTGTTTTTTGGGGTAGATTAATGAACTCAAGTATAAGTCGGGTCTGATTTTTTACCTTCATTTTCTGGTATCAAATTTCCGACTTATAGTCGGTCATATACGGTAGCTCAGGTCTCGGCCTGATGTCTATCGATGCCCTGGCCAAGAGGCCGTTGAGTGTGACGAGCTGCCGATCACCTTGACGCGCCGAGGTCTACCCGTGTACACCAGGGGAGCCCTGCATTGTCAGGCATTGCCGCCGACCCGAGCACTTACGTATGTATATATATATATATATCTGTATATATATATATACACACATATATGTGTATGCATATACATATATGTGTATGTATGGGTAATTATATAGCGCTATAGGCTATGTTTGACTATATGCTCAGTGCGCTTTTGGAGAGTACTTGGGGAAACCTGATTTATCAGGCTACTCCTACGTGTCTCGGGATCGGGGTTCGGTCTAGAACCGCTGAGCTTCGGCTCCGCGGATTCTCTGAACCCTGTGGGTAGCACCGACCCAGGCTTCGGCACTGGTAGGGCGCAGATTCCCGGCTCCGGTAGTTCAGGTCTCGGCCTGATGTCTATCGACGTCTTGACCAAGATGCCATCGAGTGTGCCGGGTGTGACGGTCACCTCGACGCTCCGAGGTCTGTCTGAGTGCTTGTGAAACCTTGATTTATTAGGCTTCTCACATGTGCCTCGGAATCGGGGTTCAGGCTCGTTCAGTGGACAAGTCGATTTGAGCTTCGGCTCATTTCATTACTTTGAACTTACCACTGAGTAGGTTCGTCCCTGAGGCAAGTGCGAGATAGAATCGCGGCTGTGTTGCCTCAGGTGTTGTCCACGTCGAATACCCGAACCGTTGGAGTTCGCCTCCCGGAGGGAAGCCTGCTTCCAGCAAGGCATCCGGGACAAGGCATCACACTCTCCCGTAAGTCTGCCGTTCTTTCCCCTTCACAGCTCAACGCTGTATGCTCCACTCGGCGCATCTCTCAGCTCTGCTGAGGGAGCTGGTGGAAAGGAGAGCCCGGCGTGATATTTTTTCGTCGGCGACTCTGGGGCGCATCTGGCGGGGGTCAACTCTCATCTGGCTAGGGACTGCATTGTAGCTGTGCCAGCCAAATGATGAGAGCGGTTATGGGCCTATACCCGGGACGTTTCGAGGAATCGGAAGTCTGTTGAGCTTCGTTAATTCCTCAGGTGCCCAGGCATCGCAAGCGTTAAGTTGCCGACTGCTGGGGTTTACTATATTCTGCCGCAAACACCCGGTCGGAGCTGACACACTCCAGTGTCGGGTTACCCGGGAGGCGGCGACAATACTCCGTGCCGAGATCCAGTCTCTGCTGGGCTAGGCAACCAGTGTGGTGGTTTCCAATGGTCAGGAAAATGTGGGGTTTGACTCCATTTATTTCATCGTTGCCATTACGAACGGAATGTTCAGCCCCATTCTCATCTGAGAGCTGAACAAGTTAATAGAGGTACTGTTCTTCAAGATGGAGACACCACGCTCGGTGATCTCATCTGCCGAGACAGGGGATTGGCGCACGTCAATCGACCTCGAGGTCGTGTACCTCCTTGTTCCATTGCACCCTGATTTCAAGATTTACCTTAGGGGACGTGCTACCAGTTTCGTGTGCTCTCCTTAGGCTACATTACGGTGCCAAGGGTGTTCACCAAATTGAGGTTTATTACAGCTCAGATAGCCAGATCGCAGTGCCGGTGTTGTCACCCGTACCTAGGCGACTGGCTCATCGTAGTTTCAGAATAACTTTGAGTCTGGGGACCTCACGATCAGTGTTGGTCACTCTTACGAAACTGGGCGGAATTGTCAACCTCACGCAGTCAGATGGACAGACGTCAGGCGTCTCTCTGAGGGTCCCCACCCCTGGAGACACCGTCGCTCTCAGTCCAGCCAGATACATCCCTACCGGGTAAGGGCAATGTTCTGGGTGACCTGCAGCCTCTTGACGACGAAGTCACAACCTGCACATCCGGGATTCGAATTACCTCTTCGGCCAGACATTCTCACTCTGAACGGGGCGCCACACCCGCATCCTCAGATTCCCTGGGTGGCTTGGCCTCTGTCGGGTATAACACACGGAATTCCTGCAACCGTTGCAGACACAATTCTGGCTTCGAGGCGGGATTCGACACCCGTTCAGTGTGTTGATAGGTGGGGCGCGCTGGTGTGCAGATAGGGGGATTTCGTAATCCCTATTCTGCGGATTTAGTTTGGATATTGGAGTTACTATAGCCTCGTTTTGGTTGAGAGCCTTATGACCTCCACCATTGCCGGGTACTCCATGGCTATTTCCACGTTTCACACCTCGTTCGATGGTGCTCTGCCTAGGCAGCATCCTCGTTACATCAGCGTCGTAGCTGGCATGAACAGGGTTCGACCGCCGGGCGGCGACTCAGCCCACCTTAAAATTGCCACTTATTCTCAATTGGCTGTCTGGCCCTAATTTTTCAAGTTTATCGTCTCTCTCACTTCACTTGTTGGCGTGGAAGGCGACTTTACTTGTTGTGGTGAACTCTGGTAGAAGGGTCGGGTACATCCATGCGATTCCGCTGACCTGACACTGACAGTATTTTATACTGATCATGTCCGTATTCGGCCCCGGATACCTACCACTCTCAGTGCGATATTGCTTTCCACGCGACTGCTCATATCGCGACTTCCACCCTTTACCCAGCCTTCGCGCGGGGACCAATCTTTCGATTGCTCACCCGTGACTGTCACGTAACGAACGAACAAAAGGGATCCGTGACGGGTACCCATATGTTCTGTTTGGTGGCGGAAGACTGGGGAGTCTGCTAGCAAGCGCGCGACTTTATCTCGTTGGCTTGTTTCCGTAATTGTTCGGGTTACAATGATAAGGTTTACCTCCCCTGAGGGGTTGAAGGCAGACTGGGTAGGGCAGATGCCGCTTTGTTGGCAATACACAGCGCACTGCTCAATTAAAAGATCGGTTCTGTCGCTCTTTGGAGCCGACAGAACACCTTCATTCGCCATTACCAACTTGACACGCATTCTAAGGATCGTACTTTCGGTTCGGATCTTCGGTTCTCTCCAGTGGAAGTGACCTGACACCCGACCAAGTTAGTAACTTGTCATTGGTATCGGTTCTGTGTTCAATGTCGATATATTTCATATCACTACATCATGATTAGCCTTACCATCCTTTCGGGTTGGGTCGGGTTTGGGTGTACATACGTCCCTTTACGTCCTCTTCAAGAGAGGCGGGGGTCCGCTTTGAGCGCTTTAACCAGGCATATGCTATTAACCTGTCTTCTGCGGCGATTGGGTACGAACCCCACGGGCACTGTTTGGTATGCCTCTCTTCGAGCGCATGTCACGTGACCAGGTTAGTGTAATGGTGAGCCAACACATGTTCGGCTACGCCGCTATTCAGGGATTTTTGCACGCTTACAGATTTTTCCCTCTTCCCGAGCCTTCCGGTATTTAGGAGTCTGTGTTAATCAGCTTTGTGGGATGGTGGCCTACACTTACCCTCCTCGCCCGAGAGTGTTTGGTGGGGTGTTTTTCACTTTCATTACAATGCATGGCGTTTGTACTCGATTCGATTTCCTCAGAAAGTTTTTAGCGAGGCTAATAATTTCTCTGGGTTTTATGGAGGTCCCCGCAAGCCCTCTTCCAAACAGGAGGGGTGCATTCGAGCATTAGTTTGCAGTACTTATTAGCTCGACTCCTGGGTTATTGGCTTTGTAGCGTTTAAATTTTTTACGCTTTCCCTACCCTTATACCTCTCGCCACGCTTGTCTGGCTGGGGCTATATTAGGGTTGGGAGTTGTTCAGCATGTCCCCATACATTCCTTCCATTGTAATGGTTGGGGGCGGGGTTTTATGTCATAATTGATTTGAGCCAATTGACATATAAGCTTGGGCTCTAGTTCATCACCCGTCTGATTGACATCAGCGGTCAGGTGGCTCGGTGTTTTCTGTTTCCATATCGGGTTGTAGATTTCACTCCACCACGCGGGTTTAGTTGTTGCCAGACAGAATGCCACTCCCGTCTCAAATATCTTTGGGAGTCTGTCATATGCTTATATGTACCCCAAGGAGGACTTCTTCTGAAAAGAATTATACAAACCTGTAGAGGTTATGAATTCTTTGAAGAAAGTCCTCCTGGGAACGACTGCCTACCCTCCCCTCATTCTGTCTGACACGTTCAGCATGAAAAGTGAGTCACGAGGTAGACGGCAAGAGTTACCTGCTCTTGGCTGTGTTGGTCCGGTGGGGCCCTGTAGGGGTGGTCTCACAAGACAAAATGAGTTTTTTGTTTTGTAAATATTTTATTAAAAATATAGTTACAACTGTCGTAGGATTTAAAATGGACATTTTAATGCTTATTTGTACCCCAAGGAGGACTTTCTTCAAAGAATTCATAACCTCTACAGGTTTGTATAAATTCCTGGCCTTGTCAAATAGCAAATCTGGTATCAGTGTAAGTAGGAGATCATAGCTGCATCTGTCTGGGGGAGGCCTTTTCTGTTGCAATAAGTAGGCAGCACTGAAATACTAGACTCTGATATATCTGGACCTCCCCTGGGGCAAGTATTCGGCCCTAAGTCTGCAGCAAATGTCTGTAAATATTCCCAACTTAAAACACATGAAAACATTCCAAAATCATGTTAACATTGGTATATCTAATGTGAAGTACATGTATATCTAATATGAAGTCTATCTAATGTGAAGTCAACTTGTATTTCACTGATATTAAAATAAATAAAAAAGGAATCCATTAATCCATTAACCGGGGTATTAATGTCAGTGCTTTGAGCATACACATTGCATATGAAAGCTAGCATGATATGAGTACACACATTATTATAAAATGGTTTGGAATTCCAGATAAATCCCTATCGCGTCTAACTTTTTAAAGTCAACTGCTGAAAACATACTTGAATGCCATTTGGTCTGTGTTTGTTTATTTTATGTTAGTTATCAATATTGAATTGGTATTGTTTTGTTAATGTTCCTGTTTGGAAGACTGAATGATTTATTGAATTAATTTCTACGTTGTTAGTGATCTTGATGAGAAGTATCGGAAGAGGGACCGTTACGGTGGTGGTGTGATCTCCGATTTCCGTGACAAGGACGGCTATAAGCCTGATGTGAAGCTGGAGTATGTAGATGAGTCTGGACGTTGTCTCAACCCCAAGGAAGCCTTCAGGCAGCTGTCCCATCGCTTCCACGGCAAGGGATCCGGGAAGAAGAAACAGGAGAAAAGGATGAAGAAGCTGGAGGAAGAACAGGTCAGTGTCTTGTTATATTGAAGGATAATGTTACCATGGTTACAAATCAGTTACTGGAGCAAAAGAACACAATTGGGACATGAATGCTGTATCCTTGCTTGAGAGTTGATACACATCCTGTGCAGAGTTGCATCCCCTTATCAGTCCCCTCTTGAATACTATGTAGATGGCTGCCCCTTAATAATGGCATTCAGCAATTTTGACTGGAAATCAAACTCAAATTTAACAACTTTGCCAGAGGTTGATTTTGGTCGTTTTTGGGGGGAAAGATATATGAACAAGAGAATACATTTGGCACAAATATTTGTCTGTTATCGAAAATGTCTAGATCTAATTAAATTATGGGATTTTTCTACTGGCCTATAAATGGAATGTTTAGTCATTTAGTCATTTAGTCATTTATATAATGTTATTCACACTAAAATGAACATGCATGTATGTATAGAGTTTACATAAGTGCTGATGTTGTGAGTTAGTGAAATGTCTAGAATACAGAAATGTTCCTGGTTTTTCAGTTGATGAAGATGATGAGTTCCACCGACACGCCCCTCAACACCTTGTCCTTGCTGCAGGAGAAACAGAAAGCTGAGAAATCACCATTTGTGGTGCTCAGTGGCAACAAGGGATTCACAGCGTAAGTAGCTTGATGTCAGATTAGGACAATAAGTTACAGCAAAATGTAAATAGATATACTGATGGGAGGTGGCATAGGACTGGTAATCATGTTTCTGAAGGAGCGGTTATGGTTGCAAAAGGAAGCAGTTATGGTTGCAAAGGAAGCAGTTATGGTTATAGAAGGAAGCAGTTATGGTTATAGAAGGAAGCAGTTATGGTTATAGAAGGAAGCAGTTATGCTTGCAAAGGAAGCAGTTATGGTTATAGAAGGAAGCAGTTATGGTTATAGAAGGAAGCAGTTATGGTTATAGAAGGAAGCAGTTATGCTTGCAAAGGAAGCAGTTATGCTTGCAAAGGAAGCAGTTATGGTTATAGAAGGAAGCAGTTATGGTTATAGAAGGAAGCAGATATAGTTGCAAAAGGAAGCAGTTATAGTTGCAAAAGGAAGCAGTTATGGTTATAGAAGGAAGCAGATATAGTTGCAAAGGAAGCAGTTATGGTTATAAAAGGAAGCAGTTATGGTTATAGAAGAAAGCAGTTATGGTTGCAAAAGGAAGCAGTTATGATTATAGAAGGAAGCAGTTATTGTTGCAAAAGGAGGCAGTTATGGTTATAGAAGGAAGCAGTTATGGTTATAGAAGGAAGCAATTATGGTTATAGAAGGAAGCAGATATAGTTGCAAAAGGAAGCAGTTATGGTTATAGAAGGAAGCAGATATAGTTGCAAAAGGAAGCAGTTATGGTTATAGAAGGAAGCAGATATAGTTGCAAAAGGAAGCAGTTATGGTTACAGAAGGAAGCAGTTATGGTTATAGAAGGAAGCAGATATAGTTGCAAAAGGAAGCAGTTATGGTTGCAAAGGAAGCAGTTATGGTTATAAAAGGAAGCAGTTATGGTTATAGAAGGAAGCAGTTATGGTTATAGAAGGAAGCAGATATAGTTGCGAAAGGAAGCAGTTATGGTTATAGAAGGAAGCAGTTATGGTTATAGAAGGAAGCAGATATAGTTGCAAAAGGAAGCAGTTATGGTTATAGAAGGAAGCAGTTATTGTTATAGAAGGAAGCAGATATAGTTGCAAAAGGAAGCAGTTATGGTTATAGAAGGAAGCAGATATAGTTGCAAAAGGAAGCAGTTATGGTTATAGAAGGAAGCAGTTATTGTTGCAAAAGGAGGCAGTTATGGTTATAGAAGGAAGCAGTTATGGTTATAGAAGGAAGCAATTATGGTTATAGAAGGAAGCAGTTATGGTTATAGAAGGAAGCAATTATGGTTATAGAAGGAAGCAGATATAGTTGCAAAAGGAAGCAGTTATGGTTATAGAAGGAAGCAGTTATGGTTATAGAAGGAAGCAGATATAGTTGCAAAAGGAAGCAGTTATGGTTATAGAAGGAAGCAGATATAGTTGCAAAAGGAAGCAGTTATGGTTGCAAAGGAAGCAGTTATGGTTATAAAAGGAAGCAGTTATGGTTATAGAAGGAAGCAGTTATGGTTATAGAATAGGAAGCAGATATAGTTCACGCGAAAAGGAAGCAGTTATGGTTATAGAAGGAAGCAGTTATGGTTATAGAAGCAAGCAGATATAGTTGCAAAAGGAAGCAGTTATGGTTATAGAGGAAGCAGTTATTGTTATAGAAGGAAGCAGATATAGTTGCAAAAGGAAGCAGTTATGGTTATAGAAGGAAGCAGATATAGTTGCAAAAGGAAGCAGTTATGGTTATAGAAGGAAGCAGTTATTGTTGCAAAAGGAGGCAGTTATGGTTATAGAAGGAAGCAGTTATGGTTATAGAAGGAAGCAATTATGGTTATAGAAGGAAGCAGTTATGGTTATAGAAGGAAGCAATTATGGTTATAGAAGGAAGCAGATATAGTTGCAAAAGGAAGCAGTTATGGTTATAGAAGGAAGCAGTTATGGTTATAGAAGGAAGCAGATATAGTTGCAAAAGGAAGCAGTTATGGTTATAGAAGGAAGCAGATATAGTTGCAAAAGGAAGCAGTTATGGTTACAGAAGGAAGCAGTTATGGTTATAGAAGGAAGCAGATATAGTTGCAAAAGGAAGCAGTTATGGTTGCAAAGGAAGCAGTTATGGTTATAAAAGGAAGCAGTTATGGTTATAGAAGGAAGCAGTTATGGTTATAGAAGGAAGCAGATATAGTTGCGAAAGGAAGCAGTTATGGTTATAGAAGGAAGCAGTTATGGTTATAGAAGGAAGCAGATATAGTTGCAAAAGGAAGCAGTTATGGTTATAGAAGGAAGCAGTTATGGTTATAGAAGGAAGCAGATATAGTTGCAAAAGGAAGCAGTTATGGTTATAGAAGGAAGCAGATATAGTTGCAAAAGGAAGCAGTTATGGTTATAGAAGGAAGCAGTTATGGTTGCAAAGGAAGCAGTTATGGTTATAGAAGGAAGCAGTTATAGTTGCAAAAGGAAGCAGTTATGGTTGCAAAGGAAGCAGTTATGGTTATAGAAGGAAGCAGATATAGTTGCAAAAGGAAGCAGTTATGGTTGCAAAGGAAGCAGTTATGGTTATAGAAGGAAGCAGTTATGGTTATAGAAGGAAGCAGATATGGTTATAGAAGGAAGCATGGTTATAGAAGGAAGCAGTTATGGTTATAAAAGGAAGCAGTTATAGTTGCAAAAGGAAGCAGTTATGGTTGCAAAGGAAGCAGTTATGGTTATAGAAGGAAGCAGATATAGTTGCAAAAGGAAGCAGTTATGGTTGCAAAGGAAGCAGTTATGGTTATAGAAGGAAGCAGTTATGGTTATAGAAGGAAGCAGATATGGTTATAGAAGGAAGCAGTTATGGTTATAGAAGGAAGCAGTTATGGTTATAGAAGGAAGCAGATATAGTTGCAAAAGGAAGCAGTTTTGGTTGCAAAGGAAGCAGTTATGGTTAAAGAAGGAAGCAGTTATGGTTATAAAAGGAAGCAGTTATAGTTGCAAAGGAAGCAGTTATGGTTATAGAAGGAAGCAGTTATGGTTATAGAAGGAAGCGGATATAGTTGCAAAAGGAAGCAGTTATGGTTATAGAAGGAAGCAGTTATGGTTATAGAAGGAAGCAGATATAGTTGCAAAAGGAAGCAGTTATGGTTATAGAAGGAAGCAGTTATGGTTGCAAAAGGAAGCAGTTATGGTTATAAAAGGAAGCAGTTATGGTTATAGAAGGAAGCAGTTATGGTTATAGAAGGAAGCAGTTATGGTTATAAAAGGAAGCAGTTATGGTTGCAAAAGGAAGCAGTTATGATTATAGAAGGAAGCAATTATGGTTATTGAAGAAAGCATTTATGGTTGCAAAAGGAAGCCGTTTTGATTATAGAAGGAAGCAGTTATTGTTGCAAAAGGAAGCAGTTATGGTTATAGAAGGAAGCAATTATGGTTATAGAAGGAAGCAGTTATTGTTACAGAAGGAAGCAGTTATGGTTATAGAAGGAAGCAGTTATGGTTGCAAAAGGAAGCATGGTTTGTTTTTTTATAAGGAATTGTTTTTTAGGAGTGATTATTGTTGTTTTAAGTTACCATTAAGGGAACAATTATGGTTATTAAAGGAAACAGTTAATGATATAAAGGGAGGAATGACGGTCGTAAAGGATGCATGGATGGCTATAAAGGAGCAGTTACAGTGCTTATAAAGGGAGGAGTTGTTAGTATATTCACTGTTATTTGTTTTGTTGTTCTAGGAACACAACAAGCATTGCAAAGCCCTGATGACTACACAAGCTGTTATGGAGTAGGAGATGGCCTTTGTTGGCGCTGCTGGAACTCTTGTGTTCTAATTAAGTTCAAGGAACCAGTGAACGAGAGACTTCTTGTACATTTCAGTCCGATAAAGGATCACTGGAACAGTGAAAGTCTCTTTGTAACTGATTCCTGGAAGTACAGATGTAGAAGCCAGGGTCAAACTGAGTTTTCATAACCCTAAATGGCATTGAATGTCTAAGGAATATGTGTCAACTGGATATACTTCTGTTTACATTGCCTATCTCTGTGCCAGGTAATGAGTCATTAACTCCACAACAATCCACATCTATCTGAATGCACTAACTTTCTTCTGAATCAGTTGGGTGGGGGGAAATAGCCTTGTGGTTAAATTGTTCATCACCATGTCAAAGTCTCAAGTTAGACCCATAATGGGTACAATATGTGAAGCCTATTTCTTGTGTACCCCTCTGTATATTTCTGGAAAATTGCAAGAAGTGGCGTAAAAGCATACTCACACACTCACTCTTAGCCTCTAAAATAATAACCACTACAAGATAAACAGATGTAAAAGGTAAATAATTTATTAATTTAACAGTGAAAATTTTGGGATGTTGATCATCAGGATTTAACTGCTTTGTTTTGTCTTTAGGTAATTTATACAAAAATGAACTTACTTCAGGTAAATAATTATGATGCCATCCGATGTAATGTGTGTCACTGAGAACATCATTGTAAGAAATATCATGTACAGCATCACCAGAACATTAATGTAAATAAATTCTTGTACAAAAAAACATGGCTGAAAGTGCAGTTTTTTATCTCACCTGACCGATGGTCAAGCAAGCACATCATGTCCTGTTTGTCCAGATAAACATCTTCTCTGGAACCACTGACCAACGAGGGACCAACTTCACATGCTTATCATCGGCTTATCTATGAGATCGGCTAATCTACACTCATATACAGTACTTGTTTCTATGGCTACCATTTTCCATCAGTGATGACACTCCATTTTGTTTGAGAGGTTCAAATCCAATTTTCAATATGGTTGCAATGGCTGCCATATTGAAAAACTCTCGGTATTCATTACTCAACAATTTGTGCTCAAAATGTTATGAAAGATTGGTACACATGCATGTAGATAGTAGGGGTGCTTTAAGATATATGTTATTGAGGGTATTTTTCCTTGTTTTTACCATGCTCTTCAAGTCTGTCAAAGTGCATATTTGCTTTTGTAAGCATCTTCTACCCTGAAATTGCCAGACTGGAGGAGGTGAACTTAGGATGACAATTTTTGTTCTGTTTGTTTGTATGAAATTAATATTTATGGGAAAGAATATTTTAATATTACTGGCAACTGCACATTTTGTTCTGTGGCTGATGTTTATTGATATGCATCAGTACACAGAACAATATTTAAGGTAATTATTATTGAGGCTACCATATGACTGCAAATATTTGTTCTGTGGCTAATGTTACCAGACTGAAGCTGGTTTTATAGTGCTAGCCCACTGAGATACCATCAGTGAACATGAAACAATATTATTGACTTAGCCGAGTCCTTGTTGTACCCATTAATGCCGGTGAGAGACAAACATGGTGATTGAGTGAACACGACGAGTGCCATAGGTGAACAATGTTGACGAATGCCATAGGTGACCATGTTAACGTGTGACCAATATATGCAGCTGCTGTCTGATTGGTTGGCTCCATGTTCCCTAAATCAGCTGCTGTGTAGTCTAGACAAACTACACAGGACCATATAACCCAGGATTCTGGGTTAGAGCACATCCCCAGCACTCACTATATCAATCACTGGTTTGGCTCGTCCAGATGAGTTATTTACAGGCTGCCTTTATATAGATAAACTTGGTGGCCATGGTGTCAGACAACAAACATATAATAAACAATAACACAGGTGACAATCTCTTCCTCAAAGAAACAGGAGCACATTTTGAAATGGGTTCTCCCTTGTGACAACCCCTTGATACCCACTATGCAATATTGACTGCAATCAAGATCAAAAGACAGCTTGCGACTAGTAGCTGGGAAAACACAAGTGTAATGTGCTGGATCACCAACTGTTAAATGAGGTTTGTATAAAAGTGACTGCAACACAACTCCATGAAAAAAATGTTTATTATGTAAAATATAACGTGATAATGATAAAATGCAAACCATTACTGCAACAGATTCTGTTGAGATGCTGAGCCTGTCAGAAGGACACAGCTTAATGTTGCACATGGGTCCAATAAAAGAAATGACACCATGCATTCCTTGTCCACAAATATACAGGGATGAGAATTTTCCGCGGAATTCCAGGAATTTCATCAGGCCAAGGGTCATTTTTGTGAATCGTCTAAATCCGATAGATGCTAAACCCCCGGCTAGTTTTCAGAGTTTTTCTCAAAACTTCATTCTCATCCCTGAATATAGAAGCATTTATAACAATATTTAAAAACGTTTTATGTGTTTATGAAAATTTGGCTTTTAAAAACTCTGGGAATGTTTTTCTGTTGTAGATGTTTCATAATTTCTTGGTTTGACAGCATAGATATTTGGAGAATAGCACTGTGGTTTCTGGATGAGCAGTACAGAAGGGAGACTAGGGCATTGTGGAGGGGTATCACAATATTACAGCTGGAAAGTGGAGTGGGCCAGAGTTCATTCCATGCTCTCTATACTTGTTAAACCCACGGTCCTAAATAGCTCTGATTTGGTTTAACGAACGATCATACTAGTAGTCTAAACCATTCACCCTTACTATGCACAGTGGAGAATGGCACCCAAAGCAAAAATTTCACCCACAGTAATATTTACACAATTTCAAAACACCTGAGCACAAACACAGGCAGGTTGATCTGATACGTCCCTCTCTCATTGGTTCTGAATACAATCATACATACACTTGCAGTAATGTTTAGAGGTAGTTCAGGCTGCTTAACCCGGCTGAAAAACTGTAGTTAGATTCAGTACTCACATAAGGATAATATATGCACTTATGCTGTCAGTGAAATGAAGGTCAGTAATATTTAGGCCAGACCAATTTTATTTCTTGTGTTACAATCCACCGGTTGTATTTTTTGAAGAATAAGAAAATAATAATTAATTTTCCCCGCTCAAAAAATAAAATTTTATTATTTTCATTGGCCAAAAATGTAAATGTGCAAGAAAATGTTTTAGATTGTTTTTTGCCCCATATAAACTTCATAAATTGCCCAAAGTAAAATACTTTTAGTATTTATAAGGAATATTACTTTGACTGGTGATTTTTATATTTATTGTTTTCCCTCCTGCCTTTAGGTTTTCTGAGGACAAAAATCTGTAAAACAAGAAATAAAATTGGTCTGCATTAAAAGAGGGGGTAATAAATAATTGACGTCCACATGCTCATATATTCAACAGGAAATTATAAACACACACAAGACGTAAATAATTACACAGTTACAGAAAAACTAGATGTCTGAAAATAGCTTTCCACTAAAACCCTATATACTTTAATTGTACACCACCAGACATACATACATGCACAGAGGATAAGATGCACATTTAATCAATAATACGTTTTGTCTGATGACGTGGTAATGGTGACGTGTCAGAGTTATCATTCCCCATGACAATTTCATGTCAGATGTTAAGAAGAGATACATGTGGTTCAAATCAAAACATAGAACAGGTAACAGAAGAGGTAACAGATTCATTTCAACACGGGAGAAATAGTGCAACCTTCAGCCAAGCCTAACAATGACATGCATGTTTGAAGCTTTTAATAAAACCTTTGGCTGAGGTGAGCTGTAAACACTGATAAATATAACAAGATATGTAGACAAATGCATACATGTGAAAAATGTGATTGTAAACTCCATGTCAGCATCTCAGATGATGTGGAGAATTATACATAAATCCCATTCATGATTATGACAAAATAATCATTATAAATTCATTATGCAAGTAGAAAATACTGCTTACTGAAAGTCGACCAGAACATCAAATGATCATTGTAAAGTGACATGATAGATTAGGATTAGTGAATTAGTGTTAAATGTACTGACATTAAGCCAGTATCAGCTTGGCACATTCAAGCATTCCCATCTGTAGGACAGTTCCATTGTGTTTCAATAATGTAAAATACTGCTTACTGAAAGTCGACCATAAAAACGAATGATCATTGTAAAGTGACATGATAGATTAGGATTAGTGAATTAGTGTTAAATGTTCTGACATTGAGCCAGCATCAGCTTGGCACAGTCAAGCATTCCCATCTGTAGGACAGTTCCATTGTGTTTCGATAATGTACAAGGTCCATGCTACTCAACTTTCGATAGGGATATTAGTTGTATTCCATGATGAACTGACTGACTGAGTTTGGGCTTTTAGCAATATTCTAGCAACATCATGGCGGGGACACCAGAAATGGGCTTCACACATTGTATCCATGTGGGGATTCGAACCCGGGTCTTCGGCGTGACGAGCCAACGCTTTAACCATTAGGCTACCCCACCGCCCCTCCATGATCAACAGATACAGAAGAGGATAATATTAAAACACAGGCACAAATGTTGATGGGTAACCCTATCAAAAGTTGAGTGGTATATATCTGTTTCAGGCACATTTACGTTCACACACATGTACTTCAGACAATCAACTGATGTCTCACGATGCAAGTACCTCAAGCTGTGCCATAATGTAGCAATGTTATCTGGGCTGAGCTGATTTTTGTAGGCCATGTATAAATGTTCATGTTTCTCAAAATATGTAAATCACTAATTCTGAAACTCATTACATTTAAAAGTCTAAAACACTTGGTACCAGTCTTTAAATTCACTTATGATGTTGATGAATTTCTTTGCTTCAGATATCTGATCTGGGTTTTAAATGAGTGGGCAGTGGTAGTAGTATTGTTTTGATGACATTGTCTCACCGAGTTTCCAAAGAGGTGGGTAACACTGAGATACAAAAACTTTGTATAGCTTAGCATCACAATGAAAATTCAGGGCTGGTGATGGGAAACTCGGAAAAGATATGGAGAGCCAAACATTGTAATAACCCATTGTATATATTTTGAACAACTTTAAAGCACTGAGGTGGCAAATCGACAGTATGTTGCACTTATTTTTGCCACAAGAAAGGCTTGAAACAGTAACTGTAGCCATGAACGCTTTCATAATCATTGATTGCGATGATCTTTCAAATTATGACAAACTGCTTTCATAACAGAACTCTTCCTGAATATATTGCCTTCATAACCTACAGTTTTCATAACACACTGCTTTCAGAATGTACTTCTACTTCTTTTACACATTGATTTCTTAATAAGCTCCTTTCACAAACTACTGCTTCAACAATTAACAGCTTTCATAATATACTAAGTTCATAATACATACACAAGTACAATATTTCTAACATAACAAGCAATTGTCCTGATTAAATGGTTCTCCAAGGAACTGATTGCAACCCGTCAACAACTACAAACAAGCAACAACACAATAAAATCACTACTAACATAACACATACAACACATCATACTGCTGTATGGATGGGTCCAGTCACTAGCACTTGCACTCCGCTGGCACATTTATGCAATATGCATCATATTTACATTTTATTAGAATCCCCAGCTTGAATCTTCAATAAGCACAAAATAGAACATACAATGTACATGCTACATTAAACTCATCCTCGATAATCTCCAGGGTATACGTTATGATCACTCTCCACTATACCCTGGATGCATCCACGGCTTGGGGCGATGATTTTATTACCTCCCTTTGCTGGCTTTTTATCCAGTCAGGTGCCTACGCTGGGAAGTTGAGCGTACCAATCACTACTCACTTTCGCGTCTTAAATTATCTAACCGTTTAAACTTGGCAACACAATTGATGCAGAGGTACTCTGAAAGAAGTAGAAGGAGTTCTTTCATATATTCTTTTTAAAGTTTCAGATCTGTGAATTTGTCTTTATTATTTCCCAAAAAATCTGAGTGGCACTGCCAACAAACCTTTGCAACTGCGACCGCAATCTTTGTTGACACTGGCAAGCTCGGTTGTAACGGCGGCTTAGCTGATTGGCTACTGTGAGAATGCGGAGCCAGCCAAGGGAGGTAATAAAATCATCGCCCCAAGCCGTGGATGCATCCAGGGTATAGTGGAGAGTGATCGTAACGTATACCCTGGAGATTATCGAGGATGCATTAAACTGTGCAAACAACAATGTCCCATCCGTGTTGTGGTCAAAGGCAATGTTGTCTTTGTTCCCAGAGTGTTGTGATTTAACAGCAGTATGACATTAAACACAGTGGCCCCTGTCCTGGAATATCACAGAGTTCACACATGACCAGTGGCAGATGGTCTATTGTTTGTGACGATCTGTATCATAGAATGGTTATTCTGGTTCATAGGCCAGCACTGGGGCCAGCCATTTCTCTACCACCCTCACATCTGTCTTCTTCCTCTCAGCGTAGTCTTGTACCTGGAGGAAGAAACAAAACTGACTTTGTGAGATTCACATGAACCATGATCATAAACTCTCCCAACTGATCTCACTCACCAACTGTTCTCACTTTCCTGAATGATCCCATTACCCAAGTGATCTCACTCTCCTGAATGATCCCCCCCATTACCTAAGTCATCTCACTCCCCTGAATGATCCCATTACCCAACTGATCTCACTCTCCTGAATGATCCCATTACCCAAGTGATCTCACTTTCCTGAATGATCCCATTACCCAAGTGATCTCACTCTCCTGAATGATCCCATTACCCAAGTGATCTCACTCTCCTGAATGATCCCATTACCCAACTGATCTCACTCTCCTGAATGATCCCCCCCATTACCCAAGTGATCTCACTCTCCTGAATGATCCCATTACCCAAGTGATCTCCATCCCTTTACTGAATGATCTCATTCCCAAGTGATCCCACTCTCCTGAATGATCTCACTTTCCTGAATGATCCCATTACCCAAAGTGATCTCATTACTCTCACTCTCCTGAATGATCCCATTACCCAAGTGATCTCACCCTCCTGAATGATCCCATTACCCAACTGATCTCACTCTCTGAATGATCCCATACCCAAGTGATCTACACCCATTACCCAAGTGATCTCAGTGATCTCACTCTCCTGAATGATCCCATTACCCAAGTGATCTCATGATCTTTCCTGAATGATCCCATTACTCAAGTGATCTCAACTCTCCTGAATGATCCCATTACCCAAGTGATCTCACTTCTCCTGAATGATCCCATTACCCAACTGATCTCACTCTCCTGAATGATCCCCCCCATTACCCAAGTGATCTCACTCTCCTGAATGATCCCATTACCCAAGTGATCTCACTCTCCTGAATGATCCCATTACCCAAGTGATCTCACTCTCCTGAATGATCCCATTACCCAAGTGATCTCACTCTCCTGAATGATCCCATTACCCAAGTGATCTCACTCTCCTGAATGATCCCATTACCCAAGTGATCTCACTCCTCAACTGCTCTCACTCTCACAACTGCTCTCACTCTCACAACTGATCCCACTCTCACAACTGATCTCACTCTCACAACGGTTCTCACTCTCACAACTGAACTGATCTCACTCTCACAACGGTTCTCACTCTCACAACTGATCCCACTCTCACAACTGATCTCACTCTCACAACTGTTCTCACTCTCTCTCCCCAACTGATATCACTCTCACTCTCACAACTGATCTCACTCACTCTCACAACTGATCCCACTATCCAACTGATCTCACTCTCACAACTGATCTCACTCCCCAACTGATATCACTCCCCAAATGATCTCACTCTCCCAACTGATATCACTCCCCAAATGATCTCACTCCCCAACTGATCTCACTCCCCAAATGATCTCACTATCCAACTCCCCAACTGATCTCACTCCACAACTGACAACTGCTGTCCCTCCCCAACTGATCTCACTCCCCAACTGATCTCACTCCCCAACTGATCTCACTCCCTTACTGATGTCCCTCCCCAACTGATGTCCCTCCCCAACTGATGTCCCTCCCCAACTGATGCTCCTTTCCACTATTTAATGAGAATCAGAACCAGGTATTTTCCTGCCACTCACCTGGTCTCGGTCCACCTTGCCCACCGAGAAGTAGGAGGAGCATGGGTTGGCAAAGTACAGGCCAGACACTGATGCAGCAGGGTCCATGGCGAGAGACTCGGTCAGCTTGATGCCGACGGAATCACCATCTAGCAGCCGCCACATTGCCTGCTTCTCTGTGTGGTCAGGCTGGCTTGGGTAGCCTGGGGCCGGCCGAATTCCCTGGAAGTCAGATAGAATTAGTGCAGGTGTTACAGTTAGTGCAGGTGTTACAGTTAGTACAGGTGTTACAGTTAGTACAGGTGTTACAGTTAGTGCAGGTGTTACAATTAGTGCAGGTGTTACAATTAGTGCAGGTGTTACAGTACCCTGGAAGCAAGTGACAACCACAGAAGAATCTATGTCGAAACATCGCCTTTCACAGAATAAAGAAGTTGTATATCCATAAAATTATCATCATTCTGAATACAGAGTCGACAATCTTTTTTTTTCATCCCAATGACCAAGTATCAAACTCCTGAACTTCCACTCTCCAGGCAGACAGTTTTCTAGATTATGATGGCTGTCTATGTGAGCACGAGACACATTAAACTTAATCTCACATTTATTATCAAACTTGGTTCAGGTAACCCTCTCGCCTATCAGCCAATCAGTAGTCCAAGCATCGGAACCGTGATCACATACCACAAACATTTCAGACAATTCTTCTGACAACTATGAATACAAAAAGTTCTACTCATCACAAACAACCCTACATAGAAGTGAGATGAAACGGTATAACAGTGTTTCATGTGATGTTCAATATGACTGTACTTACACAGTAATATACATGGATGTGTGTGGCACCTTAATGTCTATAGTTCTATAATTCTTTCCCAATGAGATACCATCAAGTATTTCTACATGGATACCCATACCAGACACAATGACTCCAAGCTGTTCTAGTTTTATCTCCCTTTATGCTGACCACTAGACAGAGTAGCATCAGTTAGAGGTGCAACCAGGAGATGAACATATCACCCTCTCCTCCAGGCTAACACACTATCAACAGACCCAAGACTATACAAGGAACAATGAGTGAGTGAGTGAGTTTTACGCCGCACTCAGCAATATTCCAGCTATATGGCTGCGGTCTGTAAATAATCGAGTCTGGACCAGACAATCCAGTGATCAACAGCATGAGCATCGATATGCACAGTTGGGAACCGATGACATGTGTCAACCAAGTCAGCGAGCCTGACCACCCGATCCCGTTAGTCGCCTCTTTCGACAAGCATGGGTTACTGAAGATCAACATTCTAACCCGGACCTTCACGGGTCCTACAAGGAACAAACCAAGACGGGAGACCAGTAACACAAATACACCAAACAGCTTGTCTCCATTGCCACAGTGTACAAAGCTATCTCAGCACTAAGGTGATCGTTATGTCATAGTCGTAGGGCTGAGATCACTTTGTGCAGCAGGTACCTGTACAACAGACCCAATCAGGTTCATGTTAAGGCAACAGTCAGTATACCTGATATTTGATTTTATGTAGATCGTGAGCACTCATGTTTTCGTCAGTGCAGTAGCCCCAGAACTCCTTCCGTACCCGCTCATGCATCTCTTCAGCATAGGCCTGAAACAGAATTATCAGGAATCATCATCAGCCATGTTGAATAGATCCTAACGAGTCCCGTGATTTGGTGAGAAAAAGCCATTATCTTGAAATTCCAGATGGTTATGCTTCTGTTAACCCATTGACAATTTGTCAAGGAAGACAATGGATAGTAGAGGATGTTTCATCAAAATCGTTCACATTTCAGAATATCATAAAGTGGGATTTAAATAGTATGAAATATCATCTTACCTCTGCCAGTCTGTCTACGAGTGCCTTTGCCATAATGATGCTGTAGTCATCGTGCTGGGCTGTAAATCTGAAGACCACAAACAGTGACTCAGTCTAGCTGTGCTTCTAATTCAGGTAAGAATTGACTTCAATGTGTTTTGTGATTATGAAGTTTTCATGCATAGAAACCAACGTGTGTACTATGTAACTCTGTATGGCATATTACAGAAAGTGTGTACTATGTAACTCTGTATGGCATATTACAGAAAGTGTGTACTATCTAACTCTGTATGGCATATTACAGAAAGTGTGTACTGTGTAACTCTGTATGGCATATTACAGAAAGTGTGTACTAGGTAACTCTGTATGGCATATTACAGAAAGTGTGTACTGTGTAGCTCTGTATGGCATATTACAGAAAGTGTGTACTAGGTAACTCTGTATGGCATATTACAGAAAGTGTGTACTATTACAGAGAAAGTGTGTACTATGTAACTCTGTATGGCAGTACAGAAAGTGTGTACTGTGTAACTCTGTATGGCATATTACAGAAAGTGTGTACTGTGTAACTCTGTATGGCATATTACAGAAAGTGTGTACTAGGTAACTCTGTATGGCATATTACAGAAAGTGTGTACTGTGTAACTCTGTATGGCATATTACAGAAAGTGTAACTCTGTACTGTATGTATTACAGAAAGTGTGTACTGTACTCTGTATGGCATATTACAGAAAGTGTGTACTGTGTAACTCTGTACAGAAAGTGTGTACTGTGTAGCTCTGTATGGCATATTACAGAAAGTGTGTACTGTGTAACTCTGTATGGCATATTACAGAAAGTGTGTACTGTGTAACTCTGTATGGCATACTACAGAAAGTGTGTACTATGTAACTCTGTATGGCATATTACAGAAAGTGTGTACTGTGTAACTCTGTATGGCATATTACAGAAAGAGTGCACCTCATCATCACTCCATAAATGCAAAAACATACTGAAGTCAATTCTTATAATAATTATGTGACAGACTCTTATTTGATAACACACAAACAACCACAGACAATGGTACTAAATCAGTGACACAGCTCAGCACAATAATACAACACAACCCTGCTCATTATATTTTTGGAAAAGTAAATCCCAGACTACCTGCATTAGCCAATTAAATGACACAGCATCACTTGCATTTATTTATTCAGTTTTATTGGGATGAGAAAACTATGTAGATGGTTCAAAGGTTAATTAAAACACTCTTCCTCAGTTCCAGTTTAAAAAATGTTAAACCATGGTTTTGGAAAAGCCCTTTTTCAACCAAAACCTCACAGTCATTTTTTAACTATTACCTAATCTAAACTAAACTAAAAAACTAAATGTATTTCTGTTGCTAAATATGTTTATTAATAAAGGCTATGGGAACACCTACTGCTGACACATCTCACTCGTGCCGAAGCCTGCAGAAACAGCAAACAATCCAACATAGTCCTCTACACTGCTGGACTTGGGGGCCACGAAGTCAGAAAGACACAGGTATGGGTCCGTCGCCTGGGGCTCTTTCTCGGCCTGATCGTCAAACATTGATATATCAGTCAAATAGAAAAGTCAGGCAAATATATATGTACTTTTATGTAATTTATTTTTCAAATTTTGTTTTGACTCAAAATGTCCTTAGTTTAAAACATATACTGCACCAACATGTGTAAAAGATGTGAATGGAGCTTTAGAGTTTCTGTCCCTTTAAAAGGTTTCTATTTAGCAAGAACACACTGTACATGGCCTAACTGAACTACAACATACTTCTATACCACTGTTCCAGCAACATCGAGGGTTTATTCTTCCCCAGAATCCAAACATGAAACACATGGCAAGAATCAAATTCCACACAAATAGGTACAGGGTCTCAGTAACACTTTACAAGAATACATTCCCGCCATTTTGTCTCACCTGTTGTCTCAGGCCATACAACGTTTCTATCTTCTCTCCATTGTCATCATACACCTCAATGTCATCCCCGACGCTGTTGGCTCGGTAGAAAGCGATGACACCACTGGCACGGAGTTTCTTCTCCTTCACAATCTTCTCCAACATCCTCTGTGCCTCGTCGAAAACCTTCTTGGCTGTCTCACCTGAGACAAGAGGAAGACATGAACACACACACAGAACCTGCTTCCTGTGTGAGACGTGCTGGCCCCTGGCAAAGATACCTCGGCACTACTTCGACCCAGAAGCATGGCTTTCTTCTGGTCCCAGACAGGGATGCCTTGCCAAGTTTCATCCATAATATATCATCCTGGCTGCAGATTACAATGCTCTTTGTAAAGTGAGAGAGGGAGTTAGCTGGGTTTCACACCACTCCTGCAATATTCCAGTAATATCACAGAACTGGAAACACAGAAATAGGCTTCACACACAGAACCCATGTTGAATGAGTGAGTGAGTTTAGTTTTATGCCGCTTTTAGCAATATTCCAGCAATATCACGATGGGGGACACCAGAAATGGGCTTCACACATTGTACCCATGTGGGGAATCGAACCCGGGTCTTCGGCGTGACGAGCGAATGCGTTAACCACTAGGCTACCCCACCGCCCCCCCATGTTGAGAATTGAAGCCATGCCCAAGGCATGATGACTAAGTGAACCCTTTGTCCTTTTGTAAAGTAAATCTAGTAGTCAGATAGCATTCTGACTTCTGACCCATATCCTTACCACTGACTGACTGACTGAGTTTAGTTTTACGCCGCTTTTAGCAATATTCCAGCAACATCACAGCAGGGGACACCAGAAATAGGCTTAACACATTGAACCCATGTGGGGATTCGAACCCGGGTCTTCGGCGTGGGGAGCCAACGCTTTAACCATTAGGCTACCCCACCGCCCCCCATATCCTTACCTACATCCTTATCGTTGAAGATCTTGGGGTATCCCCTGTTGGGATATTTCCCCCGGAGCTGCCAGACATCGAAGAAGGGCTTCCAGTCAATGTAGGGAATCAAGCGAGACAAGTCATAGTCTTCAAACTTCTTTACACCAAAGAAGGTCGGCTGAACTAAAACACGTTCAAACAGATATGAAGGTCTTATGTGGCAGAATACATTGTTGTGAATTTGTTTGTAGTGATCGTCACTAGCAGCAAATGACTGAAGCACTAGTAAAATGTCCAATGCTTTCAGTAGCATGGAGTTCAATTTAGCTGACTGACTGACTGAGTTTTGGTTTTACGCCGCTTTTAGCAATATTCCAGCAACATCACTGCGGGGGACACCAGAAAAAACAGGCTTCACACATTGTACCAATGGGGGATTCGAACCCGGGTCTTCGGCGTGACGATCCAACGCTTTAACCACTAGGCTACCCCACTGCCCCAGTTCAATTTAGAGTTATCAGCTCTAACAACATTTTACTTGTTCCTTCTAAATGATGATGATGCTTATCATAGTGAGTGAGTGAGTTTAGTTTTATGTCACACTCAGCAATATTCCAGCTATATGGCAGTGGTCAGTAAATAATTGAGCCTGGACCAGACAATCCAGTGATCAACAGCATGAGCATCAATCTATGCAATTGCAAGTCAGTGAGCCTGACCACCCGATCCCGTTAGTCGCCTCTTACGGATGCTTATCATAAGTAGTCTTACTTTGGTACATCCATTCTGCCCGTGAAGGTCCGGGTTAGAATGAGCCTTCAGTAACCCATGCTTGTCGTAAGAGGCGACGGGTGGTCGGGTGGTCAGGCTCGCTGGCTTGGTTGACCCATGTCATCGGTTCCCAATTGCGCAGATCGATGCTCATGCTGTTGTTCATTCGATTGTCTGGTCCAGACTCGATTATTTACAGACCGCCGCCATATAGCTGGAATATTGCTGAGTGTGCGTAAAACTAAACTCACTCACTCACATCCATTCTATTCCCATGAATAAAAAATGCTGGTGTTTTCCACTACAGAGATGCTGCGACTTACTTGGTGTAATATCTGCCACCCAGTCGATGTTCATCCCCTTGTCACGGGCCTTGCTCAGCTTCAGGAACTTCCTTTCCTGGGAAGTAAGGAGAATATGGGAACTTATTTAACTAAGTGAATGATGTAAGATTCATCATTGTCAAAAGGACCGCCTCCATGGTGTATTGGTTAGAGCGTCCACCTGGAGAGCGGAAGGTCGCGGGTTCGATCCCCGACCGCGTCATACCAAAAGACGTTAAAATATGGTACTTGTTGGTCCCTGCCTGGCGCTCGGCATTAATGGGTACAAAAAGGACTGGTTGGCTCGGAGGCAGTATAATGTGTCTGAGTGGGGTATTCATGCTCAACTGTGGCATGGTATCTCAGTGGGCTAGCACTATAAAACCAGCTTAAGTCTGGGCTAGTACAAGCAGCCGCACATACACATACACACGCATGCACGTCGTCATATGAGCGAAATATTCTCAAGCACGACGTTAAACCCAATTTCACCTCACCTCACCATTGTCAAAAGACAATCATTAGATTAAGTCAAAAGATAACACAATCATTAAGAATAAGACGAAACTGTCCCTTGGCCTAAGTATATCCCATATGAGAATCATGATGGTCACTTCTGAAATCGCATTAACATTTAGAGAAACATTCCTGACATCCTACCTTCAGAGAGTCATAGTGCTCTATTCGGATGTCCTCGTATTCCTCGCTGATGTCTTCAGTATATTCATCATATACAGTCTCATTCATTAGAGCCGAGCACTGAAACACAAGGATTTGTTCATGACGAGTTACCACCCAGACAGACCTGTTCAATGACAAGACTTGCTAAGCAACTGCCTAATGAGGAACCGAACTGAAATCTCCATCATGACAAACACCTGAACTCCATCACTGCTTTTCAATCTCAATACCCCAGCTATTTCTGATACATCATACCTAAACGATACAATAAGGTGATCACAGTACACCGGCTGATATGTTTAGGTCCACTGTTCTCTCCTACAAGGGTATAACACTACTGTCCAACCACCTACCACCACGACACTCTTGGAGGCATCAAGTACATGGATCGTGGGCTGCTTGTAGCGAGGGGCAATCTTCACTGCTGTGTGTTGTCTGAAAGGAATCAATATATTTACAATTTGACTTCTGAACAAATCATCATATAGACAGTTGGTATGATAAACCGTATAACTAAAGTTTGGTTCTCTCTCAATCCAAGCAACCTTTGAATAATTATGATATGCAAATACAGTGAAACCTGCCAACACCGGCACCCGTCTAATCCGGCACACTATCAAAACTGGCATAAAATTTTGGTCCTGCCATTTTACAAAAATATTATGATCATTAAAACATTGTCTAATCTGGCACCTGTCTATTCCATATTCCGGCACGACTTTCCGGTCCCAACAAGCAATTTTAACTGTAATGAACACTGTCTAAACCGGCATGGGTATGAGCAGTCGAATCAAGGACCCATAATCCAATACACAATTAATTCTCTGGGCACGCTAGATAATCAGGAAGTAGTGATTGCGCAGTGAATCAAACACTCGTAGGATTACTGCATTTATGCTTAATAAAAACTGGGGAATTGCATTAACTGTCTTCATCTGTCAGAGAGTAAATTAATAGGCATTGGTTGTATTGACTCATCAGTCACTTTCTGTGTCATGATGGCTAGACCAGCTAAGCGGGCACGTTTGGAGTTAACGCTTGTTAAAAACTTTCAGCTTATCAATGACTTTGATACTCTTCCTCAGCCCTCTCAGAAAGAACTTGCAGTTAAATATCATATTGGCAGGCAAACTGTTTCGGACATTTTGAAAAAGTGTGATGTTTATAGATCCAAATTTGAAGAAAACCATATTATACAGAAAACGAGTGTAAATGGCAGCCATGTTGGAAAATGACCGTCACTGTCTAATCCGGTACCCTGTCTAAACGGGCATTATATTTCGGTCCCGTGGGATTTCACTGTATAGCATTCACAACTAATTCAACTTCAAGTCCGTTCTCCATGTTGAGGTCCAAAGTAACTAAATGAATACCATCTCCTATTGGCTTATTCTATTTTCAAGTCACCCGTGAAGGTCCGGGTTAGAATGATCTTTCAGCAAACCATGCCTGTTGTAAATGGCGACTAACGGGATCGGGTGGTCAGGCTCGCTGGCTTGGTTACAGACCGCCACCATATAGCTGGAATATTGCTGAGTGCGGCGTAAAACTAAACTCACTCATTATTTTCAAGTCAGTCCTCCTTGTTAACTCTACTATAATCAAATTGATACCATCACCTTTTTTGCTTTCAAATGGCATCTGTAGGATTTACCTTATCTCTTCTACGCACATGTATGATTTTCTACGCACATGTACCACTTTTATAAACTGTTGCAATTAAGTGTTGCAGGGGATTGTGTTATGGCTCGGTGCATCACATGACACAAAACACTGCACTATTGTATAACCCTGACGTCCAGATGGTCATACACCTACTTGGATGTGGTAGCTCCACCAATGAGAAGAGGAATTTTCATCCCAATGCGGTCCATCTCCTTGGCAACATGAATCATTTCATCCAATGAAGGTGTGATCAAGCCAGACAGCCCCACTATATCTGGAATAGAGAATATTGTAATACTCAAAACTAAAAGACAAAGCTATCAAGTATGTCCTTTTTGTGTGTCAAAACTCCTGAAATTATTAAAATTCCGACTTTTAAAAAGTTACTTCATCATCAACGACCTTTACCTTTAATGTCAAGCTATCGTGTGATGTCCTTGTGTGCCAGAAGATAGATTTTTGTTGTTTAATGCTGCACTCGGCAATATTACAGCTGTATGATATCGTGTGATGTCCTTGTGTGCCAGAAGATAGATTTTTTTTTGTTTACTGCTGCACTCAGCAATATTACAGCTGCATGATATCGTGTGATGTCCTTGTGTGCCAGAAGATAGATTTTTTGTTGTTTAATGCTGCACTCAGCAATATTACAGCTGCATGATATCGTCTGTTGTCCTTGTGTGCCAGAAGATAGATTATTTGTTGTTTAATGCTGCACTCAGCAATATTACAGCTGTATGATATCGTGTGTTGTCCTTGTGTGCCAGAAGATAGATTTGTTGTTGTTTAATGCTGCACTCAGCAATATTACAGCTGTATGATATCGTGTGATGTCCTTGTGTGCCAGAAGATAGATTTTTTGTTGTTTAATGCTGCACTCAGCAATATTACAGCTGTATGATATCGTGTGATGTCCTTGTGTGCCAGAAGATAGATTTTTGTTGTTTAATGCTGCACTCAGCAATATTACAGCTGTATGATATCGTGTGATGTCCTTGTGTGCCAGAAGATAGATTATTTGTTGTTTAATGCTGCACTCAGCAATATTACAGCTGCATGATATCGTGTGATGTCCTTGTGTGCCAGAAGATAGATTATTTGTTGTTTAATGCTGCACTCAGCAATATTACAGCTGTATGATATCGTGTGATGTCCTTGTGTGCCAGAAGATAGATTATTTGTTGTTTAATGCTGCACTCAGCAATATTACAGCTGTATGATATCGTGTGATGTCCTTGTGTGCCAGAAGATAGATTTTTGTTGTTTAATGCTGCACTCAGCAATATTACAGCTGTATGATATCGTGTGATGTCCTTGTGTGCCAGAAGATAGATTTGTTGTTGTTTAATGCTGCACTCAGCAATATTACAGCTGTATGATATCGTGTGATGTCCTTGTGTGCCAGAAGATAGATTATTTGTTGTTTAATGCTGCACTCAGCAATATTACAGCTGTATGATATCGTGTGATGTCCTTGTGTGCCAGAAGATAGATTTTTGTTGTTTAATGCTGCACTCAGCAATATTACAGCTGTATGATATCGTGTGATGTCCTTGTGTGCCAGAAGATAGATTTTTTGTTGTTTAATGCTGCACTCAGCAATATTACAGCTGTATGATATCGTGTGATGTCCTTGTGTGCCAGAAGATAGATATTTTTGTTGTTTAATGCTGCACTCAGCAATATTACAGCTGTATGACAGTGGTCAGGAAATAATCAGATCTGGACCAGACAATCCAGTGACAAACATTATGAGCATTATTGACACATTCCCAATGCAGTGAACCTGACCATCTGATCCTGTTGCATCTTAGACAAGCACAGGTTGGTGAAGAACTGTTTTAACCTGCAACTTCACCATGTGTAGCATAACTATAAAGTACCTGACAGAGGGCACATTGTTGAAAAACCAATTTAAAACGAAGGTCAAATTCATAGAGGTATCATATTTTGAAGCAACCTTGGTCTTATTTACAGGTGTTCATGATAAGAGTTATGATCTACAAAGTAATTCAACCTGCTTTCTCCTGAATGGCTGTCTCTAGAATCTTCTCACAAGGGGTCATGACGCCCAAGTCGATCACACTGAAAGAAAAAATGGCTGCCACATAACAATTTGTTGGCAACACTGCAACAAGGTACATGCAGTTCTTTCAAGTCAACCTTGTTTAAGGACATCGCCAAAAATAACAATATTCTAATTATTAGATGGATCAATATTTCACATTAATTTCTTAATAATGTGAAACGTGTTGAGTTAACCTGATAAAAGACAATTTTGATCAATGTCATCACAAGCAAGACGGATTGACCTACTTGTAATTGTTGCAGCCAAGCACAACACCAACGATGTTCTTCCCAATGTCGTGCACGTCCCCCTTCACTGTGGCCAACACAACTGTCCCGACATATGCACTTGCCTACAACAAAGGATATGTCAAAGGTCAAGTACATCAATAGTTTGTGGCGTTTGTAAATCATGAATGAAATATTTTGATATCACTCCTTTTTTCATGCAAGATTCAGTTTTCTGACCAAAACACTGCACTGTTAAGCAATTAACAAAGATGCTCTAAAGAATGAACTTGCATTGGTCATGTGAGTGAGTGAGTTTAGTTTTACGCTGCACTCAGCAATATTCTAGCTATATGGCGGTGGTCTGTAAATAATCGAGTCTGGACCAGACAATCCAGTGATCAAAAGCATGAGCATCGATCTGCGCAATTGGGAACCGATGACGTGTCAACCAAGTCAGCAAGCCTGACCACCCGATCCCAATAGTCACCTCTTACGACAAGCATGGGTTGCTGAAGATCAATATTCTAACTCGGACCTTGACGGAGTACATTGGTCATGTGTTTATTAGGGGCAAATTGAACAGGGAGTTCTTGAGTTTTTTTAACAGGGAGTTCTTGGGGTTTTTTAATGGATGAGTTCCTATGATAAAACTGATGCACACTCATTTAAATAGTAAATCAATTCTATAAATCTGTTTTCATACAAAGTGGACCAAATGTGGTATGATGTCACACCTTGCAAAACACTCTCTATACAAGACTTTTAACACAATGACCAGAACACAAGTGCCTTAACAACAGTAACAAACAACTCACCAAGTCATCACATCCTCCTGAGTTCTGCAGATTATTCTGTCTCTCCTCCTCCATGAAAGGAATCAGGTGAGCTACGGCTTTCTTCATCACTCTGGCCGACTTGATGACTTGAGGTAAAAACATCTTCCCAGCTCCAAACAGATCGCCTACCACACTCATTCCCTGTAACATATATTGATGAAGGTGAGCTACAGTATGCACCAGTCAAACACATTGAAACTGATACCCTGTAATCATACATATGTGAATAAGGTGAGCTTCAGTATGCAACAGTCCCACACATTGAGACTGATACCCTGTAGTCATACATATATGAATAAGGTGAACTACATGCACTTTAATTTGTCACTCCTGAGAAATCTGATACTGCATTTGTAACAAATATCTTTAATTTGTAAGGTGAGCTACAGTTCACAGATAACTACAAGATGACAGCAGGTTGGGCACAAATCACCTACAGTAAGGCTCCAGTTCCACAAGGCTTACGCAGCATGGAACACCAGAACTCTACAGACAGAAAGATGTGCAGGAATTATCTCAAACTTTATAACCAAACAACCATATTAAACTCGTCAATACTACTGGACCTATTTGGTGGCGAATGTGTTTAGGTTATCTTTCAAAATCAAATCATGATTCAATACACTGGACAATCAAGACAAAATTTTGAATGTCATTGAATCAAGACATGGTGCCAATGTGCAGATTCGTGGGGCGTACCTTCATGAGGGGTCTCTCGATGACGTTGAGTGGCCGGGGATATAGAACCTTGTTGCATCGAGCCTCCTCGGTATCCGCTACAACATACTTGTCAATTCCCTAGAGAAGAGGAACAGGTCACAGAGGTCACACTGCATCTTGGGATACCTGGCGTATAGTGATTTCTACCTGCTTCTCACACTTATACAAGGTGTTTATCGTGTGTATCCCAGAAGGGTTAGATTGTTAAAAGTGTTATCTAAACTCTGTTATTCTGTAATATGTTGATTATTGACATTGGCACTGACAATATCAATATTCAAATTCTTTATATGTAATTGTGTTGACAATAACCACACTTTCCGTATGTCACAAATAAGTCCCATTGTTGACAAGAGCCACATTGTCAGTATGTCACAAATAACTCCCATTGTTGACAAAAGCCACATTGTCAGTATGTCACAAATAAGTCCCATTGTTGACAAGAGCCACATTGTCAGTATGTCACAAATAACTCCCATTGTTGACAAGAGCCACATTGTCAGTATGTCACAAATAAGTCCCATTGTTGACAAGAGCCACATTGTCAGTATGTCACAAATAACTCCCATTGTTGACAAGAGCCACATTGTCAGTATGTCACAAATAACTCCCATTGTTGACAAGAGCCACATTGTCAGAATGTCACAAATAACTCCCATTGTTGACAAGAGCCACATTGTCAGTATGTCACAAATAACTCCCATTGTTGACAAGAGCCACAATGTCAGTATGTCACAAATAACTCCCATTGTTGACAAGAGCCACAATGTCAGTATGTCACAAATAACTCCCATTGTTGACAAGAGCCACATTGTCAGTATGTCACAAATAACTCCCATTGTTGACAAGAGCCACATTGTCAGTATGTCACAAAGAACTCCCATTGTTGACAAGAGCCACATTGTCAGTATGTCACAAATAACTCCCATTGTTGACAAGAGCCACATTGTCAGTATGTCACAAATAACTCCCATTGTTGACAAGAGCCACATTGTCAGTATGTCACAAGTAACTCCCATTGTTGACAAAAGCCACATTGTCAGTATGTCACAAATAACTCCCATTGTTGACAAAAGCCACATTGTCAGTATGTCACAAATAACTCCCATTGTTGACAAGAGCCACATTGTCAGTATGTCACAAATAACTCCCATTGTTGACAAGAGCCACAATGTCAGTATGTCACAAATAACTCCCATTGTTGACAAGAGCCACAATGTCAGTATGTCACAAATAACTCCCATTGTTGACAAGAGCCACATTGTCAGTATGTCACAAATAACTCCCATTGTTGACAAGAGCCACATTGTCAGTATGTCACAAGTAACTCCCATTGTTGACAAGAGCCACAATGTCAGTATGTCACAAATAACTCCCATTGTTGACAAGAGACACATTGTCAGTATGTCACAAATAACTCCCATTGTTGACAAGAGCCACAATGTCGGTATGTCACAAATAACTCCCATTGTTGACAAAAGAGCCACATTGTCAGTATGTCACAAATAACTCCCATTGTTGACAAGAGCCACATTGTCAGTATGTCACAAATAACTCCCATTGTTGACAAGAGCCACAATGTCAGTATGTCACAAATAACTCCCATTGTTGACAAGAGACACATTGTCAGTATGTCACAAATAACTCCCATTGTTGACAAGAGCCACAATGTCAGTATGTCACAAATAACTCCCATTGTTGACAAGAGACACATTGTCAGTATGTCACAAATAACTCCCATTGTTGACAAGAGCCACAATGTCAGTATCACAATGATAAAACGTCCCATCATTAACAAGAGCAATAACTCCAGTATGTCACAATGAAAAAACTCCCATCATTGACAAGGGCCGCAATGTCAATGTCACATTATTGACAAAAATCACATTGTCAGTGTGTCACAATGATGATAAGCCTCACATCAACTGTGTACCACTGTCATATGTCACCCTCTTGCTGTGGTATACTATTATCCAAAACAACATGGACTTGTTTACACATACAGGTTGGCCTGCTGTGTGGGCACCCACCTTGACAAGGGAGTGCTCCAGCCTATCCTCCACAGACAGCTTTCTCCATTCATCACTCACGACAGCCTTCTTGGCATCAGCACCCATAGACTGATAACAAATACACAATAAGGCTTTAGACTGATAACAAATACACAATAAGGCTTTAGATTGACAACAAATACACAATAAGGCTTTAGATTGACAACAAATACACAACAAGAAGACAAAGTCATCAATATCCCCCGCAATGGCAAAATACTCTTCATGATTATGTCTACGAGTTATGATTATGTCAAATATTTATGTGTGTATATAGAAAAGTGGAAGGAGAGTATTGAAAGGTTTTGAAAGTTCTGCTCCAGAAAGAGCACTATCACCAATTTCAGTCTAAGTCATACTTGTTGCCATAAACGCCAAAAATATTTTACCGTATATGACCGTCTATAAGCCGACCCCATGGATAAGCCGACCCCCAAACTTGACCCTCAAAATCAGTGTCAAAATCATATCTCTCATGGATAGGCCGACCCCCCGCGATGTGTTGCGGCCAACAGAGACCAGAGTACCCGGTAAGTATGTTCCATCAACGACGAGACACCATTACGAGAATATTACATAATAAAGATTACCGGTGTTTGTTTACCTTTTTTTAACGATCACTGCTTGCATCAACAACGAGATGCCATTTGGAAAGTGGATATACAGCGTAAGTGTTGGTGAGAATATTACATAATAAAGATTACCGGTGTATTGTGGCAACATGTGTTTGTGTTCCTTTTTATATCCCGACGATCACTGCTTGCATCAACAACGAGATGCCATTTTGTGAAAAAGTACCATCGGTAAATAAAAACTGAAGTCAACTTTTGTTTCAAAATATATTATTTAAGTGTCCATATTTCATCTATATATATATGACAATAAGAAAAATAGTCCACTAACAATAAACACTGACATTTCTGCAAGAGAGTTCTGAGATTTTCACAAGTCATCGGCCGTAAACCCATCAAATTCGTGTCACTGTCCTCCCCATATACTGTAAGTCGATCCACATTATTCAAAGAATTCACTGTCATATATATTGTGTCTACTCAATGGATCGAAACGAAGTGTAGTTGACAGAAAATGCATTATATATTTTGCTTCTCTAAATATCATATTTATTGTAGCAACAAACTGGCTTGCTTATTTTACCCCATTCAACAATCACAAACTGATTACGCCTCGTTCCATGTCACGTGCTTACCTTGCGTTCATGATGGTCCGTATAACCTTAGTGTTGATTATATATTTTTACATAAAAACTATTACACAATGCTAGGATATATTTCTTTGGGTTAAATAATAGTATTCAATCAATAGAATTCATCCCGTTATATTATTGTGCATGTTTGAACTTGTTCAAGGGAAACGTGGTGCACAGCTGATTGCTATTTCCGGCTTTGTGTATCGGAGACAAATACGCGACGGTAATCTTAATTAATTTATACAGCAAAACTGTAACTAAAATTACACAATGCTAGGATATATTTCTTTGGGTTAAATAACGGTATTCTGTATTATATTTTACTGATGACTGCGTCAGAATTCGTCCGTTATATTATTGTGCATGTTTGAACTTGTTCGGCCGGAAACGGTGCACAGCTGATTGCTATTTCGGCTTTGTGTAATGCGAGACAACACATACGGTAATCTTAATCCTGCAAATAAAACAATGCCCAGCAAAACAACTTATAACTTAAATGGTAAATAATCTTGTCTAGTGATGTTTAATTGCAAATTTAGCGCCTCTACTGACAAAGTCGTCTTCTGTTGTTTGTTCCCTTGAAGTGATAATAACGATGTTGTTTTCTTACCCTGGAAAAAAGTTTGACTGAAAGTGTAACTCATGGATAAGACGACTCCCTTCTTATTCAGAATTCCAAAACTACCAAAAGGCACCAGTACACCACCAGATCTATCTATGTGCCAAGTTTGGTGAAGAAATAGTGAACAGTTTTAGAGTTCTGCTCCGGAAAAAAGCACTATCACCAATTTCAGGCTAAGTCAAACTTGTTGCCATGGAAATGCCAAAAATATTTTATTCAGAATTCTAAAACTACCAAAAGGCACCAGTACACCACCAGATCCATGTATGTGCAAAGTTTGGTGAAGAAATATTGAACGGTTTTAGAGTTCTGCTCCGGAAAAGACAAATGTGCACGGACGGACGGACGGACGGACGGACGGACGGACGCACGGATGGAGTCCATTTTAATACCCCCCGCAAAACGCGTTGCGGGGGATAATAAGGCTTTAGATTGACAACAAATACACAATAAGGCTTTAGACTGACAACAAATACACAATAAGGCTTTAGACTGACAACAAATACACAATAAGGCTTTAGACTGACAACAAATACACAATAAGGCTTTAGACTGACAACAAATACACAATAAGGCTTTAGACTGACAACAAATACACAATAGGGCTTTAGACTAACAACAAATACACAATAGGGCTTTAGACTGACAACACATGCACAATAAGACTTTAGACTGACAACAAATACACAATAAGGCTTTAGACTGACAACAAATACACAATAGGGCTTTAGACTAACAACAAATACACAATAGGGCTTTAGACTGACAACAAATGCACAATAAGACTTTAGACTGACAACAAATACACAATAAGGCTTTAGACTGACAACAAATACACAATACTTTAGTGAGTGAGTGAGTTTAGTTTTATGCTGCACTCAGCAATGTGCCAGCTATATGATGGCGGTCTGTAAATAATCGAGTCTGGACCAGACAATCCAGTGATCAACAGCATGAGCATCAATCTACGCAACTGGGATATGACATGTTCAACCAAGTGAGTGAACCTGATTCACTGAACTAAATACACTAAATAACTATATATAAACTAAAATAATGCAATAAATGCACTAAGAATGACAAATTTGAGAGCAAATCAAGATTCATCTTATTCCACAAAGATAACTGTCTGGTACAAACTGAACCAACACATTCAGGTTTCATGTCCACATCCCTTGACAAAATAACTGAAAAAGACAAGTAAATGTTGTCTGTCCTCATGGTTGACAAGTAACATTTGAGGGCTATAGTTCTGAATCATTTCCCGAAATTTCACTTTTGCAACGAACTGAAAAACTAACAGAAAATGTAAACACTGTTCACATTTTTGTCTTGTCCAAGCATTATTGGCTAATAACTCTGTTGCAAAATGATTTTTTCAGTTTTCAGTCTTCAAAAACAAACATCCCCATTACACTAATTTTGAATCCTGGGTCCCGTTCCACAACGCTACAACATTCGTAAGCCTATGATAAACTACATAGTTACGACAACTCGTAACATTATGAACGTTTTGTGGAACAGACCCTGGATTAATCCTGGTTACAACACTTCATGTAGATTTGTGATTCAACCTAGGGACCTCACCTCAGCAAATACCAGCAGTTTTTCTGTACCCTCTGGGTCTTTATTCCACAGCAAGTTTTCACAGAGTTCCAGAAGTTTCTTGTCAATGTCGTCATACACGGGCAGACAGCCAGCATTGACGATGCCCATGTCCATACCGGACTAGAGGGAAGAAACACATTGTCAGGTACTGTCATAGATACTGATCTCCTGTGTCCCAACATTTAATGTCATAGATACTGATCTCCTGTGTCCCAACATTTAATGTCATAGATACCGATCTCCTGTGTCCCAACATTTAATGTCATAGATACTGATCTCCTGTGTCCCAACATTTAATGTCATAGATACTGATCTCCTGTGTCCCAACATTTAATGTCATAGATACCGATCTCCTGTGTCCCAACATTTAATGTCATAGATACTGATCTCCTGTGTCCCAACACTTAATGTCATAGATACTGATCTCCTGTGTCCCAACATTTAATGTCATAGATACTGATCTCTGTGTCCCAACATTTAATGTCATAGATACCGATCTCCTGTGTCCCAACATTTAATGTCATAGATACTGATCTCCTGTGTCCCAACACTTAATGTCATAGATACTGATCTCCTGTGTCCCAACACTTAATGTCATAGATACTGATCTCCTGTGTCCCAACACTTAATGTCATAGATACTGATCTCCTGTGTCCCAACACTTAATGTCATAGATACTGATCTCCTGTATCCCAACACTTAATGTCATAGATACTGATCTCCTGTGTCCCAACACTTAATGTCATAGATACTGATCTCCTGTGTCCCAACATTTAATGTCATAGATACTGATCTCCTGTGTCCCAACATTTAATGTCATAGATACTGATCTCCTGTGTCCCAACATTTAATGTCATAGATACTGATCTCCTGTGTCCCAACACTTAATGTCATAGATACTGATCTCCTGTGTCCCAACACTTAATGTCATAGATACTGATCTCCTGTGTCCCAACACTTAATGTCATAGATACTGATCTCCTGTGTCCCAACATTTAATGTCATAGATACTGATCTCCTGTGTCCCAACATTTAATGTCATAGATACTGATCTCCTGTGTCCCAACACTTAATGTCATAGATACTGATCTCCTGTGTCCCAACACTTAATGTCATAGATACTGATCTCCTGTGTCCCAACACTTAATGTCATAGATACCGATCTCCTGTGTCCCAACACTTAATGCACCAACACCTTGATAGCATACTACAGTAACACTGCTAACAACAGTGATAGCATAATACAGCAACACTGCTAACAACAGTGATAGCATAATACAGTAACACTGCTAACAACCGTACCTTGATAGCATGGTACAGTAACACTGCTAACAACCGTACCTTGATAGCATGGTACAGTAACACTGCTAACAACCGTACCTTGATAGCATGGTACAGTAACACTGCTAACAACCGTACCTTGATAGCATAATACAGTAACACTGCTAACAACAGTACCTTGATAGCATAATACAGTAACACTGCTAACAACACTGCTAACAACAGTACCTTGATAGCATAATACAGTAACACTGCTAACAACAGTACCTTGATAGCATGGTACAGTAACACTGCTAACAACAGTACCTTGATAGCATAATACAGTAACACTGCTAACAACAGTACCTTGATAGCATGGTACAGTAACACTGCTAACAACCGTACCTTGATAGCATGGTACAGTAACACTGCTAACAACAGTACCTTGATAGCATAATAATACAGTACAGTAACACTGCTAACAACAGTACCTTGATAGCATGGTACAGTAACACTGCTAACAACAGTACCTTGATAGCATAATACAGTAACACTGCTAACAACAGTACCTTGATAGCATGGTACAGTAACACTGCTAACAACCGTACCTTGATAGCATAATACAGTAACACTGCTAACAACAGTGATAGCATAATACAGTAACACTGCTAACAACAGTGATAGCATAATACATTAACACTGCTAACAACAGTGATAGCATAATACAGTAACACTGCTAACAACCGTACCTTGATAGCATGGTACAGTAGCACTGCTAACAACCGTACCTTGATAGCATGGTACAGTAACACTGCTAACAACAGTACCTTGATAGCATGGTACAGTAACACTGCTAACAACAGTACCCTGATAGCATAATACAGTAACACTGCTAACAACAGTACCTTGATAGCATAATACAGTAACACTGCTAACAACAGTACCTTGATAGCATGGTACAGTAACACTACTAACAACAGTACCTTGATAGCATAATACAGTAACACTGCTAACAACCGTACCTTGATAGCATGGTACAGTAACACTGCTAACAACAGTACCTTGATAGCATGGTACAGTAACACTGCTAACAACAGTACCTTGATAGCATAATACAGTAACACTGCTAACAACCGTACCTTGATAGCATGGTATTGTAACACTGCTAACAACCGTACCTTGATAGCATGGTACAGTAACACTGCTAACAACAGTACCTTGATAGCATAATACAGTAACACTGCTAACAACCGTACCTTGATAGCATGGTACAGTAACACTGCTAACAACAGTACCTTGATAGCATAATACAGTAACACTGCTAACAACAGTACCATGATAGCATAATACAGTAACACTGCTAACAACAGTACCTTGATAGCATAATACAGTAACACTGCTAACAACAGTACCTTGATAGCATGGTACAGTAACACTGCTAACAACAGTACCTTGATAGCATAATACAGTAACACTGCTAACAACAGTACCTTGACAGCATGATATGGTAACACTGCTAACAACAGTACCTTGACAGCATGGTACAGTAACACTACTAACAACTGTACCTTGATAGCATGGTATTGTAACACTACTAACAACAGTACCTTGATAGCATGGTACAGTAACACTGCTAACAACAGTACCTTGATAGCATGGTACAGTAACACTGCTAACAACAGTACCTTGATAGCATGGTACAGTAACACTGCTAACAACCGTACCTTGATAGCATGGTACAGTAACACTGCTAACAACCGTACCTTGATAGCATGGTATCGTTACACTGCTAACAACCGTACCTTGATAGCATGGTACAGTAACACTGCTAACAACAGTACCTTGATAGCATGGTATTGTAACACTGCTAACAACAGTACCTTGATAGCATGGTACAGTAACACTGCTAACAACTGTACCTTGACAGCATGATATGGTAACACTGCTTACAACAGTACCTTGATAGCATGATAGAGGAAAACACTGTGCATAGCTTCTCGGATTGTCTCTTTGCCTCTGAACGAGAAGGAGAAGTTGGACACGCCCCCACTAACTCGGGCTCCTGGCAGGGTTTTCTGGGAAATAGAAGTACAAGACAATTGGTATGACATTTTATACATATACTATTCACACATTCAGGACCACACATTCTTATTCATATTTACAGGGGCGGTGGGGTAGCCTAGTGGTTAAAGCGTTGGCTGGCCACGCCGAAAACCCGGGTTCGAATCCCCACATGGGTACAATGTGTGAAGCCCATTTCTGGTGTCCCCCGCCATGATGTTGCTGGAATATTGCTAAAAGTGGCATAAAACCAAACTCAGTCAGTCAGTCATATTTACATGGCATGCAATGACAGATTAACTACAATAATACAGAGAATTAGCTTGTCCTTAAATTCTTTTGAATAGTACCAATATATATCCAGAACAGACTTTTATACCTCGAACTTGATCGTCTAGATTGCACCTAACATTGAAAGAATATCAAACAAACAAAATATACATAATTAATACAAAACTGAATGAATCAACTCCTCTATCAATATGCTTCTATGGAACACTCACCTTGATGATTTCGATGGCCTTTATGAAGTCTATGCCATACTCGTTGTGCTCGTCAATACCAGTTGCAATGGTGAGGATATTGGGGTCGAAGATGATGTCGTTAGGGTTGAAGCCCACTTCGTCCACCAGGATGTTGTAGGAGCGTGTACAGATGGCCGCTTTCCTCTCATAGTCAGTAGCCTGAAGGGCAAACAGACATATCAGCCATGTTGCTGGCACGAAAACGTACTCAGATTTTTTAATAACCTCTATTTACCGAGTCTGAGTTCTGAGTTGAGCACGAAACCGGATTTGAGCATGAGATCGTACTCAGGAAAGTTTTATAACCTTAGAATCAGTAAGTCAACTTTAATCATTTTAATCTCTGATGGTTTAGTTTTCTAAAAATTTTGTTGTTTAACATACATTATATAGTACCTGTACATCCAGTCTGTGTTATGTCTAAGGTTACATTTTACACATTTTTATCCTTGCCTAATACTGGTTAGCGCCATCAAATCGAGTCAACCCTGATTGCCAGAAATATTTGTTTATTTGCTTGTTGTTTAACGCCACACCCAGCATTATTCCGGCCATACAGCGGCAGTCTGTAAATAATTGAGTCTGGACCAAACAATCCAGTGATCAACAGCATGAGCATCAGTCTACACAATTGGGATACGATGACGTGTGTCAACCAAGCCAGCAAGCCTGACCACCCGATCCCATTAGTTGCCTCTTTTGACAAGCACATAACATATGTAATTTGTCACGACTACATCTCTAATATATCCCCACCTGGCCTTCTTCATCAAACGCCATGACAACGACTGCTGCTCCATACTGCTTGACTTTTCTGGCCTTGGCCTTGAAGTCGTCCACCCCCTCCTTGAGACTTATACTGTTGACAATACACTTCCCCTGCGTGCACATCAGCCCCGCCTCCACCACTGCGAAGTTGGACGAGTCAATACACAGGGGCACCTGCAAACAGAACATTCAAAACATACATACACATTGGAGAGGTGTGCAGTCATCAATATCATGCTGGCGCATGTTGGCCCTATTGTTTGAGGCAGCCCAATTTATTGTGCAGAGTTACGTCCCTTTGAGACACCAGACCTCTTTGATCATGGCCTGACTACACTAATTTTGTTTCCAGGTTTGGAATCACCATATCCATGCTTGTATTTGACTATTAGTGTGCACCTCCAAGACCTGCCTCACAACAGGCTTTCCTCTACATTTAGCTGTGATATAATTGGAATACTGTTCAAAGTCACTTACCAAATTCACTCATAATTGATCAGGTAAAGCACTAGTCACTGGATTATTTCTCATTTTAAAAAAATGAGAACAAGTTAAAAAAAATAAAGAATACATACGAAAATTATGACCCAAGTAAGACAATTTAGACCTAATTGTGAGAGATGTATACGAAAAAAACCCAACTACATATTGTTTAAATCGATAAAGGACAGTGGAAGGAAAGCAAAAAGTGATAGACATGGTTCATATTTACCAGTTTTGTAAAATGAATGAGACAGGAAGAATTATAAGTGTGATAATTCTGGGATTCAACATGCAGACATTTAATGTTAAGATACTGTTAACCAGTAGACATTACTGAACTAAAGCGCTCCAGGGCTTTACACAGTACCTTTGCAATATCAGGTTCAGATGAAATGAGATTGACAAACTTCCGCATAGCCGACACCCCATCCAGCATCCCTTCGTCCATGTTGATGTCAAGTACCTGGGCTCCATTCTCAACCTGTATCTTAGCAACACTCAGTGCTTCCTGCAACACAAACCAAGTACATATCTGGAAGGGCACACCATTTCAGCAACAATGTAGGGTTTCTACATTTACATTCTCAACCATTCTCACATGAGCACCTCCCTTAGCATCAACACCCTTATTGCAATCAAACACACATAAAAAGCTGATATCAAATGAATCTGCCTAGACCATTGCATTTCTGTAGTAAATAGGTTGCACCTTACACTGAACTAGTAGAAAACAGGGTGCCCCTTACACTCAACTAGGAGTAAACAGGTTGCCCTGTACAATGAACATAGTGTAAACAGGTTGAACCCTACATTGAACAGGAAGCAAACAGGTTGCACCTTAATTTGGAGTAAGAGTAAACACACCTTACACTGAAGTAGGAGTAAACTGGTTGCATCTTACACTGGGCAGGGAGTAAACAAGCTGCACCTTACATGAAACAGGGAGTAAACTGGTTGCACCTTACATGAAACATGGAGTAAACTGGTTGCATCTTGCATGAAACAGGGAATAAACTGGTTGCACATTACATGAAACAGGGAGTAAACTGGTTGCCCCTTGCATGAAACGGAGTAAACTGGTTGCACCTTACATGAAACAGGGAGTAAACTGGTTGCATCTTATATTGGACTATGAGTAAACGGGTGCACCTTACACTGAACAGGGGGTAAACACACTGCACCTTAACAATGAAGTAGGAGTAAACTGGTTGCATCTTATACTGAACTACAGAACTGCCATATGACAAGGTCTCACCTCATAGTTCCCATTCTTGATCAGTCTACAGAATCTCTTCGACCCAGCAACATTGCACCTCTCACCGATGTTCACAAAGTTGGTGTGTGGGCCGATATAGGATGGCTCAAGACCTGAAATGATCATAACTTATGACTTCAAACTTTTCAAATTAATATCAAGAATCTGTTCAAATTAATATCAAGAATCTTTTTGCTATTTGCATATTGCAAATAAACCAATAACCTTTGACCAATAATCCCCTCCAGCAAAACAAGATATGACCTTCATCTGGACTGTTAACATTTAGTTTATATTACAAACTAAAACACTTTGTCTAGTGAAGTGCTATGCATTCAGACATCAGTTCAGTCATCAGTTCAGACATCAGTTCAGTCATCAATTAAGACATCAGTTCATTCATCAATTAAGACATCAGTTCATTCATCAGTTCAGTCATCAGTTCTGACATCAGTTCAGTCATCAGTTCAGTCATCAATTAAGACATCAGTTCAGTCATCAATTAAGACATCAGTTCATTCATCAGTTCATTCATCAGTTCAGTCATCAGTTCAGTCATCAGTTCTGACATCAGTTCATTCATCAGTTCAGTCATCAGTTCAGTCATCAGTTCAGACATCAGTTCAGTCATCAATTAAGACATCAGTTCATTCATCAATTAAGACATCAGTTCATTCATCAGTTCATTCATCAGTTCAGTCATCAGTTCTGACATCAGTTCATTCATCAGTTCAGTCATCAGTTCAGTCATCAGTTCTGACATCAGTTCAGACATCAATTAAGACATCAGTTCAGTCATCAATTAAGACATCAGTTCATTCATCAGTTCAGACATCAGTTCAGTCATCAGTTCAGTCATCAATTAAGACATCAGTTCAGTCATCAATTAAGACATCAGTTCATACATCAGTTCAGTCATCAATTAAGACATCAGTTCAGTCATCAATTCAGACATCAGTTCAGTCATCAATTAAGACATCAGTTCATTCATCAGTTCAGTCATCAATTAAGACATCAGTTCAGACATCAGCTCAGTCATCAATTAAGACATCAGTTCAGTCATCAGTTCAGTCATCAATTCAGACATCAGTTCAGTCATCAATTAAGACATCAGTTTATTCATCAGTTCAGTCATCAATTCAGACATCAGTTCAGACATCAGTTCAGTCATCAATTCAGACATCAGTTCATACATCAGCTCAGTCATCAATTAAGACATCAGTTCAGTCATCAGCTCAGACATCAGTTCAGACATCAGTTCAGGCATCAATTAAGACATCAGTTCAGTCATCAGCTCAGACATCAGTTCAGACATCAGTTCAGTCATCAGTTCATACATCAGTTCAGTCATCAGTTCAGTAATCAATTAAGACATCAGTTCATACATCAGCTCAGACATCAGTTCAGACATCAGTTCAGTCATCAATTCAGACATCAGTTCAGACATCAGTTCAGTCATCAATTCAGACATCAGTTCATACATCAGCTCAGTCATCAATTAAGACATCAGTTCAGTCATCAGCTCAGACATCAGTTCAGACATCAGTTCAGTCATCAATTCAGACATCAGTTCAGTCATCAATTAAGACATCAGTTCATTCATCAGTTCAGTCATCAATTAAGACATCAGTTCATACATCAGCTCAGTCATCAATTAAGACATCAGTTCAGTCATCAATTCAGACATCAGTTCATACATCAGCTCAGTCATCAATTAAGACATCAGTTCATTCATCAGTTCAGTCATCAATTCAGACATCAGTTCAGACATCAGTTCAGTCATCAGCTCAGACATCAGTTCAGACATCAGTTCAGGCATCAATTCAGACATCAGTTCATACATCAGCTCATACATCAGTTCAGTCATCAATTAAGACATCAGTTCAGTCATCAGTTCATACATCAGTTCAGACATCAGTTCAGACATCAGTTCAGGCATCAATTCAGTCATCAATTCAGACATCAGTTCAGACATCAGTTCAGTCATCAGTTCAGTCATCAATTCAGACATCAGTTCATACATCAGCTCAGTCATCAATTAAGACATCAGTTCATTCATCAGTTCAGTCATCAATTCAGACATCAGTTCAGACATCAGTTCAGTCATCAGTTCAGTCATCAATTCAGACATCAGTTCATACATCAGCTCAGTCATCAATTAAGACATCAGTTCATTCATCAGTTCAGTCATCAATTCAGACATCAGTTCAGACATCAGTTCAGTCATCAATTCAGACATCAGTTCAGTCATCAATTAAGACATCAGTTCATTCATCAGTTCAGTCATCAATTCAGACATCAGTTCAGACATCAGTTCAGTCATCAATTCAGACATCAGTTCTTACATCAGCTCAGTCATCAATTAAGACATCAGTTCATTCATCAGTTCAGTCATCAATTAAGACATCAGTTCATACATCAGCTCAGACATCAGTTCAGACATCAGTTCAGTCATCAATTCAGACATCAGTTCAGTCATCAATTCAGACATCAGTTCAGACATCAGTTCAGTCATCAATTCAGACATCAGTTCAGACATCAGTTCAGTCATCAATTCATACATCAGTTCAGTCATCAGCTCAGACATCAGTTCAGACATCAGTTCAGGCATCAATTCAGACATCAGTTCATACATCAGTTCATACATCAGTTCATACATCAGCTCAGTCATCAATTAAGACATCAGTTCAGTCATCAGCTCAGACATCAATTAAGACATCAGTTCAGTCATCAGCTCAGACATCAGTTCAGACATCAGTTCAGTCATCAATTCAGACATCAGTTCAGTCATCAGTTCAGACATAAGTTCAGACATAAGTTCAGGCATCAGTTCTGAAATCAGTTCTGAAGTCAATTCAGACATCAGCACAGACATAAATTCAGTCATCAGTTCATACATCAGTTCTGATGGCAGTTCAGACATCAGTTCAGACATCAGTTATGACGTCAGTTCAGAAGTCAGTGCTGATGTCAGTTCTGGTCAGTTCTGACATCAGTTTTCAGAAGGCTGTGCTATGTATCAGGGCCAATGTCCTGGCCATTCTCATCCTGTGTATTGTCTACTTGCTGAGTGTGTATTGGATGTCTATTTGTTGAGAGGAAGACAATCACCTGAGAGCAGCATGTGACCTGTGTGAAGGCTGGACGGAGGGACCCTAGGCTTGAACTTGGACACAGCTTCAGCAATTGCCCTGAAAAACATCCAAACTCTTCATAAATCTACAAATACATCATACTAGTATATGAGACACACTCATATCAAGTGCTATTAAAAAAAAGAATGGAAATAAAGAAGGGAAATCTCTAGTGTTGCATGTCACAGCGTGTGTACTCACTTGATGTGGGCTGGGGTTGTTCCACAGCACCCACCCACAATGTTCACCATCCCAGCCTTGGCAAACTCCTGGAAAACATATGTCACTTTTTCAAAATAATTTTCTGGAGGTCATTTCAGATGAAAGTAATAAAACATTTTCATAACTTTTAATACTGCTACCATGATACAAAATCAATAATATATCTGCAATAGTTGAAGGCAATATTCCATAAAATAATAAAGCAGTGTGAGATGTAAACATGAGATGAGCGTCCCTTTAAATACAGCGATACCCATGGATCACATCATGTGACACAGTAAGTTAATGAGAGCCATTTTGGAATTGGCGTCAGCGCGCTGCATGTGTACATCAGTCTTGTCTTGTCCTCTGTAGTAATGCATGTTGAATACATTTTTGTGTGCTGGCCAATCGCCCATCTTGATTGTTATCCCTCACAGTACGTGCGATTTAAGAATGATTATAAGAAGATTCCAGACATATTACAGCTGGGGATGCCAAATATGGATGTCACACATTGTACCCATTTTGCGAACTGAATCAAGGTCTTCAGGAATGGCTTCCCAACTAGGTTGATCTACAGCCCAAATGGAAACATAAAACCTCACTCGCTGATTTAAACTACTAAAGTTGAAGAACACTGATTTCGTCATATGTCTGTTGTTAATCTATCATGACTAGTGGGTACTGAACACACAGCCTCCCTATTGTGGGTGTTTTGTGAAATATACATGGTAAGTTGTCTCATGCTGACCTTTAGATGGCCAGCAGTCATCTCGGGAGTCTCATCGTAGTCGCCAAACGTGTTGGGTAGACCTGCAACGCAAGGGATTGTTGGTTCATTGCCATCATTATTAAGATGGCTTCATATGATAGACTTGAGTTTGCTGATTACACACAGAAGGTTTTGCTTGGTGAACATTGCAAAACATTTGGTGAAATAGTTTGTATTGGTTGACATAATGTTGCTGAGCAAAAGAATGAGTCTTCTACATGTGAATAGCGGAAAACATGTTTGTCACAGACAACAAAGATGATAATGTGTGGATATCACTGGAGTTTCATGAACTGGTGTTACAGATGACACACCTGCATTAGAGTAACAGGTGTGGTGGTTAGAGCGTCCGCCCGGAGAGCTGAAGGTCACAGGTTCGATCCCCAGCCGCGTCATACCAAAAGACGTTTAAATATGGTACTTGTTGGTCCCTGCCTGGCGCTCAGCATTAATGGGTACAACAAGGACTGGTCGGCTCGGAGTCAGTATAATGTGTCTGAGTGGGGTATTCATGCTTAACTGCGGCATGGTATCTCAGTGGGCTAGCTCTATAAAACCAGCTTAAGTCTGGGCTAGTACAAGCAGATCGGCATTAGGGTAACAGAGACACCTACACATACACCTGCATTAGGGTAACAGATGACGTACCTGCATTAGGGTAACAGATGACACACCTGCATTAGGGTAACAGATGACGTACCTGCATTAGGGTAACAGATGATGTACCTGCATTAGGGTAACAGATGACGTACCTGCATTAGGGTAACAGATGCATTAGGGTACCTGCATTAGGGTAACAGATGACATAAGCTGTTGTATTGTTGCTGACAGACTCAATAAATGGACGCATTTCTGTAGCACCGAGAGCGCAGTTGAGACCAAGGCTGAAAAAAAACAAAGAAACAAACATTACATGCCAACAGTTACCAAAGAAAATGCTGAATAAAAAGACCATAAAATCCCACTGAATCCCATTTTGAGAGAATAACTGATGTTTGACCTACCACATGGCATCTGTGTGAGACACACTGATGATAAAGGCCTCTGTTGTTTGTCCAGACAATGTCCGCCCACTCTTGTCAACAATGGTTCCTGATACCTGTAATATCATCATCATCACCATCATCATCCCCAAATTAGTTTAGCATTGGTTATTTCTGGTCGATACCTCCTTTTAACCAGTCAAGAATCAGACCATATATTGTATATGGTAACACTGCACAAATTGTATCTGATATTTGATTATGTATTTCATGTTTAACATCACACTCCACAATATTCGAGCTAAATGACAGCAGTCTGGACCAGGAAACCCACTGATACACATCATGTGTGTCTATCTACGCATTGGGGATACGATGACATGCATTATCTAGCCTCATGTAAGAATGTTGATTGGTTCATGTGACTCTGATAAAATACCATGTACACCCGTCACGATCCGCGAGCAAGGGAGTACAAAAGTCATATTATCCCGCCACGCCTCGGTGACCACGCGAAGTGAGAAAAGCGTGCATCGCCAAGCCTTTAGTAACGTGCGCTGCATTGAGGTCAGTCGATCAGCTGGTGTCAACATGGCATCTCACATAAATAAAAACAAGTCGATTCGATGCGTATTGTTTTCTTTTGATTTAGTAAAAACATTCGGCTAGATAAATGCGTTATCACATCGTGTCTCGGGGTATACGGGGTTTTATCAGTCCCTCGTAATATTGTATTAAACTTACTCGGGACTGATAAAACCCTGTATTTCCCGAGACACGATGTGATAACTTATATTATCCAAGTCAGCATAGAAACAAGACCACAGACTATGTTGAAATGGCCTACTAGCAGATAACAGTTACTGATTATCTGCCCCTGTTGAATTACATTCAAGCAGCTGGAAGATAGACATTACTCTCTGGGGATACTCAAGGATACTCACAAATACTGGACATTTCTTGTAGCCACTTGCAAACACATCTTCAATAGCAAATAATGCTGCCTGAAAATCAGAAATTGTTCATTGTAGTAATTTAATAAGATATCTAAAACCGATCTGAAGTTGTCTGACTTCCATTTTGTGGAAGCCACTTGCAAACACATCTTCAATAGCAAATAATGCTGCCTGAAAATCAGAAATTGTTCATTATAGTAATTTAATAAGATATCTAAAACCGATCTGAAGTTGTCTGACTTCCATTTTGTGGAAGCCACTTGCAAACACATCTTCAATAGCAAATAATGCTGCCTGAAAATCAGAAATTGTTCATTATAGTAATTTAATAAGATATCTAAAACCGATCTGAAGTTGTCTGACTTCCATTTTTGTGGAAGCCACTTGCAAACACATCTTCAATAGCAAATAATGCTGCCTGAAAATCAGAAATTGTTCATTATAGTAATTTAATAAGATATCTAAAACCGATCTGAAGTTGTCTGACTTCCATTTTTGTGGAAGCCACTTGCAAACACATCTTCAATAGCAAATAATGCTGCCTGAAAATCAGAAATTGTTCATTATAGTAATTTAATAAGATATCTAAAACCGATCTGAAGTTGTCTGACTTCCATTTTTGTGGAAGCCACTTGCAAACACATCTTCAATAGCAAATAATGCTGCCTGAAAATCAGAAATTGTTCATTATAGTAATTTAATAAGATATCTAAAACCGATCTGAAGTTGTCTGACTTCCATTTTTGTGGAAGCCACTTGCAAACACATCTTCAATAGCAAATAATGCTGCCTGAAAATCAGAAATTGCTCATTGTAGTAATTTAATAAGATATCTAAAACCGATCTGAAGTTGTCTGACTTCCATTTTTGTGGAAGCAGCAGTGGTTAAGTGGGTTAGATCGCCAACTTTGTGTGCTGGCGATTCGATGCCTCTAAAACCATGTCAAGGAGTTGAACTCACTGGTAAGTTAGTAGAAAGTTACACATATTATTAAGACAATAAGATCAGACATTTGCATCCTGACTTCACATGCACACAGGAGATGGTATATCATAATGCCCTTGCCTTTGAATTTGCTGTATCAAATATCGTTTCCACCAGCAGCACGTCTGCTCCTCCATCCAACAGACCACGTGCTTGTTCTGAATATGCCTCAACAAGCTCATTAAAAGCTGGAAGAAAAAGATGTCATCAAACAATTGAAAAAACGCCAAAAATGTAATCTGCCACTCTGGTTCTGGTGTAAGTAACATGAAAACATTGAACATTATTTGCGCATAACCACTTTTCTAGACACAGTGTCAGTTCACAAGAGAAATTTATTTGTAACATCCATGGATAGTATTTACATGTCCAAGTCCAGGGGTGGAAATAACCCATTGCCCGACACCCAGAGTCCAGTGTTTTTTTCTGTCGGGCAAGCAAATTTGTACATCACACTGTACCGGTGTCCAGTTGATATTCCAATGTTAATTATGTTGTTTATTTTAAAAAATCAACAAGAAAACGGTCGGTATAGTGGAAAAATTATCAGGGCAAGTGATTTTACATGTGCCACTGTACCAGAGTACACTAGCAATTTTAATGTTATTTCCACCCCTGAAGTCAAATTCACATGCTCAGTAATTGGATTCCAAAACACACTACCTGGAGACATTCCTCAAACTGCCAGTGCAACAATGTACCAATGAGTGACAAGTCCTGTCTGAAGACCAACAATGCATTGGTTAGCCTATTACTTACTGACATTCCTGAAATCTGGTCTCTCCACCGATGGGGAGATGGAGAGTGTTCTGTTTGTGGGTCCCATGGCACCAGCTACGTACCTCCGTACACCTGTAACAAGACCATGTGCTTACTGTCATACTTCTGTCATACAGTGTTACACATGTATCATACAGAATCAGACATTATCAAATGTCTCTCCTTCAAAACTCTCCTCAAAACGTTTCTATTTAAGAAGTACTTTGTCTAGACTCTCACCCAAATAACTTTACTTGTAGCACCATGAGCATACCAACTGGCGTGGAGTTTGGCGTTACAAATTCACTCATTGTTATTATTATTATTATTATCATACAGTGTCCCTCATGTATTTAGAGTGTCACATATAGTGCGTTTGGCTCAAAAGCGGACCGATGAATGGCAATCTAACTCAAAAACTAATAAACATATAATACTCAATGAAACGCTGATCATAATCAAAATATCAGACCAACTCTGTGATTTGTTTGCAGAATTTATGTCCTAAAATTAAAGAGTTGTTTAACAAACTATCATTAAAATATTGACACAGTTCACTATTTGTTACGAGGGAGAGAAAGGAGTGCAGAGAAAGGGACAGCCAGGTGTTAGAGAAGCACGTGCACAAGTGCCGACAAAGTTATTGATTCATTAACCTGTGCTGTGCCATCTCCATCCTTTCTCGCACACCCAGCTGTCCCTTTCTCTGCACTCCTCCCTCGTAACAAATAGTGAACTGTGTCGATATTTTAATGATAGTTTGTTAAACAACTTTTTTATTTTTAGGACATAAATTCTGCAAACACCTCTCAGAGTTGGTCTGGCGTTTTCATTATGATCAGTGTTTCATTGAGTACTTTCTGCTTATAAGTTTTTTAGTTAGATTGCATTCATCGGTCCGCTTTTGAGCCAAACGGACTATACATATCACACAGAATTTTACAAAATTCATACAGTCTCGCACATGTATCAAACAGAACATACAAGACACGGACACACCTATGAAGATATAGGTTAAACTGTTTCTTCACCAACCCATGGTTCTCATAAGTTTGTCAGGCTTGTTGACTTAATTCATGCATGGCATTGTATTCCAGTTGTGCAGATCACCGATTCCATATCTTTCACTGGATTGTCTGGTCCAAAGTTGATTATTTACAGACTGCAATCACCTAGCTGGAATATTGCTGAGTGCAGTGTAAAACATTCAACAACATCACTTGAGAAACTGCAGTGAGAATGTATCTACTGCTACAAGGGCAGTAACTCTTTCCATCATCACAATTAGTGCATGTACAAAAAGCACTTTTGTTCTGAGATCTTAATTGTAAAGGTGTACTTGAAATGAATAACCTCAAGAAGCATATACAAAGCATCTACACAGAGATGTCAACAGATTTTGCCAATCAAAGGGTGATAACGTGAGTGAGTGAGTTGAGTTTTACACCACACTCAGCAGTATTCGAGCTATATGGCAGCAGTCTATAAATAATCGAGTCTGGACCAGACAATCCAGTGATCAACAGCATGAGTATTGATCTGCGAAATTGGGAACCCGATGACATGTGCCAACCAAGCCAGCGAGCCTGACCACCCAATCCCAAACTCTGTAGTGAGACGTTCATTAAATGTTTTCATAATAATATATCACACCTGTATCCTTGGTGACATCATCATACGCTTGTCTTGCTACCTTGGCAGACTCAAAGTTCAGTCGATAGACCTAGATAAAACAGTGATAATAATAACAGGACAAAGAAAATGTAACAATAATACAACAATAATTATAAGTCAGATTCCATTCACCAAGTGAATGCTCACAGCGCTAAACCATTATTATGGCCACCAATGTGGACGTGCTTCTCATTCTCATCTGTGTCTGTGGAGGAGACTCTTACAAATGGGATAAAACAATCCTTCACAGATGAAACATCTGGGTAGTAATTTCAAATACATTTTCCCCGAAAAGGAATGGTCCTTGTACTCTTAGTTCAAGACAGGTAAATTTCCCAAGGTATATACCAGTATACATACAGTGTTCACGAATAGCGTCAGACCCTCGGACAAATCCAGCAGATTTGCCGACGGCCCGAATGGAAGTCTACAACCCGCCGGCCCTAGTGTCCAACTGTATAGTTCACAATGACTTTGACTAAAGTTGTTATATGTGACATGTCTCACTTGTTTGCTGTTTATAAAGTTTACGTTTGTTAATAATTTCAATGCCAATTTTTATAAGAAATGGTTAATCTGAAATTTGTGTTTGATTTTTATACTTTGGGTCCTGTGAATTTTCAGTGGGTCAGACTGCCATCTGAAACTTACAGGACCCAATGTCCTGATATTTTAAAACACCATTCGTGAACACTGTACATACGTAGAAATATGGCCAATAGCATGGATGTTTACGCTATTCTGTTGTTATTCAGGCTATTTAAGCTCCAAGCTCCATCTGTGCCTCAGGACTGCGCAAACATTGTTTCTGCCACTGACCTCTAGTGGTAAAGTGTCAGAACTGTTCTCCATTACACACAGAACACACAACTAATGTATTTGATGCCTCAAAGTAACGTGTACCATTTCTTCCAAACCATAATCAGCCTGCGCCACTCTTGTTCCACTGAAAGTGTTTGTCTCCACAAAGTCTGCCCCAGCTTCCAGGTAGTCCTGAAACGGAGGATTTTCTTTATCATTTACTGGAATATTGGTGCAGTTGACTAGATTCACCTGATGGACAGTAGTATCACGTCCTCATCATTACACTGTACTCTTCTGTTTATGCAATGGGTTAAAATCTAACAGATTCATGTGCCATATTAACCCCATTTATAGAACCATCTAAACTCAAAAGACAATGTCATAGTTATCTCCCCTGACATGTAACCATGCTACATGTGACCACTTTCTAAATGGCATTGTGTATTCAATGGACAAAGGGAAGGCAAGGGGTAATTACCACTGATTGGTGATAGCAATGGACAAAGGGAAGGCAAGGGGTAATTACCACTGATTGGTGATAGCAATGGACAAAGGGAAGGCAAAGGGTAATTACCACTGATTGGTGACAGCAATGGACAAAGGGAAGGCAAGGGGTAATTACCACTGATTGGTGACAGCAATGGACAAAGGAAGGCAAAGGGGTAATTACCACTGATTGGTGACAGCAACGGATAAAGGGAAGGCAAGGGGTAATTACCACTGATTGGTGATAGCAATGGACAAAGGGAAGGCAAAGGGTAATTACCACTGATTGGTGACAGCAATGGATAAAGGGAAGGCAAGGGGTAATTACCACTGATTGGTGATAGCAATGGACTAAGGGAAGGCAAGGGGTAATTACCACTGATTGGTGATAGCAACGGACTAAGGGAAGGCAAGGGGTAATTACCACTGATTGGTGACAGCAATGGACAAAGGAAGGCAAGGGTAATTACCACTGGTTGGTGACAGCAATGGACAAAGGGAAGGCAAGGGGTAATTACCACTGATTGGTGATAGCAATGGACAAAGGGAAGGCAAGGGGTAATTACCACTGATTGGTGACAGCAATGGACAAAGGGAAGGCAAGGGGTAATTACCACTGATTGGTGACAGCAATGGACAAAGGGAAGGCAAGGGGTAATTACCACTGATTGGTGACAGCAATGGACAAAGGGAAGGCAAGGGGTAATTACCACTGATTGGTGATAGCAATGGACAAAGGGAAGGCAAAGGGGTAATTACCACTGATTGGTGATAGCAATGGACAAAGGGAAGGCAAGGGGTAATTACCACTGATTGGTGATAGCAATGGACAAAGGGAAGGCAAGGGGTAATTACCACTGATTGGTGATAGCAATGGACAAAGGGAAGGCAAGGGTAATTACCACTGATTGGTGACAGCAATGGACAAAGGGAAGGCAAGGGGTAATTACCACTGATTGGTGACTAGCAATGGACAAAGGGAAGGCAAGGTGTAATTACCACTAATTGGTGATAGTGATGAACTAATGAAAGCATGTTTGATTAATAGCACAGATGGATATAGGACAGGTGATTACATCAATAATATGATTGATTGAGTGATTGAGTTGTTTAAAACTTCGCACTCGGCAATAGTACAGCTATATGACGGCGGTCAGTAAATAATCGAGTCTGGACCAGACAATCCAGTGATCAACAGCATGAGCATCGATCTACGCAATTGGGATACGGTGACATGTGTCAACCAAGTCAGCGAGCCTGACCACCCGATTCCGTTAGTCGCTTCTTACAACAAGCAAGGGTTACTGAAGATCAATTCTAACCTGAATCTTCATGGGTATCAGAAGATGAAAGAGGGAGAATATACTCTGAAACATTGTGAACCCTTTGATATAGAAGCTGAAACCATTACTATGGGTGAGTCCAGTTACCAGTTACACCATGCTTACTTAGGGAGGAAAGCCCAACGTGATGGAGGTCTCAGACATTTACCACCTTGCTGAAACCCATGAGCACAGGTATGGTACAGACAAACCTAGAAACATTTAGGGACAAACTGGATTCAAACCCACAATCACAGATTGAGTTCCGGATTTAGACAATAAATAGAGAATACTACATGAGGTCTCATTACATACAAATTATACGAAACGAGTGTCCTTCCTATGGTATCTGACCGAGCGAAAGTGAGGTCAGAAACCATAGGAAGGTCACAAGTTTCGTATACTACTAATTCGTATGTAATGAGACAGAGTGTGGTATTTTATTTATTACCCATGTCTTACATGAATTAAATTGACAAAACAGCGTATTTTTGTTATTTTTATGGTTTCAAACCGAAACCGGTTTCATAAAGAGGTTGCAGAAGAATTTTGTTCTGTAGTTCACTTTTGCATGACGTCACACTGTATTGACTTGACTTCGCCAACCAACGTCATGATGCATGTCAGTTGTCATCGCCTCGTACAGCCTCTACAGTAAACTACTCTGTAGCACCCCTTTTCTTGGTTTGCAGTTGCTTCACTAAGCTAACCTCACTGGTGGAAACATTGCCTTTATGTTTTATAATATCTCAGTTCGATTCACAATTAAACAGCGTAACGGCAACGTTCACAATGTTTACATTCCCACAATGCATATAAGTTGTAGAATGAATGACTTCACGTGGTTGTTATGAATGAACAAGTAGTTCTGTCACAACGTGACCTAACTGAGAGGTCATCGGTTATCCAATCAAATCGTTAGAATCTCAGGTCAAGTCATTATGACACAGGTCAACGCGATATGACACTCGTGTGACGTACGAGATTAGTATGCAACTACCCATAAGTTGACCACATGGGTAATAAAAGGGGAGAATTTATGGAGTCAATGTCCTTATTAAAAGGAACACAATGTTGGAGCGTATTCTTACTCCTTCATCAGGTGGATAATGTAAAGGTAGACGCAGAGAGCAAAGATATGAACAGGCAAACTTGATTCGAACCAACAATAACATGTTTGTGGAGTGCCCAAGGGAAGCAACTCTGTACAGCATATTGCACTTCAGATAACTATAGTCCGTTTGGCTCAAAAGCGGACCGATGAATTGCAATCTAACTCGAAAACTAATAAACATAACAAACTCAATGAAATGCTGATCATAATCAAAACACCGCACCAACTCTGTGAGGTTTTGCAGAATTTTTGTCCTAAAAATAATAAAGTTGTTTAACAAACTATCATTAAAATATTGACACAGTTTGTTACGAGGGAGGAGTGCAGAGAAAGGGACAGCCAGGTGTTCGAGAAGCACGTTCACAAAGTTATTTATTCATTAACCTGTGCTGTGCCGTCTCCATCCATTCTCGAACACCTGGCTGTCCGTTTCTCTGCACTCCTCTCTCGTAACAAATAGTGAACTGTGTCAATATTTTAATATTTTACTTCAGTCCAGTCATCATGGTTTGCAAACAACTTGTCAATAATCTGGAAACAGAGGTGACAGAAACCTTGTGAATCTGATAAATGGCTGTGGGTTTTGTGATGGACAACAGATCGTTGTTCCCCTTCAAGCTCTTTGGGTGATTGACAAACTCCTGGCCTCGGAAGTCTTCCTCCTCCAGACGAAGCTGTTGAATCATGGTCCCCATCGCCCCGTCAAACACCATGATCCTCTCTTGGAGTGTCTTCGCGATCTGATCCCCCAGATCTGTAACAGACAGTGAGTGACTTGGGTCTTATGCAGCTCTTAGCAATATACCAGTAATATCAGCATGGGAGACACCAGAAATGGGTGTCACACATTGTACTTGTGTAGGGAATGGAATCCAGGTCTTCGGTGTGATAAGCCAATGCCTTTAACCACTAGGCTACCCCACTGTCCCATATTCCTTCACTTTGTGAAAAACTTTACTGAATGGTATCATACACTGTATAAGTGTTGGGAATTGGTTAAAATCTCATAATTGATGATTGGTTCATTACAACCGATCAATCATCAAAAAAAATTGGTTAGCACCATTTATGAAATTTGTTAATACACAAAAAATACAGAAAAAAACATGTAGTTCTTTGGGGTTTCTTTGGCAAAATTTCACATTGTTAAAGGATGACTAGTATGTTAGGAACATGAATTTCTTAGAGTCTTTAAGATAAATTCAATCATGACTTGGAACGAGCTTGTAGTGCTTATGAAATGTAACAGACAAAACCAACCTAGTGAAAATTACTGTTAATGAAAACAAGTGTTCCAGAATTGTTTGTGTTCGATTATGAGAAAACATGATCGATTGCTTGGTCGTTTAGTCACTGCGACCAATCTTCGATTATTTCAATTAATCGGACCACCACTACACTGTATAAGAAATATATACAAACAATGAAAATCTGTATATAATGACAAACTTAGAATATATGAGTAGGATAGGGTTGGATTGAATTTTATACCCTGATACTACCCATGTCTTTTTTTCCTGAATTGATCCAGGTACCTCTTTGGGTTTTTTTCATAATAAATATTGTAGGTTTGCATATATTAGAAAATGGCATAGCCAGTTCATTTGGTAACACTACCAGTAACATTTTTCTGATGCACTGACAATGGTAAAAAACTAATCCTAAAATCATACATATGTTTTATTAACAGAAATGTTACCATTCTATCACATGTTAAAGGCATTTGCTGATAATGTCGTAAAACAGGAAATGCTGAGAAGTGTGTTTATAATATATTTTCCCAAAGACTTGTATACTTAAGGCACATAATTACATTTACATTGTATTTGTAAATTCTGGCAACTATGTATGAAAAGAATAATGAAATATCACAAATTAATTATATCAGTCTACAATATATCAATAAAAGGCTCTAATATAACATATTTCTTGCTAACACATAAATGAATTTTAGGCTAGAAGCTAAAATAACAAACATAATAACAAACAATACAAAACAACAACAAAACAAAACACCACAAATATATTTAGCGTCACATGAAAAAATAAACAAAAGAATTATGAGTTTTAAAAAAGAACCAAATGCATTAATTTTCACAAGAGCAGACGAATATATCCAGTCTTTCACAAACATGTTCTAAAAATATTAGAAATGTCAAACCACATGTATAACCTTGTTGACCTCGTATGCATGCATATTCATGACAACATTTTGTTGATGTTCGTTCATTATTGCCTGAAATGCATTACCAGTCCCAGTGGAATTTGCAGACCGCATCGCGACTGTTGGTTGTGTGATGGGAAATTTTCCAGTGACCTGTCGAACGAGGACAAGCCAGATCCCTTCTTCTACTTTATCAGCAGAGTCGCAGGACCCAAATAACTCAGCTGGGAGAAAATCTTATTTATATAACCCATGCGTAAACTATTTTCCTAACAACATTCGTTATTTGGCTCCTTGCGTTAAATGAGGCCAGAGAACGAACACAAGGTTATATGGTCTCTTATAAGAACTTGTACGTTTATTTGAATGTTAAGCGAGAGGTGTTATGATTAGTTATAAAATAATGTTATTGATCTCTAGGCATTGTGTTGATCTTGATGTTAAAAGTGTAAGAACAGAATTGTTTTATTATCAAAACTGCGTATGCTAAAAAGAAGTGTGCCATTAATTACTTATCCCTTTGCGGAGATGTGAAAAGTGTGTGAATTGTGAAAAATCAACGGAAGACAGATTCATTGAAAACAAATAGGATAATTCATAAGGCAAGCCGTGTTAGAAGGTATTCGTCGCAGCAGAGACCATATAATCTATTATGTAGTCTCTGGTTATAGATTATATGGTCTCTGGTCGCAGAGAATGTCAAATTCGTTAAACTCTCAGAAGGATAATGAAACATACATCTTCATGGATGACAACTGTTTGTTTATTGCACAGAACGACGTTTTGGTATAGATTCTTACAATTTACTTAAATCCATCCCCTTTAGCTTGATAACGGTGTAAGAATCCCTTTTAGCTTGACACCTGTTTAAGAATCCCTTTCAGTTTGACAATGGTATAAGAATCCCTTTTAGCTTGACAATGGTGTAAGAATCTCTTTTAGCTTGACAATGGCGTAAGAGTCCTGTTTAGCTCGATAACGGTGTAAGAATCACTTTTAGATTGATAAGGGTGTAAGAATCACTTTTAGTTTGATAACGGTGTAAGAATTCTTTTTAGCTTGATAACGGTGTAAGAATTCCCTTTAGCTTGATAACGGTGTAAGAATCACAATTAGCTTGATAACGGTGGAAGAATCACAATTACCTTGATAACGGTGTAAGAATCCCTTTTTGATTTATAACGGTGTAAGAATTCCGTTTAGCTTGATAACGGTGTAAGAATCACAATTAGCTTGATAACGGTGTAAGAATCACATTTACCTTGATAACGGTGTAAGAATCCCTTTTTGCTTTATAACGGTGTAAGAATCCCGTTTAGCTTGATAACGGTGTAAGAATCACAATTAGCTTGATAACGGTGTAAGAATCCCTTTTAGCTTTATAACGATGTATGAATCACAATTAGCTTGATAACGGTGTAAGAATCCCTTTTTGCTTTATAACGATGTAAGATTCCCTTCTAGCTTGAGAACGGTGATAGCGGTCATCCATAAAGTTGTAAGCTTCATTATTGACTCACCAACTTCTAGAATGGCAATCAAAAAACTCTCAGAAGGAAACGATAATGTTATGCTCTGTTTTGTTGCAGCGCTCGGGAAAATATTACTTCGTTCTGTAAAAATCAATCCTGGTCCAGACAAACCAATGAATTCAGCGACGATAGCAGGATGCAGATTAGTCTGACCCAGTCCCTGAAACCGCATTATTTCCCCTAGCCCTCCCTGCAATGCTTTAGCTCTAAATGACTGACTGACTGACTGAGTTTGGTTTTACGCCGCTTTTAGCAGTATTCCAGCAATATCACGGCGGGGGACACCAAAAATGGGCTTCACTCATTGTACCCATGTGTGGATTCGAACCCGGATCTTCGGCGTGACGAGCCAACGCTTTAACCACTAGACTACCCCACCGCCCCAGCTCTAAATGAAGCAAGTCTAGATTTCCTCAGGTTCAGGACTGAACCTCCCAACTCACTGGGTCTCCTGTTCAATCTAAATGGGTTTATTTGTTACTATCAAAATTATATATATTCAGGGACTAAGCGGGCGGTGGGGTAGCCTAGCGGTTAAAGCATGCGCTCGTCACACTGAAGACCCGGGTTCGATTCCCCACATGGGTACAATGTGTGAAACCCATTTCTGTTGTCCCCCGCCGTGATATTGTTGGAATATTGCTAAAAGTGGCGTAAAACTAAACTCACTTACTCACTCACTCAGGGACTAAGCCTTATTCTAGGTGCAGTTATCCTACAGATGACATCCTATCTTGTCTGATACGTTCTTTTGGTGGTGTGGACAAGATATCAAATTTCGTATTAGGAGGTTCGCGGATGGAATAACTTCACGACGCGCGGAGATTTTATGACCGCCAGACGCAATATGGTCCGACAACCGGGCACAAACGTTGCATTCAAAGTACTGCCAGTGTTTCCTTTCCATGCTGTGAATTTATTTATTTCCAGCATCTCATAACAGCGGGATAAATGTGCTTGTGCCAAATTGTGCTCGGGTTGGTGATTTGTTTTGTACGAATTGGGTAACTACAAGACCAATATGTGTATACGAATTGAATATTTCTTGTCCAAGATTAATTCCGTCAGGTGACGGGTTATTTTTGTATTGTTAGTTGTTACGCAAATACGTTTCACAAATGCGCACTGGATTTGCGGAAGTGACGTAGGGTTTGCTTCGTGGACTCGCCGATTAGTGTTATTTTCGATGTACAAACTTTCCTAATAAATAACTGATCGCAGATTAAGGAGGGATTATACACGACACTCGACCACATTTTAAGGTAGGAGTAATATGTAACTCATTTAACACGTGTTTGTGTTCGTACCTTAATTTGAAAAGATAACAGATCGCATGCGAATCACTCTGACATATTTTGACGTTCGAAGCCGAACAGCGAACGTGGTTTCGGTCTGTGAACAAGCGAAGAGTCTGGCCACACTCTTATGTTCAGTGATTGTTTTGGCATAGGTTACGGCTTACAATATTTCATTATCTGTATTGGTATGTTACGTATCAGCGTCCATACATTATGAACGTAACTAACCTTCTAAAATCATTAAGTCTATTGACAGTTGATTAAGAAACAGGGAAATATTTAGAGCACTTTGCCTGCCCCTGTAATAACAATGTACTCTTGTATACAATATTGTAAGGAAAAGAGGGGAATATGGTGTATACATAACAGTCATAACATAAACAAATAGTTTTCATTATAGAAAAAATAGATGAGGATTTGCCTTCCTTCTGTATTATTACCATTATTACAATGTGAACAAAGTTTTGATCAGCTGCCCTAATCACTGCTAATAAGCTGCATCTAATGCTTATCTGATTGACCAGCTAGATCCTCTTACAGTAACAACAAAATAAGGAACAGTCAAGAACAGAAGAATTCCTTGTCATGCCTGTTATCATGGTTATAAATATAAGCTTTGCTAGGTCACCCCATGATCTGACACTTTCAGACCCCGCCCATCATTATTCCAAACTATTCTGAAAGGAAACCAAAGGTATCTAGTTGAATGTTGGGACTAGCTCTCTGCAGTATGTAAAGACAGGATCTGCCTAGAGTGAGTGAGTGAGTTCGATTTTACGCCGCTTTTAGCAATATTCCAGCAATATCATGGCTGGGGACACCAGAAATGGGCTTCACACATTGCACCCATGTGGGGAATCGAACCCGGGTCTTCAGCGTGATGAGCGAACGCTTTAACCACAAGGCCACCCCACCGCCCCAGGATCTGCCTAGACAACATTGTAATTCATATTAGGGAACAAAAAAGACATTAACATTGATAAGCAATCTAACATACATTAACACTAACAGTCTATGAATACACTGTACCATTTTGTGTATTGTACCAAACACATTAATTTATTTAATTCATGGATGATTTACTTAATTATCACGTTATCATACACTGATGGCATGAACCGTTTCCATGGTTTCCATATCTGTTTATCCTTTATTACATGTGACAGCTGCATGTTCTATATGTCACTAAGGAGGATGACTGAAAACACACTGGAACTTTACTGGAACAGCCTGACATTCAGTCTGAAATAAGTTGTAGAGGCACAGTAGGATTAACCAATAACAATCTGCTAGAATTCTACATTTCTGATTGACTACAGCCATCTTTGTGGTGTAGTTGTTAGAGTGTCCGCCCGGAGAACAGAAGGTCACGGGTTCGATCCCCGGTTGTGTTATACTTAGAGACATTAAAATACATCTACACACATGCACGTCGTCATATTCTTAAGTATGACGTTAAACGTCATTTCACCACCATCATTTCTGATTGACTTCACCATTTCCACATCAATCAACATGTTAGAAACAGATGTGCTAAAGTTTACAATGTATTCATCATGTTTATGCCCTGAAAAAAATTTTACTGTTAAAATTTGGTTGTCATATGTAATTAAGGGTTCTAGTTTACATGTAACATTTTGGATATGATGATTGTTACAAATTCAAATTTTTAGAGGATTCTAATTTTTAGATCCTTAAAAGCTTTAATGTTTGACATAAAAGCTTTGACCCGAAAAGAGTCTGATCATCTGTAGCGACAGGCGTTCGTTATGGTCATCTTGAACAGACCATTACATTGCATTTTGGAATAATGCATAAATTGTTACATCCACAACAAGTATTGATAACTAGCTACATGTGTTTTATCAAACAATTTGTCATGAATACAAATTGTATTATGAGAGCCTTTTTTTTAGCATAATATTCTATTCCAAATATGTGACATTGGCAGTGATCGATAGGAATTAAAAAATGCCACTAGTATTTTAGTGAGTATGTATTACGGTAACAAAACATGCTTTCAATAGTTACAATTTGTTAAAAATAATACATAAATTGTGTGTCAGAAAATTCAGATTTACTGTCGAAATTCAAGCCTGCCTGTGTTAATAAGTAAAGATTACAACAGCTTGTGATAAGAGTTACTTCCCTTTGGTTGTGCGTAGTGACAGGGAGGAAAATGGCTGACATTGACATTGTTGTCAATACTTAGTTATTCCATTATTACTAACTATGTTTGCAGGTCCCCTTGGAACTCCTCATCTTTACCCACTACTGTATGACTTGGTTATGTCAAGTCATTTTCAATGATAGCAAGGCGCCGCCGCACCAACTCCGGATCTGACAATCACCAATCTGGGAGTGACCGGAGTGGCTACTCATCTCGCAGCAACATTGTGCAAGACAAACAACAGTCCCCTCGTCAACCTTCAAAATTCCAACACGATCCAGACATGACATGCCGAGATCGAACCACAGAGTTTATGTCAGCTGTCAAGTCACAACAGTCCAGACAGGTGTGTTTTCAGCTTTGCTATTCTGTATCATTCTACATGCTCTTGGTAAAGCTCCACTTCATTGTTACTGTATTTAGTAAAATTTGTGTTATGATAGTCTTATAGTTATGAGCCCGTGAAATCCGGATTAGAACTGGTCTTCAGCAACCCATACTTGTCATTAGAGACGACTAACGGGATTGCATGATCAGGGTTACAGACTTGGACACATCATCGTAGCCCAGTTACGTAGTTCGAATGCTCATGTTAAAACTAGTGTTTGGAATTGGATAAAAGCTCATAATTGATGATTGGTTCATAACAACTGATCAATCATCGAAAATAATTGGTCAGCATCATTTATCAAATTTTTCTGGTTATGTTTGTTACTGCACAAAAAATAAAGAAAAAACATGTAGTTCTTATGAGTCTTTTTGCAAATTCCACTTTTGCAAATTTAATATCTTTAAAGGATGACTAGTATGTTAGGAACACAAAATGCATGTGAGTCTTTAAGATAAATTCAATCCTGACTTGGAACGAGCTTGTAATGTTTATGAAATGTAACAGACAAAACCAACCTTGTGAAAAATATTGTTAATGCAAACAAGTGTTCCAGAATTGTTTGTGTTCGATTATGAGAAAACATGATCGATTGCTTGGTTGTTTAGTCATTGCGACCAATCTTCGATTATTTCAATTAATCGGACCACCACCTCTTAAAACACCAGTGAATATTGAAATAAAGAAATTGTGAACATGTGTGTCCATCATGCGTCCATTGTTTGGCTTAGTTTGCGATTTGGATTTGGACCTTATGCCTGTTTGCTGACTTCTGCAACAACAGGGCGGTGGGGTAGCCTAGTGGTTAAAGCATTCACTCGTCCCGCCGAAGACCCGGGTTCGATTCCCCACATGGGTACAATGTGTGAAGCCCATTTCTGGTGTCCCCCGCCATGATATAGCTGGAATATTGCTAAAAGCGGCGTAAAACCCAACTCACTCACTCAGTCACACAGCAACATTCTCTTGTCATGCTCTAGTTGCATCTGATTAGTTGCCTTGAATCCAGTATGGGACTCAACACCCAAAAGTATGACAATCTGTACACTACTGTGAAAGTTTAATATGTGAGATTCACCTATCAACAAACACATTTTGTTTTTTCATACTCATGATATCACTGCTTTAGTTATTGTGGGTCTTGAGAATATCAGTTTGACATGTTTATAAACCTTGTCTTCATGGGATTTTTATTTCACAATTTCAAATGCTCACATGTAGTAACCGGTAATCTGATTATGCTCATTTTAGATATACATGAACATAAAAGGTGAAACATGTCCTTTACTGCTACCGCATAGATGTTTTAGCATGTTAGATCTGAAGGCAGATTGTTTGACAGAATGTCAAAAATGTCATTGCTCCTATTTACACAAATGATTGACATCCTCGATAATCTCCAAGGTATAGGTTCCGATAAATCTCCACTTTAGCCTGGATGCATCTATGGCTCGGCCCCCCATGATTTTATTACATCCCTTGGCTGGTATTTTTATCCAATCAGGTGTCTACGCTGGGAAGTTGAGGGTACCAATCACAACTCACTTTCGCTTCTTTTATCTAACCAATTAAACTTGGCAATGTAATTGGTGCAGAGGTACTCTGAAAGGGGGAGAAAAAGTTTGTGCATATATTTTTTAAGGTTTCAGATCTGTCAGTTTGTCTGTATGATTTCCCCCAAATCTGAATCGCACTATGAACAAACCTTCGTGGCTGCGACCGCTATCTTTGTTGACACTGGCAAGCTCGGTTGTAACGACAGCTTAGCTGATTGGCTACTGTGAGAATGCGGACCCAGCAAAGGGAAGTAATAAAATTATCAGGCCGTGCCATAGATGCGTCCAGGGTACTTGTAGAGTTTTATCATAACGTATACCCTGAAGATTATCGAGGATGATGATTTATGGCATTCTGTCTCATTAGTAATGTGTTGCTCTTTTTTGTTGTTTTTTAGTCCAATGGAATCAGTCCCTCTCACAGGAACAGAGACTTGAGACAGAGGAGTCAGTTCACACAAATAGCAAAGTAGGTTGTCTTTCCTTGTTTGTTGTGTTCCTTATGTGGCTGATTGTCATGCTGGCGATAATGGTGCCACTGTCATATCGTGACACTTCTTCTTGCATTAAGGGGCGGTGGGGTAGCCTAGTGGTTAAAGCGTTGGCTCGTCACGCCGAAGACCCGGGTTCGAATCCCCACATGGGTACAATGTGTGAAGCCCATTTCTGGTGTCCCCCGCCGTGATGTTGCTGGAATATTGCTAAAAGCGGCGTAAAACCAAACTCAGTCAGTCAGTCTTTCATTAAGTCTACATGAATCAGAAAAAAGTCAGAATTTTGTATAAAATAGTGATAATGCTGAAATCATTCTCTACATAATCAGATCCTAAAGCATACAGGAAACTATTTGGAGGCATGGCATAAAGATGCTGATGCAACATTCAACCGGTGTGGGAAAACTGATGCCATTGGCTAACATTTAGACCTACCTGCACTTTTATGTAGGGTAGAATCTATCTTGTGATGCTTAGCAGCTATATAGATACATCCAGAGTCTATCAGTCAACATGGGCGGTGGGGTAACATAATGGTTAAAGCGTTTGCTCGTCATGCTGAAGACTCGGGTTTGATTCCCACATTGGTACAATCTATGAAGCCCATTTCTGATGTCACCCGCCGTGATATTGCTGGAATATTGCTAAAGCGGCGTAAAACTAAACTCACTCACTTGTAGACATCCTGGTTCCGACACCTCAACACTGTGTCTCACCTTCACCTTGTACCATGGGGATCTTGTAGAGCATCAAAAGCTGTACATATTTGCTGGGGACTTCACTATAATTGTTCATATGTACATACCTGTATTTATATTTTGAATGGGGAAACTTGCATGTTGTACTTTCACAGACCAAGAACCTATTTTCTTCCTTTGAACATATTGTTGATCTGCCTCCATGCATTCTGAAGCGTGGTCTTGCTTAGTCAAACACTGGTGTGTCGAACTTTGATGTGTTGAACTGACGATTGTCTTGAAGTTAAAGATGGGTCACTTCATATTCTGTATTTAGACATCATTTTGCAGTTATGTTGAACACACTCACTCGCTCGCTCGCTCACTCACTCACTCACTCACTCACTCACTCACTCACTCACTCACTCACTCACTCACTCACTCACTCACTCACTCACTCACTCACTCACTCACTCACTCACTCACTCACTCACTCACTCACAGTCAGCAACAAATCTACAAGTAATACTATTTCTTTTGTTCCAACAAGAACAGGATTGCAATTTTGCCTGTAATTTTGTATCAACTTTTCGCAATCATTCCTCACAATACAGATCACTGGATTGTCAGGTCCAGACTTGATTATTTACAGGCTGCTGTTATGTGGTGGGATTATTGCGCATTCTAAGATGCTTTGGTGAAAGATCAAAGGTGCCGACAGTACTTTATCAGACGATAATGTGCACTTTTGCATTACGTCACAATGTATTGGAGTCACTGCGCCATTCTAGTCTGCCCCCTCGTAATCGAACAATTTTGCGTTACGTCACAATGTAAGCGACGTCATGATGCATGTCAGTTGTCATCGCTTTGTACAGCCTCCTACAGTAAACTACTCCGTTGCATCCCGGTTCTTGGTTTGCAGTAGCTTCACGCAGCTAACAATAACATCACTGGTGGAATCATTATGTTTATGTTTTCCGATGGTTAAAATGTCTCAATTCGACTCACAAGTTTTCAGCGACACGGTAACGTTCGCAATGTTTACATTCCCCACAATCCAATCTGGATGTACTGATCTAAACTTACGTTGGTGGAATGTGGCGTTCATATTGACCCATATGGACTACTCAGCTTCATCTGGATGCACTGATCTAAACTTATGTTAGTTGCCAAAAGTAGTAGAAATGTGACGCTCATATTGCCCTGTCAGTATATGGATTTTTTATGTTAATCATAGATGTAATTAAAATAATTTAGAAGGTATTTAATCCGAAAGCAGTGGAGTAGCGGAAAATGAAATACCCACTCAACATTCATAATACCCACTAAGCCGTCATCAAACTGTTATCATTTTGTATTTTTCTGGTAACGTTCTGGTAGATAATATTAGCAGTAGGGGTCAGACACATCAATAGAACAGATTCTTAATTTAGGTCACTGACACCGTCGTTTGTTTTCTGCCTTAGGTTAATCATAATTATCCTTAGAAAGTATTAAATTTGGCATCTTATAAAAGAAATACAGTTAAGCTCTACCACCATGTATAGTGTAATGAAGCACACTTTTGCCCTGAACTATTATAGTTTAAAGTTCAGGCTGAAAGTGTGACGCTACACTATACATGGTGGTAGAGCTAACTGTATTTCTTCACTAGTAGCAATAAACAACAACAACTATTTACCGTACTGGTATTATTGGTTGCAACAAGAACCTGTGAAGATTCGGGCTAGAATTGGTCATCAGCAATCCATGCTTGTTGTAAGAGGCAACTAAGGCTGTCGGGCTCACTGACTTGGTTAACACATGATGTCATATCCCACTGGATTGTCTGGTCCAGACTGATAATTTATAGACCGCCGCCATAAAGCTGGAATATTGCTGAGTGGGGGATTTAACAAACAACAAACAAAACATGCAACAAGTAGGGATTTGGGCATGGGTGAGGTGGTGGTGGGTAATTTTTTTTTGTTATCGTAGGTTACATAAACATGACATAGTCTACATGTTTGTTTAATATTTGTCTTTAATCATTCATTTTCATCTCTGCAGGAGAATTGGCCGGGATTTGGCAAACACTTTTGCAAAATTGGAAAAATTGACAATATGTAAGTAACGGCTGCGATGTTTTGTTTGAGTTTTAAAAGGAATAATCATAATGAGCTGGATGTGAGAAAGAATTGAATACTGTGATGTATGTCATGATACATACCCATCAAAAGTTCATCTCACTTAAAGCACTCACTCACTATATGTTATATATGGTTACATCGAAGATGAATTTCTCCACTAACTTAGGGGAACCATCTGCAAACCTTATGCAGATGAATTGCACGAGGATCATGCATCAATTTTCTGAAAAGCATGTGCAAATATCGTGCATGTGAACAGCTGCGTTTTGTTTACAATACATCAGTTCATGTGTAAACAGTACCTTTAAAATGTATGGAATATTTAGCAAAATCTAGTTTAGAACAGTTGACTGAAGTAAGTGGCTACATTTACACTGGTGAGTCTAAACTTTGATGGGTAGTATATAAGTGGTGGAATAAAGTAAACTTGTCTGGTCCTGGTATTGGAAGTTTCATTTTGTTTTCTTCATTACTTCCTAAAACCACATTTCCAGTACTGTGAAGATATTCAAAAGGCAGGGGTGGAAATACCCATTGCCCGACGTCTGAGTCCAGTGGTTTTATTCTGTCGGGCAAGCAAATTTGTATATCACACTGTACCGGTGTCCAGTTGACTTTCCAATGTAAATTATGTTGTTTATTTAAAAAATCAACAAAAAAGCGTCCGGTATTGTGGAAAAATTATCAGGGCAAGTGATTTTACATGTGCCACTGTACCGGAGTGCACTAGCAATTTTAAAGTTATTTCCACACCTGAAAAGGTACCATGGGATTTTTAAAATGTTTTCAGAGCTAGCTGTTTAAATCTCTGTTTTAATTCTTCATTGTGTTTATGATGAACCAGGTAACACTGGTGATAGGCCTGCTGACGATGTGATATTTTTTAACTGTAGTGGCCAAACGAAAGTCATTATTTGACGACAAGCCGGTGGAGATCCAGGAGCTGACGTACATCATCAAGCAGGACATCAACAGCCTCAACAAGCAGATAGCACAGCTCCAGGAGGTGTGTGATGGGGAACAGCTGGTCCCCAGGACAAGTGAACAATGGCACTAGCATAACCATGATAACAGTGTCAGTCCTGCTGGGGAACATACTGCTTTCCTCTTGACCATTGATAACTCATTGCTCTATTTAATGAACTTGAAATGAAACATTGATGGGTAGTACAAGTAGTTTTGGATAAAGCAGAGGTGTCACACTCAATTAAACATGGGGCTGATTATTATCATCATGATCATCATGGCTATAGATGTGTGGGCACGGTTTTGTAAAATACTTAGATAAATGACAGTATAATTTGAGTTTCCTCTGTTATGAAGTGTATATGAGTTAATGTTGGGAATTGGTTAAAATCTCATAATTGATGATTGGTTCATTACAACCGATCAATCATCGAAAATAATTGGTTAGCATCATTTATGAAATGTGTTAATGCACACAAAAATAAGGAAAAAACATGTAGTTCTTGGGGGTGGCAAAATTTCACATCTTGATGACTAGTATGGATGGCTAGTATGGAGGACTAGTATGGAGGAACATACATTTCTTAGAGTCTTTAAGATAAATTCAATCATGACTTGGAACGAGCTTGTAGTGCTTATGAATGTAACAGACAAAACCAACCTAGTGAAAAATACTGTTAATGAAAACAAGTGTTCCAGAACTGTTTGTGTTCGATTATGAGAAAACATGATCGATTGCTTGGTCGTTTAGTCACTGCGACCAATCTTCGATTATTTCAATTAATCGGACCACCATTAATATGAGTGGGATGTCTGATAAAGAATTGGTCATATTTCAATGTAAAATGTTAGTGACAAACATAGTAGATTCTCCCGTTTTGATATGTCCAAATGATCAATCATGACAAGGATTATAACAGAAGTATCCATCATTGTTTATTTTCTTCAGTGAAAATTTTATATCAGATGAGGCATAAATCTGTCATTGTGTGTTTTTTCTATTTCAGCTGGTGAGGTCTCAGAAAAGTCAAAATGGAAAACACTTACAATCTCATTCCAACTCTGTTGTGGTGGCACTGCAGGTTAGTCGTTACGGTGATTGTGTGGCCAGACATGGCATGCTATGATGGTTTAATCCTAAACAGAGATTTATCTAGGCCTTCTCAGAGGCCAATATTTGGCCCCCAAAAGTTCCACATTCAGAATTTCCAATTTCATTTTCTACATATACATGTTTATTGTTATGGCTTTGTTTGTTTACCTTTGTGGACCAGACAATCTTGTGATTGACATCTTAAGCATTGATTTACACAACATGGCTTTGTGTCAGTGACATATTTTCAGCAGAAACGGGGCTAATAAAGATGCTTTCATGTTAAATGTTACGGGTCTGTTAAAGATCAAGGTATTTTCATCTGTCAGTCATCAGTATGATCCTTAATGCTAATACAATCCCATATTTTACTTGTTTTTTTAAGTTGGCTAGTGTTACTGATGATCTGTTACACTTGTCTATTTCTGTTATGGATAATGGATGATACACCCTGTGTTCCTACATGTACCATTTATACTGATGTGCCTTGCCTGTCCTTACACTTGAATGTCAAATTTCAGTCCAAACTTGCAAGTATGTCCAATGACTTCAAGCAAGTACTGGAAGTACGAACAGAGGTAAGGATGAATATGATAGTATTGGTTGGTTGGTTGTTTAACATATACCAGTTATATGGCGGCAGTCTGTAAATAATCGAGTCTGGACTAGACAATCCAGTGATCAACATCATGAGCATCTATCTACGCAACTGGGATACCACGACATTTTCAAACAAGCCTGACTACCCGATTCCGTTAGTCACCTCTTAGGCAAGCATTGGTTACTGAAGATCAACACTAACCCGGATCTTCACAGGTCTACACTACAGTGTAGCACAAACAGACAGTGAAATGGAGTAAATAAACATGATATTGCACTGATAATTCAGAAATATAATAATGAGCTCACACATTTCTAATTAAGTTACATGTATCATAAACTAAGTTCATTTGGAGAAACAAGATCTGTGCAACAATTTGTCTTATTGTTATTTTCTGTTGTTGAATTTTTTGTTATAGATGTACCATATATACTGGAGGTATTTATACTTACATAATTTAATTGGTTGTCATTTTCCCTCAGAATTTGAAACATCAGAAATCAAGACGAGAACAGTTTTCCGAGTCTGGTGTGTCTTCGTCGCTCCCTCCCTCAGCTCTCAAGGGCCACAGTAAGTAGTGTACACTCTACCACTTGACTGGGACTGTCACTATGGCATGTGACGTTAACTATTAACTCACTCACTGTCACCATGGCGATTGATATTGCGAGTGCTGTTGGGGTCAGGCATTTGACAATTCCATAAATTCAACACAGTAAGAACCTTATACTGTTCAACTTGACACAAGGGCTGTCATCATGGCTCTTTTCTTTGGGTTGGGTATTTTTTAGAATAATCAGGAGAGAAAATGGTGGCATGTTTCACCTACTAGTTGCCATGGTGACATGGTCAGATGGTTTTCCCTAGATGGACAATGATTCATCAGGGCCAAGTTTGAATCCTATCATGTTTAATTCAAGAAGATGTGATAACTCTGTGCTGATGTACTTCAGAGTGACAATAGTGGTGTTTGTCCATCAAGGTATTTATGGTGTTTCCTGTGTGTCAGATGGATCAGTGTTGTTGCAAGATGAGGCCAACAGTGGGGATGTGGCCATCAACATGGACGGCATGTCCAACCAGCAGTATCAGAATCAGCTACAGCTCATTGACGAGCAGGTGAGTCACCAACACTTGTGTGGTTCATAACATCATGTCATGGTCCAAGTGTATCAGCTTGTTTTGTTAGGTCCTTGAGAGTCACCACCATGTGTGGTCCATGTAAGTCACCAAGTTTGTGAGGTCTGTGTGTGTCACCATGATGTGTGTAATCTAAGGTTTGTCAGGTCCACCTTAGTCACCATGACTAATGTGGTCCATGTGAGTCACCAAGACTAATGTGGTCCATGTGAGTCACCATGACTAATGTGGTCCATGTGAGTCACCAAGACTAATGTGGTCCATGTGAGTCACCATGACTAATGCGGGTCCATGTGGTCACCATGACTAATGTGGTCCATGTGGGCGGTCCATGTGAGTCACCATGACTAATGCGGTCCATGTGGGTCACAACATGACTGACTAATGTGGTCCATGTGAGTCACCATGACTAATGTGGTCCATGTGAGTCACCATGACTAATGTGGTCCATGTGAGTCACCATGACTAATGCGGTCCATGTGAGTCACCATGACTAATGCGGTCCATGTGAGTCACCATGACTAATGCGGTCCATGTGAGTCACCATGACTAATGCGGTCCATGTGGGTCACCATGACTTATGTGGTCCATGTCAGTCACCATGACTTGTGATCCATGTCAGTCACCATGATTTATGTGGTCCACGTGAATCACCATGACTAATGTGGTCCATGTGAGTCACCATGACTTATATGATCCACATGAGTCACCATGACTAATGTGGTCCACGTGAGTCACCATGACTAATGTGGTCCACGTGAGTCACCATGACTAATGTGGTCCACGTGAGTCACCATGACTTATGTGATCCATGTGAGTCACCATGACTTATCACCATGATGTGAGTCACCATGACCATGACTAATGTGGTCCATGTGAGTCACCATGACTTATGTGGTCCATGTGAGTCACCATGAGTGATCCATGAGTCACCATGACTTATATGTGGTCCATGTGAGTCACCATGACTAATATATGATCCATATGAGTCACCATGACTAATGTGTAGTCCATGTGAGTCACCATGACTAATGTGGTCCATGTGAGTCACCTTGACTTATTGAGTCACCATGACTTATGTGATCCACGTGAGTCACCATGACTTATGTGATCCATGTGAGTCACCATGACTTATGTGGTCCACGTGAGTCACCATGACTTATGTGATCCATGTGAGTCACCATGACTTATGTGTTATGTGAGTCACCATGACTAGTGTGGTCCATGTGAGTCACCATGACTTATGTGGTCCATGTAAGTCACCATGACTAATGTGGTCCACGTGAGTCACCATGACTTATGTGATCCACGTGAGTCACCATGACTTATGTGATCCATGTGAGTCACCATGACTTATGTGATCCATGTGAGTCACCATGACTTATGTGAGTCACCATGACTAGTGTGGTCCATGTGAGTCACCATGACTAGTGTGGTCCACGTGAGTCACCATGACTTATGTGATCCATGTGAGTCACCTTGACTAGTGTGGTCTATGTGAGATGTCATGAGTTGTTTTATCCATGGAGATCACTATGATTTGTTTATAGTTGTTGTGAGATGTCTAATGATTACTGAATTACATGTTCTACATGTGCGATAAATTAAATATATTGGCATTCTTATTGATCTGTTTCAGGATTCTTACATCCAAAGTCGGGCTGAAACCATGCAGAACATTGAGTCTACAATAGTGGAACTTGGATCTATATTCACCCAACTAGCTCACATGGTCAAGGAACAAGAAGAAATGGTTACAAGGTGAGTCAGTACAGGCTATTCATACAATGGCAATAGGTAACATGTCGGCTTGGGGGTGAAACATTGCATTGTTCTCTCACTTCCCATAGGCATTCTGGGTTTGAATGGGAACTTATTCTGGTCATTAGAAGTGACTTAATGGATTGAATGATCAGCTTTGTGACTTGGTGATAGTGTATCACAATATCAATCACTTGATTGCCTCTGTAATACATGTTATATTTGGGATTACACTTTCTCAGTTAAGTACAGATTCTAATACTTTTGTTGGGTTGAGTCCCATCTGGATTTCGAACCCACATGGTCAGAATCAAGCATCTAATCGCCTGCACACAAAGTCAGCTGTCTAACCCGCTCAGCCACAATGGCATTGTGTATTCGTATTCACTGGATTGTCTTGTGCAGTCTTGTATATTTATATGCTTTGTCATATTACTGGAATATTGTTGAGTGTGGCATAAAACAAAAATACACCCACTTTAATTTTGAGATCGTATGACAAATATAGACATGTTGATACACTAATACGGTTTCAGTGTACAATAACCATGGCAACTGCACAAAACAGTTCATTTTCATACTATTTTCAAGCTCTGCATGTTTTTTTAGTCAATCCTAAACATGCAATATAAAGCATTTGCTTATTACACCACTACTTAATGTCTTTGTTGTTTTGCAGGATCGACTCCAATATTGAGGATACCCAAATGAACATTGAGGCAGCTCACAGTGAAATATTGAAATACTTCCAGTCCGTCACCTCAAACCGTTGGCTCATGATTAAGATTTTTGCAGTTTTAATTGTATTCTTCATTATATTTGTTGTTTTTATGGCTTAGGTAAATCAACTCCGCGATTTCATATCCCAGTGATGTATTGACTGCAGAGTGAACACAAATCATGATCCAGCTCAAAACTTTTGTGAAGGGAGATAACTCTTCATTCTATCATTGTCTCACCTAGGTGCTGGTCATTAATGGTAAACAATGGGACAGTAGGATGCCCTTGTCAAGTTTGGTTTCTAGATCACATTCAGATAAATACATGGAACATGAATCTTTCTGTACTTTGATGTTTTTGCAATAAAACAAATTCTATATTCAGTGATGATATCCACAATACTGTGATAATCATTTTCTCAATATCTCTACTGATTGAATGAACAACTTTAAGCCAGAATAATTCGATCATTTGTTTCACAGACATACTTGGAGAGTAATAGTCATTGAGTGGAGGATATTTCTGTTATATTAATGTTGACAGTGAAAGATAATTTCCATTTGTCCTTAATAATTTTAACTTATCCTGACTCATATTAATCACTCTAGCGTATGATTCAGGATTCGTTATATATGATTTTTTTTATCTCCACAAATACATCATCTATAAGGTGGAACAATTCACACAATGTAAGAATTAACTCCAGCGTAAGGGCAGGGTGAGCTGTGGTGACATTTACAGTATTTCAGATGCATTCTTCTCCACAGGTTTGTATGGACAGTAGACAAAATGGGGCGGTGGGGTAGCCTGGTGGTTAAGGCACTGGTTCGTCACGCTGAAGGCCCAGGTTCGATTCCACACATGGGTACAATGTGTGAAGTCCATTTCTGGTGTCCACCACTGTGATATTGCTGGAATATTTCCAAAAGCGGCGTAAAACTATATTCACTCACTTGTAAACATCCTGGTTCCGACACCTCAACACTGTGTCTCACCTTCACCTTGTACCATGGGGATCTTGTAGAGCATCAAAAGCTGTACATATTTGCTGGGGACTTCACTATAATTGTTCATATGTACATACCTGTATTTATATTTTTGAATGGGGAAACTTGCATGTTGTACTTTCACAGACCAAGAACCTATTTTCTTCCTTTGAACATATTGTTGATCTGACTCCATGCATTCTGAAGCGTGGTCTTGCTTAGTCAAACACTGGTGTGTCGAACTTTGATGTGTTGAACTGACGATTGTCTTGAAGTTAAAGATGGGTCCCTGCATATTCTGTATTTAGACATCATTTTGCAGTTGTGTTGAACCCTTGGTAACTCGAAGTACTTACTTAGGTCCTTTCAACCCCTGATAACTTGAAGTACTTACGTAGGTCCTTTCAACCATTGGTAACTTGAAGTACTTACGTAGGTCCTTTCAACCCCTGGTAACTCGAAGTACTTACGTAGGTCCTTTTAACCCCTGGTAACTCGTACTTACGTAGGTCCTTTCAACCCCTGATAACTTGAAGTACTTACGTAGGTCCTTTCAACCATTGGTAACTTGAAGTACTTACGTAGGTCCTTTCAACCCCTGGTAACTGGAAGTACTTACGTAGGTCCTTTCAACCCCTGGTAACTCGTACTTACGTAGGTCCTTTGCACTTTGACACCACAGTGTTTGACTGTATTGTTTACAGAGTAATGTGATGTTTGATTTAAATCACTGAACAATGAGTACTATAACTAAAAACAAGAAAAGGAAAATAACATAACTGTATAGAATTATCAATGTGTGGGGACGAGAATTTTCCTGGAATTTGTCACATCAAGGGTAACTTTTGTGATACTTGCAATTAAGCATGTAAGATATGTAGTTCCTCTGAACCCTTGCTAACTTTCAGTATTTTCTCGAATTTAGATTCCAAGACAATCATTTGCAGTGATGTAATGTTGCTACAACTGTATTAGTGAGGTCATTCATACTGTATTGTCATTTGTTAAATATAAACTGACAATTAAAACTCAAGGTAATGAGATGTAAGAGTCCCAGATTATTGGTTGTAAAGTGGGTGTTAAACTGTACTTGTGAGATATGGGAGTAGAACATTGTATGTAAGATGAATTGGATGTTAATCAGGGCTCGATTTGAGGAAGTCTATTTAACTTGCACCAGTGAAAACCTAGTTGCACAAGACAAGTCCAGGTTGCACCCTGGTTCTATAAATACAGTAGAATACTTTTATAGCGAACACGGATATAACGAACTGACGGCTATAGCAAACTGTTTTAAAAGTCCCGAAAAAAACTCATAGTATCACATAAAAAAGTGAATAGCGAACTACGGATATAACAAACTAATTTCCGTGGTCCCTTGGAGTTTGTTATAAAGGTATTTTACTGTATATCTGGATAAATGTAATCTGAGGTCATGGATGACTGTGTCATGGTTTACTTCAGCTACCTATGTGGCAATGTCATCAATATCAACTGTCATGCAATACAGAATAATTACCATTAGTTAGATAATCTAAATATAACGAGATACAGTAGTTATTCTTCAGTTATAGTTGAAACTATAGCACTGACCATTATCTTGAACTTCCCACAGTGTGATGAAGTCATGCCCAAAAATTGCATGACAAATGAAACATAATTGTGATGCATTTTTGAAAATATTCCTGAGGTATTGAATGGGCATTGTAGAAACATTAGGATTAAGGCATGACTCAGTTTGAAATTTCTGCCGTGCATGTAGACATAAATATATTAGGTTGCATTTTCAATATTAGGTTGCACTGGTGCATGTTTTATATTGTTAAATCGAGCCCAGTATAATGCAAGTCAAATGTGATTATAATGTTTTACCATTTATAGCTGTAAATATATTTGTGTGGTAACTTTGTACAGATTGCATGTGTTGAGACAGGTGGAAACATGTAACTCTCGACATAAATAAACTCAGAATCCGGCATCAAAGCGTTCTGTCATTGTAAGATAGTCAAATTGTCCATTGTATTATTTTGTTGGTGTTCATAGTCTCAGCACTGAACATTTGTCAAGGGTAAAGTGTATCTATGGCACATACACGGAAAGGCTACTTTCACACGAACTGAGAATCCTGAAGCTGAAATATCCAGTGATACTATTAACTGTAAAGGAATTACCACATGCAGCAGAAAAATTAACTCAACAGGTACAAGTGACAGTGATGTTTGCTGTAGCTTTGAAGCAGAACTAGCTTATGGTCCACCAGACCCAAGCAAACTTTGTTTTGTGTATGAGGTCATAACTTTGACTGCTGTGGTCATGAAGAAGTTTTATGTGCATCACAAGGACAAAAAATCTGAGCACAATGAGCTGAACAAACTAGCTTCAATGTCACTTAAAAAGAAAATTGAAAATGTACATACCCCCCACTTAATATTCCTACTCCTTTACCTATGCTGTTCAGTGCCATGATGAACAGCATTTGAACAAATTTGTTGAACATGAGTAGGGCCCATGATGAAGGAAATAAATGATCATGAATTCTTTGGAGGATGTTTCCACAAAATAGTCGCCTCAGTCTTTTACTACCAAAAAGAATCCTCGGAAATTCATGGTCCCAGTTTTGTTCAGTTTGTATTTTTACGGATATGGTAAAATCAAGTAGCATCATCAATTATGTACATGAAAAAGATTATTTTGGGAGGAATGCAAGGACTAATTGTATCACATCTTCCATTCCTTTCATTCTATTAATGACCCATTTACAGACCTCCAAGGGGCATTGTTGTTATGGGTCTGATTCCATTGACTCTGGGCGGAACGAGTCTGTTTCATGTCAGACTTTGCTATTACATGCCAATAAATTGCCATTGCAAAACAACATGCTTGTGTGTTATATTTACACATGTATAATAAAGCAGTAGTTTAGATTGTAATGTCCAACACCCAAAACTGCCATGCTCACTAAACAGTGGAAACAATGCCCTGTTCACAGAACAGAGGAAGCATTACCCTGTTCAGCAAACAGAGGAAACAATGCCTTTTTCAACAAACAGTGGAAATGATAAGCAGTGCTCTGCTCACGAAACGGGAAATACGTGTACATCAATATGTAGTAGAAACAATGGCCTGCTCACCAAACTGGAAGCATTGTCCCGTTCAACAAACAGTTCAAACAATGCTCTGCTCACAAAACAGGGGAAACACGTGTAGTGGAGACAATGCCCTGCTCACCAAACTGTCGAAGCATTGTCCCGTTGAGCATTGTCCTGTTGGAGACAAACTCAGTGGAAACAATGTCCGTTCAACAAACACAAACAGTGCTCTGCTCACAAAACATTGACCGTGTAGTATCCAAACAGTGGAAACAATGCTCTGTTCACAAAACCACCAATAAAAGGAACAATACCCTGTTCAACAAACAGAGGAAACAATACCCTGTTCAACAAACAGTGGAAACAATTTCCTGGTCACCAAACAAAGGAGCAATGCCCAATTCAACAAACAGTGGAAACAACTCCATGTTCACCAAACAGAAGAATAAATTCATTGTTCTTCTAAAACAAAAAAGAAAACAAATCCCTGTTCATTAATCAAGGAAAACTATATTCTGTTCACTAAACGTTGGAGAAACTGCCCTTTTAACAGACAGAGGAAACAAATTCCTGTTAATCAAAATGAGGAAACTATGCCCTTTTCACCTAAAATAGAAAACATTGCCCATTAATTGATAACATAATTCCTTGTTCACAAATCAGGTGCAACAATACCTGATTCTCCAAACAGTGGAAACAAAACTATTTAAAGAAACTATACCCAGTTCATTAAACAGAGAAACTATGGCCTGTTCACGAAACTGAAGCAGTAATGCCTTGTTCGCCAGTAGAAACAATGTCCAGTGCCTCTTAGACAATGCGGGGCGGTGAGGTAACCTAGTGGTAATGGCGTTCGCTCGTCACGTAGAAGACCCAGGTTGGGTTGCCCACATGGGCACAAAGTGTGAAATCCATTTGTGGTGTTGCTGACATTGCAGGAATATTGCTACTCACTCACAGACAATGCATATCTGCCAACTCTCACACCGTTGTCTTGATACTGACGCTTTTATTACACGTCACGCTCTGACGTCATAATGGGTTCATATGAAAAATAAAAATATAAATTCGCTCCTCGAATGATTTATTCAACAAGTATGCATATCTAGTTATTTTCTTTTAAAGCGCAACATGTCATGTCAGATTTACACCCATTAGTTAGACATCCCAATTGTCAGACACTGGACTAGAGGTTAATTAGGGCAACACCCATATATAAATGGGAATGTCCCAATTGAAATACACAATGCCATTTTAGAAAGTTGTGAAATGTAACATATGTTATATTTGGGATTTGCAATCTTAATTCGCTTTAATCGATTTACATTTTTGTTTAGAGTGAAATTCATCGGTACGTTTTCACTGCAAACAGACTATAGTAATAAATTATATATTTTATTAAGGCAGGGTTATTAACAAAAATACATATCTTTTCTAGTTACATATAACAGCCTATGTAGAACATTTATATAGAACTTATGTCCTATAGTGTCCAAGATTCACATTTGACAGTCATAACCCTGTCACTCTGTACTGTTATGAAGAGTCTGGCACAGAAGAACACGGCTGTGGTAGGGCCGTTACGGTGATGACATTATATACCGCCACAGTGTCACTGCCATAACATGCAGTCTTTTGCCTATTACAAATTCTTTCAACATTCTAAAATATCTGACTGACAAATTTCAATAAATCATCTTTTAAAGTAAACATATACAACTGGCTACTATTAAAAATGTCACTACCGTTATTGTGTCTCTATCATAACAATGAATGCCAATGTCCATACCATAAGATTATCAATTTATTGATTTAATTAAAAATGATTTTTGTGTTTATGCCTGGATTTGGTAGTGCAAGTATGTTTGGTAGTAGAGCTTCAAGTAAGCATAATAAAATTCACATTCTCATTTTGAATTTTTTGCTACATATTACTTTATATTTGCAAATCAGAATTGAAAGGAATTATTTGGCTTGTTGGCCCCATTTAAGCAATAAATATAAAATTTCAAAACTCATTAGCCATGTTATTTTGTAAAACTACATATATTAATATACATTAGATATACGTTAAGCTCGCAGAACTTATGTTTTGTATATTCAGAATACTATGAACGTAATCAACAACATTTAAGGTAAAACATCAAAACAAAACTTAACAACATTTTTTGCCTACATGAAACATGCATGAATTTATATATTATATATTTCAGATTTATTAACTAACTGCCCTCTTCTCTACTAAATCTCTACTCTAAGCAGGGAGACTATAAGACGTTATAGATTGTCCCTGACAGGTCGGGAGAGCCACATTTCCGAAACAGATAGCCAAAATTGATGTGGCTCTCTCGGCAATAGTTATGGTTGTGTGAACATGGAATGTGGCTCTCCCGGCAATGGTTGTGGTTGTGTGAACATGGAATGTGGCTCTCCCGGCAATGGTTATGGCTGTGTGAACATGGAATGTGGCTCTCCCGGCAATGGTTATGGTTGTGTGAACATGGTATGTGGCTCTCTCGGCAATAGTTATGGTTGTGTGAACATGGAATGTGGCTCTCTCGGCAATAGTTATGGTTGCGTGAACATGAATGTGGCTCTCTCGGCAATAGTTATGGTTGCGTGAACATGGAATGTGGCTCTCTCGGCAATAGTTATGGTTGTGTGAACATGGAATGTGGCTCTCCCGGCAATAGTTATGGTTGTGTGAAGATGGAATGTGGCTCTCCCGGCAATAGTTATGGTTGCGTGAACATGGAATGTGGCTCTCTCGGCAATAGTTATGGACATGGAATGTGGCTCTCTCGGCAATAGTTATGGTTGTGTGAAGATGGAATGTGGCTCTCCCGGCAATAGTTATGGTTGCGTGAACATGGAATGTGGCTCTCTCGGCAATAGTTATGGTTGTGTGAACATAGAATGTGGCTCTCCCGGCTATGCTGTCAAAACATGCTTAGTGATTCAAACAGGTTTCCGTATTTAACAAGGTTTTTTAACAGATTTTATTTCTATAATTAGCACAATATAATATACTAACATTACATATAATATTATCACATTATAATAAAAAATCTCAATCTGTAAAACATAATGATAATGGTTTAGTTTGTTGCCATGTGTACATTTCTTATGAAAACTTTCTGCTGCATTGTGATGCGTGGACGTCCACTTCTTGGTCTATCTACGGTGACCCCAGTCTGTCTGTAGCGCTGAATAAGTCTTATAACCGTGATATGGTGGCATCCGAGGGCGTTGGCAACAGCATTGTATGTCAACCCCATATGCAACATCCCAATGGCTTTCCCTTTCTTCCGCTGTTAATCGTGTCATATTTCTCATGCTTGTGTATCATATCATGCATTCTAGGCTCTCTTTATACCCTATATAATCATTCTACATGTGAAATTGATGCAAATACTGCTTGAATATTGCTACGTTTTGCCGATTGATATTGCTGTGTGTAAATGTTACTTTGCAAGCAAAAATGTTAACAAAGATCATTTTAGGTGTTCCTAAACACTTTTTCACAATATCAAAGACACGTTGTACTTGTTTTCACTAATGCAAATCAGCAGAAAATGTTTAAAAGACTGAAATCATAGGAATGATTCTGTTACAATTTTACACACTCTACAAAAATGGTCACTTTAAATGGTTTATCTCTGTCTTAAGCAGAATTTTATTTCAACCTTTCTTTTGGACATCTAAATCACTGTTATTGGTTTATTTCGGCATGATCGAAAACAGGACAATTTAACTCTTCTGAAAAAGATGCAGTTCACCTAAATATGAATGCGTTTGAGAATTTGGTTCGTGATTTGCATGAAGCTGTGTTGTTAAGTTTTCTTGTAAAATTAATACCTTCTAACATATTTCAAGTTTTTAAAGAATA